AAAGAAACATAGAAAGTACGTTTGAAAGAGTTTGAGGAATCCTGAAACCTTCTTAAAGTACAAATATAATCTATTCTGCTCACTTGCACTGCATTTTGTCTTGGAAGAAAACCATGTAATATTTCTTAAGAGCATATTTTTAAGGGTGTGTATTTTATTTATTTATGGGAAGTAGTCTTGTGCAATGGTTTTTTTTTTTTTTGTTTTTTTTTTCTATAAAAAAAACTTTCCAGAATTACAAGAGGTTCAGTGTTTTTAAGTCATTGCATCATGTTTACGCCGCTAGGAAAATGTTTGCTTGTTCCAGTTTAATTGAGTTACTGCTCGGCTCTAAACTGCATTTTCTGCCCCTTCAAGTCACAACCAAAGAAAGTATATCACAAATATTCATTTGTAGTTTCATTTTTGATCTGTACAATCTCTAAAAAGATTGAGCCTGTGCTGAGAAACATGTATTTTTCTTCTTTTCTCCACATGTCCAGAGGGTGTATTATCTGTCTCTGGAGTTCTACATGGGCAGGACGCTCCAAAACACGATGATCAACCTGGGGCTGCAGAACGCCTGCGACGAAGCCATCTATCAGGTCAGACTCAAGTTAACAGGAAATAGAGGCCATCGGCAACCACAAACGCACATATTCAACACTCCTAATGACTTTGCTAGTCTTGATAACCTTTTGCTTTTTCATAAAAAAAAAAAAAAGTCAACAGTAGGCTTGTGTTCCCTCTGCTCTAGCTCGGCCTGGACATGGAGGAGCTGGAGGAGATGGAGGAGGATGCCGGTCTGGGGAACGGAGGCCTGGGCAGACTGGCAGGTAAAACAAGACTGCAGATGTTTGAGGGAGAGAGATTGTGTTTTATTTTAAATCACTCCTCTAAAACAATTCATCGTGCAGAGGGAAAGAAACAGAACAGGAGGCTTTTTAATATAGCTTTTAAACTGACAGTAAATGAGTCAAAAACAAAAAGGCAAACACGTTATCAATACTCATCATTTTCAGGCTATTTTGGTAGTTGGCCATCAAATACCTCTGTGTGCCTGTTGAATGTTTGAAGCAACTTGCAGCCACAGAAATGTTGCAACAAAGTGAGCATTACGCCACAAACTGTCATTCTGTGTCTCAATTCAGCCCTGTAGAGTTAGTATTTTTGTGTTTTATTTTATGTTTAATTGTGAAGTGTTTTTTTTGTTTTTTGTTTTTTTTTATGCACACAGCTTGTTTCTTGGATTCGATGGCCACCTTGGGTCTTGCAGCGTACGGTTATGGCATTCGATATGAATATGGAATCTTTAACCAGAAGATAAGAGACGGCTGTCAGGTAACTGCAGCTGAATAATGCACAAATTTATTCTACAAATGTCAGCTCATCAAAACGCTATCAGCTATTGATCAACTCTTTAACCTTCAAAATACAGTCTTGTAAGCTTTGTTTTGAACTAAAATGACTAGTTATCTCCCTAGTCCATAGATCCTTTCTTATCTTTAAAATTCAGGATTATGTTGTTGACCCATGTTCATGCTGTTTGTTGTCCGAGTGGAGCGGGGCCAAAGTAGACATCAATTAGGTCAGAATACATCACAAGCTAATCATTAACAGTAACTTACACACACTACAGTGGTGCAAGAGCTGGTGCTGGTTGGTTTCATATGAAAATACATATTCCTATCCATATCCTCTGACAAGAGATCCCCCAAAGTAAAGAATTTTGCCCTTTTGAATTCTCCTGTTTATTTGCTGTTCAAGACCTTCAGTGTAAGCATGCACTTCTGAACACTGACCTGGATTTAAACTCACTGGGGTGGATGAACCTGTTTAATCCCTGCTGCTAGTGGACAGTAACTGTATCGAAAGCTGGTGCTTTTTACTGTAATGTAATGGTGATCCTGACTGGCCTTGATATAACTTTGTAACTTGATTAAATCACAAAAGGGAAGTTTTTCTTACCTCAATCTGCTGCATACAGAGGTCAGAGGTCAGATAAGGTAGACATCACTACATTATTGTTTTGCTCAATGCCTCTTCTTTCTATCTGGACACCTGCTACTCCATCATGTAATATCGTATAAAATATTTGTATCTTCATTCTGTCTGACATATTGTAGGTGGAGGAGGCAGATGATTGGCTGAGGCATGGAAACCCGTGGGAGAAAGCCCGTCCGGAGTACATGTTGCCAGTTCACTACTATGGACGGGTAGAGGAGACAAAAGATGGCTCCAAATGGGTCGACACTCAGGTACTGAAGATGAGTTTAGATGACTACAAAAATGAGCAAAAAGAGACACAAATATCGACACAGAGATGCAAAACAACCACAAAAAGCAGCAAAGCATCTACAAAGAGGCTCAAAACGACTACAAAGAGGCTTTAGTTTACTTGGAGTTACAAATGGCAGCTATTCATTGATATTATTTAATGTCAGACATTTTTTTAAAGCTTTTTTTTCTTTTTTTATTAATGCAGGATTTACATGCGAGTCTTAACATTTACTGTCATTTCTTTTATTCCGTTCAAAAGACTCTAAAGCTGCCTCTGGGTGAGATAACAGGCTTTTATTCTGCTGTGTGTTCCTGCTGACTCACTGTTTTCCCTTTTCATTCATGCAGGTAGTTTTGGCGATGCCCTACGACACGCCCATCCCCGGCTACATGAACAACACTGTAAACACCATGAGGCTGTGGTCCGCCCGTGCCCCCAACGATTTTAACTTGAGAGACTGTGAGTGCTGATTTCTGATGTAAACTCCACTTTTGCAGAACGGTTTGTGTGTTTCCTTTTTAGTTTTCAACAGACGCACTTTAGAAGAAGACGGAAACTGCTGCAACACTGGCGCCTTGCATAAAGATGTCTGTGTTGCCAAATATCTCAAATGTTGTAGTTTCTTTGCTTTTGGTGTTTCAATTTGACTTTAGATAATCCTATAATTTATATAAATATTATAGCATCAGTGTAACTAAAAAGCACTTCATCTGTCTGTAGTCAATGTTGGAGATTATATCCAGGCTGTTCTGGACAGAAATCTGGCGGAGAACATCTCCCGTGTTCTTTATCCCAATGACAATGTAAGTTGAATATTTTGTCGTGTGTGTGTAATACATTTTAGGTTTATACTGATTGATGCCTGAATATTTTGCATCACAAGATCATCTTCTCTAGTGTTTGACACACTGAAAATCAGTCCAAACAGTCTGCTGTGCTAAAGGCGTGGTCTCTCTGTGGTCTTTACGTGTTGTAGTTCTTTGAAGGAAAAGAACTTCGTCTGAAGCAGGAGTACTTTGTTGTGGCGGCCACACTCCAAGACATCATCCGCCGCTTCAAAACCACCAAGAAGGGCAGTCCTGTCCGAACCTCCTTCGAGAGCTTCCCAGAAAAAGTAAGCTTCAAAAGACAAAAGAGCGGAGAGGGCCAAGTATTTGGAAACAGGTTATTTCACTTCTTCTCTATTGGCCAGAGGCAATCGGGTGGCAATTGCGGCAAGATCTTGTACAAATTTGTGGCGCAAGCTCATCTTCCTGACTTAAGGCCTGTAACTTACTCAAACAAGGAAATTGCGTTTTCAAAATAGACTCAAAAGAAACAAAAAGATAATGCATTACCATGAAAAGTAGCGTGTCATTTGCACAGCTTTGTCAACTGAAAACAGAATGCATTACAATAACAGCAGACATGATGTTTTGTAGCGCCAAGTGAGAAACCCTGCAGATATAATTTTGTGTCTTCAATTCAAAGGTATTTCAGATATTAAACACCTGCTTTTCCCTTCAGTGTTTTACGTCATTCAGCTACAGTTGTACCAGGTCAATAAGATGCTGACTGTACAGAATGTTGTGTTTTCCAGGTCGCCATCCAGTTGAATGACACTCATCCTGCCATGGCCATCCCCGAGCTGATGAGGATCTTTATTGACATTGAGAAACTCGACTGGGACAAGGTGGGTGACAGTCAGATTTGGTAGATTTGAAGCCAACTATTTTGCTCACTGAGAGTCAGTCAAGTGCAGGAATAAATAAGGAAGTCCTAGCAAGTAACACAGAGGAGGTTAAAGAACTGAGCATGACAAGTGAAACGGATATTCCTGTGTTGCGTAATGGTCATGCACAATGGAGAAAGTCAGGTAGGTTAAGAAATAAAACCCAGGTAGTTTGTTAATGCAACATTTGTGCTGTAAAGTAGCTCAGACATGGAGGAAAGGGACCATATCGGGAAACCGGTAGACTTAGATTAGGATGCGAGTAGTTCCAAAGCTCAAGTGTGATGTGTAATCAGAGAAAATAAACTCCCCCTCCTCCTCTGCAGGCCTGGGACCTCACTGTACGCACCTTCGCCTACACCAACCACACAGTCCTCCCCGAGGCTCTGGAGCGCTGGCCTGTGGAGCTGCTGGAGAAGCTGCTGCCCAGACACCTGCAGATCATCTACCGCATCAACCAGGTCCACCTCGATGTACGTGCAGCGGCTCAGACACGGCAGAAAGACAAAGATTGTGTTTTATTCACTGAACACGCCTGTGACACATCATGTGAATCTGATCTCTCTGCAGAGGATTGCGGCTCTCTATCCAGAAGACGTGGAGAAGCTGAGGAAAATGTCTCTGATTGAAGAAGATGGATGCAAGAGGGTGAACATGGCGCACCTGTGCATCGTGGGATCTCACGCTGTCAACGGAGTCGCTCAGATACACTCCAACATCATCAAGACTGACGTGTAAGCCTCTTTTCACACACACACCGCTTCAAAACATAAATCTATGTACAAAATAATGGACTGCATTGACTTAAGGAAGCAGAGGTAGCACATAGGCAGACCACTAAAACAATTGCTAAACACCACATGAGTGTGACCTCATAGATAACCACAGGATTGAGTCATCTCCTCTGTTACACACTCTGAACAATAACTGTATGATGGGAGCTTGAAAGGTAGGACTGCTGTTAGGAAACCAAGATGCAAAGACACAGAACAACAACAAACAAACAGCTGAAGACTTCCCAGAGCTGTGAAAAATGCATATTACCTGATGAGTCGGCCATCTTTGTTATTATGGTAAAGCCCCACCAGTGTTTTTGCATGTTTTAGTGTATTTACTGCAAATCACATTTACATCACAGTTGTCTATTTTTAAAAACAATTCCAATGTGTGTTACAAAGGTCAGTAAATTTGATGGATAAGGAGGTAAAACAAACATGGTGGTATGCCTCTTTAACTATCTGAAACGCATATATCCACTATTTAGATCTTTCCATTATTTTGTCCATGATAGACCAGATTATAGTCCTATAGTGTATTTTTTTAAATTATAAAGCAGGTCTATGTGCTATATAAATACTATAAAAGTATCAAAACGCTCAATCCATGGAGAAATACACCCTTATTCAGAAACTGCTTTTAAACGAGTCGTCAGGATTTCTGTATGGTTGTGATGTTGCAGCGTTTCAGACTGAGGGTGAATTCAGGGATATCCAGACAGGCAGTGTGAGGAAAATAAAGAGTTTTTGGAGCATTACAGCACGTAAACATGTTCCAGTAGAAACTCAAAATACAAGTATGAACCTGGAAATTAGCATAACATGTCTCCTTTTAGGTTCTTCCTCAAGAACATTTCACTTTCTTCTTCTACAGATTTCGCCATTTCAGTGAACTCGAACCGGAGAAGTTTCAGAACAAAACCAACGGCATCACTCCCAGACGCTGGCTGCTGCTCTGCAACCCCGGACTGGCTGAGCTCATAGCTGAGGTCTGTTTGAGCTGCCTGAGCAGTAAATAAATGATCGAGTGCCAGGAGATGCTGTAGCGAATCCTCAATAATATACTCCCCAGCTGTCGTGTTTACAGTCAACTTTCTCTCTCAGGTCATTGGGGAGGATTATGTGAAGGACCTCAGCCAGCTACAGAAGCTGAATGACTTTGTTGACGATGTTGCCCTCATCCGAGATATCTCTAGAGTGAAACAGGTAACGAAGTACAATTTTTAAGTACTTTGCTTTTTCTATTTTCAGTTATTGTATACCTCTATTCCACTGTGTATCAATAGATTTGGAAGCTTTGTCTGGTATGAAAGTAGTTTAACTGTATTGAGTCTTTCATAGCATAGGAGTTCCTGTTTTTTATGTATCTGATTGCATTATGTTGCCATACATGCATAGTGGAGGCTTTGTCCTAAATGTCCTGTCACACCGTGAATCGAAACAATTCAACATGCATAACGAGGGGCCATTTCCGTGTGCGGCACAAACCATGGGTATAGTTTATCATTCCTGCAAGTCATTGCATGCAAAGTGATTACGATCTGATGTGTTTTTTCAGAGCAGCGTTGTGTTTCGCAGCTTTAGAGTCAGTACGTGTCGGTACAGGCCAGACCTGTGATTCAGCAGCTCCGCCTCGATGAATAAACCCCCCTTTTTTTTTTTTGTTGTCAAGTCACGTAGTTCTGATTTTCTCACAGGACAACAAGGTGAAATTCTCCCAGTACCTGGAGAAAGAGTACAGGGTGAAGATAAACCCGTCGTCCATGTTCGACGTCCACGTGAAGAGAATCCACGAGTACAAGCGGCAGGTCCTCAACTGCCTGCACATCATCACCATGTACAACCGTATGTGAATGACTCTTTACCAAGTGCCAGAAGCAATACCAGTTTCACGAGCAACAACTGTGAGCGCTAAATTACATGACACAATCTGACATGCCCTGACGTGGAGGACACCCCCCCCCCCCACACACACACACACATACCCCACCTCCCAGGGGTGCACCAAGCAAGTTAAAACTAACACTAAGAATGAGATGCATCTGCCTTTTTTAAATCCAGTGTGGGAATTTTCCCTTGCAATCATCAGACTGTGATGAACACAAAATCACTTTCATCAGCAGTCCTATTCAGTGCAACGTGCAATTTACAATTAGCGGACTTTGCCTGCGTCTGAAACCATGTCCTTACTTTTGAATATTCCCAGCAAATGTTTTGAAGTACATTTCATAGAAATGGCAATTCGGTGTCCTTAAATTGCGTAAAAGAACAGAATAAGAATTAATGCAACAATTGATAGTAATTGAAGTAAGGACTGATCATCACAAAACAAGAATCTGCAGCCATGCTAGCAGCTCTGTGCGGCTGTATTTCCTAACATTAGCATGCTAACATGCTCACAATGACAACGCTTGTATGCCGACGTAAAGCAGGAATCCTTAGATACATTTACCATCTAAGTTTAGCATGTTAACGTGCTAACATTTGCTAACAGGAATAAATACAAAGTACAGATAAGGCTGATGGGAATGTCATTCGTTTATTTGGTCATTAAAAAAAAAAAAGTTTAAGCTGACGTAGCTAAATCAAATCTTAAGCCTCCCTCAAAGCCGTTTTTGCTATTCATGGGGACATAAATTTATCATACTACATTTCGTGGCTATCCTTCTGATATTTATTGAGACATTTTACTCCAAAAAACACAAATGTCAAACTGGTGATAATTGAAAAGTCAGCAGATCCCCAAAGTCAGTAGGATTCATCCTCTGTAGACCATCAACGCCTGTACAAAATACCACTTCCTGGTGTTTTGTAACCCACATAGTGATTTGAGAAGTAATAGTATGTTAAAATCAATCCCCTGACTTATTTGTAGAGACGTGAGAAATGGTAATGTGTGGATTTGTCACTTTGAATAAGTTTGTCATTTTCTTTGTTTCCAAAGGCATCAGAATGAACCCCACTGCACCCTTTGTCCCACGAACAGTGATCATCGGGGGAAAGGTACCCGCTCAGTCACAGCACAGATGAAGTCCAGTAAACAGGACAAGAGTGGCGTGATGTTTTAGTTTTACAGTAAGTCTGTCTCCTGTCGCCCTCTGCAGGCTGCTCCTGGGTATCACATGGCGAAGATGATCATCAGGCTCATCACCTCAGTGGGTGATGTGGTGAATAATGACCCTGTGGTGGGAAACAAGCTGAAGGTCATCTTCCTGGAGAACTACAGGGTCTCTCTAGCAGAGAAAGGTTCTGCCGCCTTTTATTTTACACCTGCAACAAGCGCAAAATTTGAAGGGATACGTTTCAAAAACCCTAAAAGAGGACAATTCACCAAATAACTTAAATGATCTGCTCTCCCTCAGTGATACCTGCCACAGATCTGTCGGAGCAGATCTCCACTGCCGGCACTGAAGCTTCAGGAACAGGAAACATGAAGTTCATGCTGAACGGCGCTCTGACCATCGGCACCATGGACGGAGCCAACGTGGAGATGGCCGAGGAGGCTGGAGAGGAGAACCTGTTCATCTTCGGCATGAGGGTGGAGGACGTGGCTGAAATGGACAAAAGGGGGTAACGGAGTCTGTTTTTTACATTTTATGGCTCTTTTTATGTTGTCAAAACAATATTAACTTGAGTTTTTTTTTTTAATAGATATGATGCCATGGTGTACTACAAGAGGATCCCAGAGCTGAAACATGTGATGGATCAGATCACGAGTGGATATTTCAGCCCCAAAAATCCAGATCTTTTCAAAGACCTCACTGACATGCTCTTCAAATTTGACCGGTAAGCCACACGCTGATATATTCTTCACTTTCCACTCCAGTTTCAGTCACTTTAAGTTGATTAATTCCACTTTTTTTTATGTTTTTATATGAGAAGCAAAGGTCACAGAACTGCTGATTATTTTTTCTTCTAATGATGGATGTCAAACCTCTGTAGACTTGTTAAGCTTTTTTGTTGAGTTCAAGTTGTCAGACTTGATGTATTTATTCTCCCTTGTCTCTCTTCAGTTTCAAAGTGTTTGCAGACTTTGAGGACTACATTAAATGCCAGGAGAAAGTCAGCAAGCTCTATCAGGTAACAAGTCCGACCAGAGACGGACTAAATCGAACTTGTCAGGAGGAATATTTATTATATTTTACCTTTTTTATTTAACACCTTTTTATTGTTTTCTTTGACTTTGTTGATTTATTTCCTTTCCTGGGTTACTTACTTTTTTCTATTAATTTTTCGTTTTGTTTTTCCTTGCCTTTTTTTTTTTTTTTTTTTTGTGTAGCATTTAAATAAAAATAAAAGTTATTACAAAGAACTTTGTAAAAGGCAACAAAACTGTCAAAATGAACTAGAAACACAAAATGGTCAAGCAGGAAGAAAAAAACGATTACGTGAAGAATTATCACAAAGACTACAAACCTACAGAAGAAGAGATGCAACAGAAGATATAAAACCTATAATATATATATATTTTTTTGTTCTTCTCTAAAAGAATCCAAAGGAGTGGACGAAGATGGTGATCAGGAACATCGCTGCCACAGGGAAGTTCTCCAGCGACAGAACCATCACAGATTACGCCACCGAGGTGTGGGGCGTCGAGCCGACTGACCTGAAGATCCCACCTCCGAATGAGCCGAGAGAGGCCATCGAAGAAACGGCCAGAGCTCTGAAGAAAATGTGAGGCTGTCTCTCAACCAAGAGCTGCCTTCAAGTTTACAAATCATGGACTGTTCCTTTCCCCTTCTGGCTTTTTACCTACAAGTCAATGAACCTTTTTTTTTTTTTTTTTTTTCTTTTTCTCCAAGAAATGTGGGTGTTTCAGAAATCACATCTGCACTGGTTTAAATTTTCTGATCACTTTTTTTTTTTTTTTTATTGTCAAAGTACTTGCACAAAATGTCTGTTACAGTCCTTCAGCACCAACACATACAGAAAATCCAGAGTCGGTGTGGCGTGCGAGGTCAAATCATTCCTTCATATGTGACATCTCAGGAATTCAGTAGGATGTCGGTAACAGAGCAGCTGACTAAACACTTTTTTTTTAATTTTTTTTTTATTACATTCCTGCCACTTCATGCTGAAAGTTCTGAGAGACAAAGCAGGCAGATTGACACAAAAATACATACGAGTCCATATCAGTACAACTTGGCTAATGAAAGCTACAAACCTACTTAATTTGTGATCTGCAGTATTTTTGTTCCAGTGTTTTAATTAAAGCGTAATGTCAAATGTAAAACAGTGCTTTTTGTTTTAGAGCAGACGCATGCATTTTGTGACAAAAATAAATAAAGTTGGAATCTATTAATTACTTCTCTGGAGGAGGAAAAGACGATCTATTGACTCAGGTTTTGTAGAAATTTCCTGCAACAAAAACAGAATATTACATTTATTTCCTGTTGATGCCTAAAGGAATTTTGGTTAATGGACAAGGTTTACAAGAAGGAAAAAAAAAAAAGTCAACAACCTACCTGACAACATTTGACAGATTGGGATCTAAGTAGATCTTATTGTGGGAGAATCCAAGATTTTCACTGTAGGAAATCATTTCAACCTGAACATCTGTGTTGTATTCTTTCTGAGCCTGGAGGGATATCTCGTACAGCTGGGGACAAAAAAACAAAGTAATTCAAGGAAGCAGCAACACCCACTAGGAAATGAAGTAAACAGTCAAAGGACGCGTTCATAACGGCCTACTTTACCTTCAGACCCATGTGATGAGGTACAATATCGTCATCCTCTGAATGCAGGATAAGTAGAGGGCTGGTCAGGGTCTTCACACTGGAGATGTTGGGGTCAAATATATATTAAGTCAGATGGATTTGATTATCTGAATAAAATATATAATGCACCATTTTATCATGTTCTATTGCAGGTATCTCTGTATTTATTTAAAGGTGGCGAAGGTTGGAAACCCTACAAAATGAATAAAACAAGTTTAGGCTTTTATTTAAGTGTACTTACTTTTTATCGCTAGCAAACACAATGTTGTTCATTGCCACAATGTTCCTAAGCAAGCTCTCAAATCCTGGAAGGAACATGTATACCTGGAGGAACACGGGGTACAAAGTGTTGAAATATTTAGCAATTTCCTGTGTACTGTAATAACATACAAATACTTGCGTAACAGAAATAGTTGTGTGGTTTAACATCAGTCAACTTTGTCTATGTATCTCCGTATGGATGTAGATAAACGGAAAACCTTTAATTGCAAATCAGTGATGAGAAGTGTTAAATGAGCTGCGTCAAGTGATTTCAACATGGTAAACATGTAAATATTGGTATCTAAATAGATTTTTTATTTGAGGCCTTATTACTTATAGATTAAGCCCTCTGACTTTTATTGCACGTCATCCCGCTTCTCTATCCCCAGTGTTACTTATCACTCAGCCTCTGAACAATCTCAACTGTCTAATTAAAAATCTCATTCTTCTGAAACTAGAGAGTGTGTTTTCATGGAGTGGTAAACGCCCTGAGCGGCTGCAGACAGACAAAAATGTAACAACTCACCTTAGTGAGCGGATAGTTGACGACAACTTCTCCCATAGTTGTGAACGGAGCTTGAAGGATTAAAGCATCAAGAACAGACCCTGATGTGTTTAAGAAAGTAACAAAAATGATAAAATAAACCAAAAATATGGATGGATAAGGTATTAAATGATTCAAATCACTGTGACCGTTAAAGTCTTTAGCCCACCTTGTTCTTGGACTTTCACTGCAGTATTGGTTGCCACCCTACAAGAAAAAAAAAAAAAAAGAGTGTCTTTCACATTTCACATCTTTCCAGAAGTCTCTGTTGGCGTCATGGACAGTGGACGTTACTCAAGGGCTACTGACCCAGTGCCGAGTGAGTGTCCCCACAGACAGACAGGACCTCCTCTGCTGTGTTTCTTTACCCAGTGGAAGAGGAAGAGAGCGTCACTGGTCAACCCAGCTTCACTTGGCTCCCCGGTGGAGTCTCCAAAACCTTTATTAGGAGACATACAAACCTTAAAATGTTTTGACTGACAGGACAATACACCAATAACATGATACGTACTCTATTTTAGACCTAAATAAACAATCTACTACCAGTGTGTGTAATAATAATAGTAAAGATTGCATTTTTCTCTTCTTATGACAAAAGTAATGTGTCAATAATGTTTTCGAGTAATCCTCATAAAACTAGGACAAATCCAGGACCCTAAAAGAACACATGTGGTTTTATTTAGCAGAAACACGATCACATGAAGCATCAGCATCTTACCTCTGTAGTCTAAAGATAAGACATGATACCCTGCAGCACTTAAAATCTGCAACACACAAAAATACTGAATTTGATCCAAAGCTGAAAGTCAAAACTGATCAAAACTGAAAAAAGCTTTGAAAGAGAAACTGTACCTTCACCAGTTCCACTCTGTGATGTATGGCCCTGCACAAATGACATGAGAGCAATGAATACAAACAAACAAGTGGCTTTCAGACTCATTTACTTTGACCCACTCTGCATTGTGTTCATTGTGCCTGTGGATAAACCCAGGGGCCTGAGCAGTCACGTGTCACCCACTAAACCCATTAGGATCAATTCAAGGGTCCCTATCCTGCCGCTCTCATCCCACCTGGTCCCTAAGTTGCCATGGAGATAGATAATAACAGGGCGGCCGTCTCCCAGAGTTTCCCGGTACCACTCAGGGCTTCTCCCCATGGCCTCGTCCCATTGGCTGGCGGGGAGTGTATGCCTATGAGACAACAAAGACAGAGAGCGAGGGAGGAGAAAGTAAAAACAAAAAACGCTTGTGTTTTCAAGCATACAGTCGTTTTGTGATCTTGTGCAGATTAATGAGCAGATTGCGGTTCTATTCACTCAGGAGCCACTTGTACCGAATATGCACGCGCTCGTGGTATTTTCAAGCACTGATGCAATTCAAAGGACAAAACAGAAAGCAGCAAATGACCTACCAGACACCCACTGAGACGCCCTCCTCTGTGTCCAGGTAGAAGTTGCATGTGTGGTTCAGCACGGCTTCAGGTTTGCCAAGGTCCACAAACAATGGAAACCTCACTGCAGCAGGCAAGAGCACACAAGGTCAGTAGGATTTTTGGGATTTAGGTAGTATTTTATCATATCCCAGCAAAGTGTATCACATAATATTTCATTGTATTATCATTTAATGATTCATTACATATTGTATTGCATTGTATCACATTAAATCGTATCACATTGCATCGTATTGAATCATATCGTATGGCATTGTATCGTAAAGAATAATGTATTGTATTGTATCCAATCATTTCATGTTGCATTGTATCACATTGTATTGTATCAGATTGCATCATATCCAATCATCTCGTCTTGCTTTGTATCAAATGTAATCGTATTGAATCATATATTATTGCACTGTATCATAATATATTTTTTATCAGATAGTTTCGCAAAGAATCATATCGTTTTGCATTGTATTTATACTGTATCGTGTTAACTATCGTAAATAAATATTTTCAGAAATTTAATGTTTTGGAAAAGTAAGGACCAATCTCTGGTCACCACTTGTTTAGCTATATTTAAAATATTAATATATTTGTGACTTCATATCAAATCAAACTGAATATTTGTAGGTTTATGGGTCTTGTCTATTTATTGAACCTTTACACATGTGAATTAGTACAATTTTCACAATGAGAATAGTAAACAGTAAATGGACTTTGTGTTGTGCCTTTGTAGTCCAACCACTCAAAGCGCTTTACACTACATGTCATCATGCACGCTTTCACACACACACACACACACACACACACACACACACACACACACACACTCATTCATACACTGCGGGCAGATGCTACCATGCACGGTGCCACCTGCTGTACAGTGTGCAATAGTGTGTGATAACATACAGTGACATCATTTTCCCTGCAACTAAAACACATAACTTTAACAATGTAACCGCAACACTGCGTATGACCCCTTTGGTTACCTTATTAGCATTATGTTGCTCTAGCTTTTTGTTCTATTGATCATGTGGGGACTGGAAACACGCATTACTTACACAGGTGAGAGAAGATGATATGGCCCAGGATCCAGGGGAATAGGTAGAGGATGACAGGCGCTGATGCGTAGACAGCGATCAGAAACAGCGCAGCTCTCTTCATTCCTGCGTCAGGAGAAAGTGATTCCTATCTGTAGCAACAAATTTCAGTGTGCTCCCTTTTCCTTGTTTCAATGGTGGACCGAGAGAGAATGCAGCAGAGCTTTCGTCCTGACAGCATGAATGTTGGGAAATACAGAAGAAAACAGGTCAATGCTCAATTGAAACTAACAATTCCCTCTGCTGCTAGTGCTTCACATTTGATACAGTGGGTCAAACACGTCAAGCTAAAGAACACACCCAGCTGACAGGTCACCGCTGCACTGCAAGGCATTCTGGGTATTGGAGTTCTTTGAACAGTGGCACTTGTGATATCACATGTAAAAATGGCAAAAATGAAAGTACTCATAATCAAGACTGGCCCTTGATTGTGTTATATTATTATATTTTTGGATTATATATTATTGGTGCGTTGCTATGCAGCTAAGCAAGATTTTAATGTCCTTTATTTATATTTCCTCATATATTTCTTTATAAGAGCAGCTGCAAGGGAGAAACTCCCCCCAGGATCAAACGAGTATTCTGATTGCGATTATAGTGGGGTTCATTTGAAGTACTCTATATACTTCTGGGTAATCTGATGCATACATTTGTTGATCAGATGCCTTGTGTGTTAAATCTTTTTTTTCAAATTATCTGCAGCCGTCAATCGAATGAAGTGGAGTATAAAGTAATCATTTTCTTTCTGAAATGTACAGTCGTGGAGTAGATAATGGAAATATTTAAAATGCCATTACATCACTGGGTTTAGAGTTTTATTGTAGCCTCACAGACCAACCAGCACATGTCCAGGGACATGAAATGGCTCTAAAGAGGGAAATTCAAAAAAAACTTTCTGTTGTCTGTATGTTGGTTGTCCTATCCCAAAAGATGCAACTCTGTGCATTGTGTAATGTTTTGAGTAAACAGCCTTCAGTTTTTTTGGGCAGAATTGTTTAGAGTGTAAACAGTGCTCTGTCATGGGACCACATCATTATTTCCTTTAATTGTTGAGGATTTAGCAAAACATAGGGCCAGCTATCAGTGGTGGAATTCATACATTTACTCAAGTACTGTAATAAAGTACAAATTCTAGGTACTTTTAATAATTTATGTGATCGTTAGTCATTTTTCATGTAAAAAACATGTATTAATTCCAGTTTCGTGTGAAGATGTGCTGCTTTAACTTTAGATTATCTTTAATTTAGTTTTTAACAAAATATTGAGGTTTGGACTGCTGGTTAGACAAAACAATAGGTCTCACTTTGGACTTGCTTATTAGCCTTTCTCACTATTTTGAGAATTTTTGCAAACCAATCAATCAATCAAATCAAAAATCAATCAATCAATCAAAAAAACAATCAATCGATTAATGGAGATAAAATTAAATCAATCAGATTAGCCCATAATTAAAATAAGCATTAGTTGCACTCCTATACAAAATAGTAGGATTTTAAAACTTTAACAAGCCTAAATGTTCCTGATTTTACTTACATACTTTTACTTAATACACATGTTCAATGCAGAACTTACAAAAGAGTATTTTTACAGTGTATTCTTAGTACTTTTACTGAAGTTACTTCCTTCATCACTGGTAACTATGTCCAATGATGAGTGGATGCTAGTCTGAACTGCAACCAACGGAAGGAGTGCTGGACTAAATACCTAACACAACAGTCGAATAATAATAATAAACTATAATAAAGGGATATCATAGTTCAAATCGGGGAAGCATTATATCAATTTAGTGTGTTGGTTTGGTCGACAGGGGGCCAAACTGTGGCCAGTCAGACCGTCGCAGGCTCTCGGTCACCGCCCCTTCCTCTTCCAGCCTCTTTTCAAAATCCGCTACAAGCCGGAGGAGGATGTCACACACGGGCGAGCACACAAAGCGTCCACCACACTCTCCGGGGCTTTTTTTGGGGGGTGAATAAAACGTCTCCAGCAAGTCCCGACAAAACCGACTACATCGTGAAACTAACGGCTCGTTGATTGTTCTGGAAAGAATGTTTTACCTGCGTGGAGGGAACCGCCACGCGACTCCGGGAGAAATGTTGTAAACGTTTATTTTATACCAGCGTTCCACAAGTTAGCGTGAATCACCGAACCATAGTTTGTTGGGGAAAGGAGCCAACTGTCGTCCAAGTTCGGAGACTTTGGTGAGTGTTTTTTGGCTTATTTTGCAACATTTAAACGGTTGCTTTCTATTTCGATGCAAAATGAACATTCATTTACTCAGTAACTGTTCGTGTGAGACTGTGTGTGTACTTTGTAACTTACTTTTCGGATAGTCTTACTTGTCACAGTTGCTTTGAAAATCCTTAAAAGTTTTGTAAAAACGCCTGTAACTTTTCTCTAAATGCTGCCTTGAAAATGATTTATTTTAAACTTTTAGACAGTTTTCACATCCTAAAGAAAACACTTTGACAGTCTTGACTAGTATTTAATGAGATTTTTGTGGTGCCCAGTTTTGCTTTGTGTGACACATTCTTCTACACTGTTTGCTCCAATCATCTATCGGCTTGTACTATGAAAGTGTTCAAAGTGAGTCGATGTGATTTGCAGTTTGATGCCAGGTGAACTTTATGGCAGTGTGGGCAGGTTAATAGCATCCTGTACATAAATAAGTGATGTGGATTTCATGAGTGACTTTGTACAATGCACTTAATGTGGTTGTTTTTTGTTGTACCTGTGCCAAATTATAGCAAAAGATGATATCGATGCATCGTGATTAAGAATATGTTGCATGATGGGAATGGATAGGTAAAGGGTCCAAGACGAGGACCAGAATGTTGCACAAAAATTGTGAAATAAAGCAATCGCAGACCTGAGGGACTCTGTTAGAATATGGTGTTTGTGGGTGATGGACACAATAAATATATAAAATACCTGTAAAATATGTGCCAAATGAAATATTGGATAGTTGTTCTTAATTATTCCCTTGAAAACATTTTCTGATTACATTTTGTGAGCTTTAGATAGCTCTTTATTCACTTCAGGTTGTGAAGTTGCAATGATTATCTACCGCTAGCTGATAAGATGTTTCTTCATGATGTGATTTTCTCTGCATACAGACATTAGGTTATTGCAGGAAACTTCCCTTTGTTCCATAGTTATCATCGTCTCCGAACCCAAAAGGGCTCCAACAAAACCTTAATATACCCATCAGTGTTGAACGTTACTGATGTTGAAGAGCAAGTTGTTGTCATTTTTACTTTTCCAGGTTGACATTTGTGAGTAGTAATTGCCAGTGTCGGTGAATGCCTGGTTGGTGTGAAGGATTAACCTCCTCCTTGTGACCTGGTCTAGAGGGATTCTTTGGCTGCAGCAGCTGCCAAACCTCAGCCGCTGTGGCCGAGCAGGACGGCTACCGGGATAATTGGCTCAGAGGCTGCTTGGACAACACAAGCAGTGTGTGTGTGTGTGTGTGCGTGTAGTGAAACTTACTTCGTAAATAATTGAAATAAGGTCAGGCCAGTGCTGTTAGGAACTCTCAAATTTACACGATAGTTCTAGACAAGCTGTCATACTGCTGAGCCATGATTTTCTTGCATTTCATAAGCAGCTCAAATGTGTAGATGCAGAATACTGATTTGTTTTTTTGTCTCTATTGTCTGTGGTGAATGGGTACCCCGAGTCCGGGGTGTGGGGGACACCTGGCCGAGCGCTAGATGATCTCACTGAGAGCAGCTGGAAAAGCAGGGGTCAGGAGGGTTCTCTTTGTATAGACATTTAGGCACAAACTGGGTAGCTCTTAATTTGAAACTCCATTCGCAAGGTCTTATACACAGCACTTGTATCATGTTTGTGTTAGAACAAAGTTAATTTCAGATATCTATCGTCCCACAAGAGGAAATTCTTTTTGCAGCAAGAAAAACATGAAACATAACTAAAACATAACTATATCAGACATCTGAAGACATTAAAAGTGTTGTACTAGGTACACAATTCAGAATACGACGATGTGTGTATGATCCTTAAGCCTCAGGTGGAAGACCGTCCATGAGTTATGACGTTGCTGAAGTTGGTCACTTGATTAGGTCTCGCATTTATGTTTCAAATGAAAGACCAGCATCCTAAACAGTTACCCAAGATCCATTGTTTGCGTTTCTATTATTGCTTGAGACAAACATGGCTAAATCATGCTGAACTGGACTACAGACTTCTGTTTGAGTCCACAAACCTACTCTTGCCTTGTCAAAGGGTTCTTATTGTTTTTAAGTAAAGCAATGACGCATCTGATGAGAAAGTAAAACTAGTTTGTCCATGTCTCTGTAACTGATGCTACCTGACAGTAAATATTGGCTTAAGGCTTTTACTGTAACCTTCCCGATTGGTTCAGAGACACTTTGCTGTATTTATTCTTAAAAAAACTACTTTTTGTTTCAGCCTATGCATAATCAGACCCCCTTACATTTTGATATTATCATTACAACATTGAATGTGTTTAAACTTTTATAGAACTGTGTACTAGTTGAGGGTGCCTCAGGTTGAAGTACACGGGCCATGAAACATCTCATCTAAAGGCGTTAGAAAGAGAGTGATGGTCAGTGTCAGACTTGGCCGTGTCGATCAATTTACCTGATTGTCTAATCATTCTAATTGGATTAGCCAAAGCCTCCGCCACAAATGACGCTGGAGCGATGTGTTGTTAGCGCAGTCGCTCAGCGGCACTCTCGGAGGAAGTAGCTGCTAGGAAGGCATGCTGTTGAGATAGATGTTTCCACCCTGTGTGTGTGTGTGAGAGCATCTTTTCACAGTGATTGGATTTATAATACTCTTCATTTAGGGTGAAGAGATTAGGACCTTGTTTTGATTTTGAGTTTTTGCTTTGTAACAGTGATTGAAGTTGAATTCTGCTATTGTTCTCACTCTGAATAGACTCATCAGCTACAATGTGATGGAAAGCGTTATGAAACGAGTATTTCCCTTCCTTGTCTTTCAGGGAAGGGTGCTGTCCTGTGGGATGGATGACACCCAAGAGCAGGACCACTACGAGGAGCGCCTAAAAGAAGTTTTTAACAGTTTTGATGCCAGCGGCTCCGGCTCTCTGTGCCCGGAGGAACTCTCCGACCTCTGCCTGTCGCTGCAGCTGGATGATGCCACACCAGCTCTTCTCCACACGCTGCTGCAGAGCCAGGACCGCCTCACTGCCAGGGTAAGTTTATTCCTCCTCCATTGATTGTCTTACAGGTGGTTTACGCTGTGCAGTCATTTGTTCAGAAAACTTGTATTTGCAGAATTATCATTATTGCTTTTCTGATGCACATGTGAGTCTTGGCCTTTCGGCTTTCCCTGTGCAGAGCGTCCTGTGAATCCTTTGAATTTGGCAGACCCCTGTGTTGAGCCACTCCAGCTCTCAGGTCTTTGTGTCCTCCAGGCTTTTTGGTACTTTGTTAGCCGTCTCGTTGAGGAGAAAATGTGCCCCCATCAGCCCTCGTCCCAGGTGTCTGTCGTCAGGACAACCAAGCTGGCTTTAAGGGTGCTCCTTGTGGAAATGTATGAAATGAAAAAAAGACGCTGGTCTGATCTGTGTAATTGGACTTCAGTTTGCATAAAATGGATTGCACATACAGAGGTTTTCCACCCTAAAGTAGGAGGATGAGACAGATTTCAAATTACTAACCTCCACACTTTTGCATAAAGTCAAGTTTGTATTTAAGCGTGTGGACAGACGGATGGCTATTGTCTTGCATGTTTGGGTGGGTGGGAGGGGGGTGAAATGTGAACTGATTGCATACCCATGGCATTCAACAATAAAGTCAAAAGAAGAAGAAAAACCACGCAAAGCCGCCAGCCTCGACGCACAAAGAAAATCAACATATTCAGGGTTAGCAGCTGTTGATTTTTGAAGTGTGACCTCGCTGCTCCTGCTCAGCAAACCCTCCTCCACCCAGGGACACCCAGCCTGCACCCGGCACACTGGGAATTACATCCAGTCTGAGGAATTTCATGCACTTTTGCTTTGTTTTTTACTGCGCTTCACATACTAAGCATTGCTGGCATTTTCTCTCTTTTATGTAACATTGTTCTTTTTTTCAGGTTGACTTTGACCAGTTCAAGAATGCACTGATTCTAGTGTTGTCATCAACTCTTGAGCCACAACAAGAAGAACAGGAGACATTGTCAAAAGCAGGTAAAGTCTGGATTCTGATTTCAAAGATTCCTCACACTGACGATGTCTTTAGAATGTCCGTCTGAAAACAAACACAAGCTTTGACTGTGGCTCAGGATCTCCGCAAGAACGAGCCTATACCGTGCATGGCTGCTTGGTGTATGTGTGTGAATGGGTGAACGAGAGGCATATTGTGAAGCGCTTTATGAATGCAGCCCATTCGGAAAGCATGAAGCCGAAATAAAAACCGAATCTGTAATTCATGACGGCATCGGTTTAAGATTGAGACCTTTTCCACTCAACAAGTCAACTAAGTGGAGAAGGTGACTGTGAAGGCTGAGTCAGAGGAACAGCCCACTTGCTGATTCAGCTGTAAATCTACATATAGACGCACAGAGCCAAAAGAGAAAGGCCAATTAGCCAACAGTTGAACTATTTGCACCGTCATGGTCGGACCACTGGCCTAGTTTGTTATTTTACGGATGTAGTTAACCCAAAGAGTGGTTGAATACTAAGGGATTTCTTGGAAACATTTGTTTGTACTCCCAAGTATATTTTTGTGAATGAATATTTCAGACACCTGGTTAATACCAACATCTTTTCTGCTCAGTTATTTCTTTGAAGGTAACATCTCACACGAGAGATCACAAAGGAGCGACAGACTCACCCTGTATGATCATAAGTGTATAAACAAACCAAGCATTACATATATCATTCCTCTGTATAGTATTTGCATTACGATCATTAAAAATTAAGTCTGATCTTTGTTGGAGCAAATACTTCACTGTCAATATTTATTATGTCCTAAAGCAAATGAAGCATAAAGTCTTTTCACCTAAAACACTGTCGACCTGTAGTTATATTTCAGTTTCATTTAAACAAGTAGGAACGTGGCTTTAAAATATTGTTTTCTTACCACTTTTAGAGAAGTTGTCACTTTGGAGAAATAGTTTCTGAAGGCTGCGGCACGTATTAGTCATTGATCATATTTCTTTCTGTATTTAACGTCATCTGTTGTGCAGGCATTACTATGACATATGCAAGTAATCAGGACTCTTCTTATTTGAATGTTGAGTTGTCTTTGTAACCCCGTCAGAATCTCCTGCGATCCAACCAAAGTTCGTGAAGGGCAGTAAACGTTATGGCCGCCGCTCCACGCCGGAGTTCATGGAGCCCATTTCAGACTTCTCTGAAGTTACAAATGCAAACACGGTGGCGGAGGAAGATCTGGAGGAGAACTATGACTCTGCTGTTCCCCGGAAGCGTGAGGTAATGATGATCTCTGAGTTATTCGAGGGCCGCTCTGAACCTTCAGACGTCGTCCTTATCGACCTCCTGTCCTCGCACGTGCTGTGTTCCTTGGCAGCCGCAGGCCGTCAGCGAGGCGTTATTCTTAGCTAATCAGCTTAGTGGCATGCAGGGCAGATCCTGAAATGTTATATAGACGCTCAAACGCAGGATTCACAAGGCCTCGTTCATCGCATATCAACGCAGCTCTGTCTGTAAATACAACTGTGAGCATAATTGTTGTTTAAACAGCCTCCTGTGGTCCAGATGTAACTGCGATGTTTGCGTAACGTTGTACCGTGTGGTCAGTTTAATGTGTCATGATGAGATTATCTGTGAGTTGAACTTTGCCCTGAGTGCACATGCTGGCTGTGATGTGGCTGTCAAGGCAACAACGCAGGGGTTTTAGGAATGCACATCTCCATGTCCAAACACATCAGAGTTTTCAGCAGATAAAAAGAGAGACCGGAGCTGATTGTTGCGTTTATGGCTGTCGATTTATTTATTTTTCCCACATTTGCTGTTGAGTCCTTTTTTTATTATTTAAGATTGACAGTAGGCGCCTTCCATTGTCTCTGCACAGGACAGTAGTGGCTTGAATGCGACATGCGTCGGTGTCACAGAGTTGTGTAGCATCCGTTCAGTCATGGCCACGCACAGCTGAACACTCTGCATGGTTCCTCTGGCTGATCTTCTAGATCCTTTTCATGGATTATCCTGCTCTCTCTGCTGACTTGGAGAGTGGTTTGACATATGTACGGAGGTCTAAACTCCCACTTCATACGTCCGTGGCCTGCAATGGAAATCAGGATGGGAAATTTACATTAACAGTCCCACTTTTGTCCTGAAAATGTATTGGGCTGTAAGTAATGGGGCTGTGCTGTCAATTTATTAGTCTATATAAGTTATCACAAAAAGCTGCTAAACAGTCAGTAGTGCCAGCTTCTCAAATGTGAAAAAAATGCAGTTTTCTCAGTTTTATATAATTGCATATCTTTGGATTTTGGTCCATTTAGTTGCACAAAACAAACAATTTAAAGACGCCAACCAAGGGCTCTTTGAAAGTGTGATTATTATTCTCGGACATTTTATAGATTAAACGATGAATTGATTATTTGAAACAATTATCAAAAGACTATTAGACAATCAAAATGATGGTTCGATGCAGCCCTATGTTTAAGTTTTGGTAAGTATTTACTGACCGCTGTGGCCTTTTGACAACAGGTGGATTTTTCATTCTAATGTTTAATCATGGATGTGCTGCAGCAGAATAAATCACTACAAAGAAAAGCACCCGACTGGTCACCAAGATGCTATAACGATGGCCGGTTCAGCTTGTGCACGGATGAACGTGTTAATATTCTGTGTATTGTCTGCGCACCTGACTCCGCCCCAGATGCCTGCCAGTGTCGAGACAAACACTGTTCGAGACATCGAACAGAAGCGTGTCTTGGTATTGACTAATCTGAGTTGCTACAATGTCCGGCCTGGGGACCAGCAGATGGGGATGGGTCAGGGGGCTCTGCACCAGAGACTGCAGGCCGGGTGCTGTGGGAGGAGGAGGGTGAAGGACTGTGACAGAGGAACAATGAGCCCCACTACCCCCACCCTCGTGGATGCCTATACACCATGTATCAAAACGCCACTTGCAGAATCCCATCTGTTCTTCATCCCCTCACTGTTTGCTTCACAAACAATAGATGGTCACGCTGGGACCGGGTTGGAGCACGGTGGGTCACACCCACATAAAGCCCTCCTCCTCGCATATTCCTTGACAAGCACAAAAGACGCAACTGTGTTTATGTTAAAATCGTACCTCTACTGGTATTACAATAACGGTTTAAGAGTAAGAAAAAGTCATTTGGATTTTAAACTGAAATGTCCTGATTTTTAGTTTCAAACAGCATTTTAAAAAACATATTTTCCTGAGAGAGCGTTTCCTTTTCACATCTCAACGTCTTATTCATGTGATTTAAGACTTAAGTTTTTATATGTTGGACATTGGCATGAGGAACATACTATTAACATATGTTTGAAAAGAAAATAGAGAAAAGTGTGTCTCACCGTGACACATTTTCTCTATTACCATCATTCCTTATTTGCACACTGACCATCCCTAATGCCCTCGTGCCGTCACAAAAGCTCCTTTATGCTTTTTTATTTATTTACCAGACCCCCCCCTCCTCCTCCTCTTTGCATCCAGACTAAACCCCTCCTAATTTAAAAACATGTTTGGACTTATAAAGAGCTGATTGTCTCACGTGAGACAATCAGCCTGCTGGGAGATTTTAATATTCAGTTATTTCCACACAAAAAAAGACATGTTAGATATGTTATTTAAAGCCTCTTTGTGATATTTATGTATGTATGTACAATATTAAGTGTTTTTGTCTCTTAACAGCGCTGGAATGTTCACGAAACAAGCACAGAGGAGTACGAGGCAGAAGGTACGACAAAGACGCAGTGTTTCCAGAAAACTCACTCTACAGATGTTGTCACAGAACGATCACGGTCTCTTCTTACCTTGTTTTCAGGCCAGATGCATCTCTGGAACCCCGACGAGCCGAGCACACCCCGGGGAGCCGTCTGTCCTCTGTCGGGCTGCTCAGAGGAGAGACTGCGTGACGCCTGTGACGAGCTGGAGATACCGTGGGATGGATGCGCCGGTCACTCCGAACTCCTCGCGCTCTGTGAACACCTGGGCCTGGAGGTGAGATTCAAAAGTGAATGGAGACGATCAATGTGTTAAAAGTTTGAAAATCACTTTGACCTTCTTCTTTTTTTTTTTTTTTAAATCACACTTTAATTAAATGCTCTCTGATCTAGTGCCACATTAGAAATCCATTTTTGCAAAAAAATAAAAAAGACTAATGGCTCTAAATGAATGTGGTTATAATACGATAATGATCAGAGAGTAAGGTGATGTCTGCACATGTTTTGTTTAACCAATACTTAAATTCCCCCCCAAATGATTAATTTCCCCATTTTTGATGCTTGAATCTTTGCTTCTTAGTTAGAATAAAATATTTAATGATGATTAATTGTTTACCATAATTGTTGCTGGTTTATTTCCTTTCGATAAATAATCATAACAGCCCTAGATACATGTCAACTATTTGGTTGGAGTGCCTTTGTTCATGTGAAATTCTATACAAATTGTGCACTTAACAACCTTCAAATCAACCCAAGGGAGTCAAACGATAAAAGAATCACTCACTCACTCAAACAAATTCTGTAGTTTCTCCAGCAAGTGTTGATACAAAAGAACATGCATTTATTTCCCAGATGAATTTGGATATGCTCCAGAGTCTAACCGGCGATGGAGTGATGAATGTTCAGGAGTTTGTCTCCAGGGTTGTAAACCACAACAAACCCCCCACACCGTCCGCCTCCACACCCTACAGACAGCTTAAACGACATCACTCCACTCAGGTACTTGTTTGTTGAGCTCTACGAGGTCACAGGATTCCCTTGTCAATTCATTTCTTTTAATATGTATTTTTTTTAATATTTATTATTATTCTCTGTCCTAGCCTTTGTTAAAGAAAATACCGATCATGTCATCGTGCATAAGACAAATTGTTAGTTGACAAAAACATTTTTAATTTATAGTTCCTCTAATATGGTCATTTAAAACCAGATCTCAGGTTACATTTGGTCTACAAAAATGCATAAAGTGGAATTTTGGGGTTTAACTGTTTTCTTCAGTAAAAAGAGGCAATTTTTCCCCCCCGTACAGCCCTTTGATGAGGGAGGTCGGAGGATAGTCACTCTTTCTGCTCTGACCAGCACCATTGGCATGCGTCTCTTCTCCACCCTTGATGACGGTACCGGTTTCACTCCAGTCGAATACATCCTGGATGCCTGGATAGATGAGGGAATAGAGAACAGCACTGAGATCCTGCAGGTACCTATTGGCCATTAGTGTTGATTGTTTCAAAATGTACAAATTCATTCATTCAGACAGCCGATGGCATAAAGGAAATCAGATTATTGCAGTTTGCTAGAAAACAAAACTTCAAAATACTTGGTAAAAAAATATAATCTGAGATAAGGACAAATGTATAATTATGACGTTTTTTGCAGGCTTTGAATTTCAGCCTAGATGGAAAACTGAGTCTCAGTGATCTCACCATGGCACTTGAGAATGAGCTACTCCTTACTAAGAATGGGATTCACCAGGCGGCACTGGCGAGTTTCAAAGCTGAGATCCGATATCTTCTGTGAGTATAAGTCACTCATTCAGATCTTTCTCTTTTTTTTCATATTCAATAAATACATTTGGAATCATTTGAACCTGTTAAAACCTGCAGGATAATCGTTGGTTTGTTTCTCTTTCCGTGTCATGTGTAAATCTTTGTACAATTATTGTCCCTGTTGTTTTTGTCTTTTCAGAGAGCGTGTAGACAGAGAAGTCAGGGAGAAAGAGAAAATACGATCTGACCTGGAAAAAGCAGAGAAACTAAAAACTCAACTCTCCACTGAGGTGGATGAACGTCACTCTGCGATTGAACATATGAACTACCTTGATCTCAGGTAATTTATCCCTCTGATAAATGTTTATCTTTTCAGAATAATTAGATTATTAATGTTTAACTGTGCCGTCTGTTTGTCAATTCAATGTGACTTTATTGGCACGAATGTTTCACAGAAAAAAACAATGTTGCCAAAGCATAAAAAGGCAAAAGTACATAATAACATTAAAACAACATTTCGATTGTTGTATAATAATGAGATAGGTGTGTGTGTGTGTGTGTGTGTATACTTCTGTTTGTCTCTTTACCTACATTTTACCGTGGTTGATTTTAAGGATTAAAATAGTACATTTTATTTATTTTAACCACAAAGCCTGCTAAACTCAAAGTCATCCGACCGTTCCTGCTGAATCCAGCTTCCTCCTAACATTTGGCACAGTCAGTATTGTAGTCTTCTTTGTAAGCGTTGCACCCGGTTTTCTGTCTACCTGAATGTCTTCAGGAAGCTTGAACAGGACCACAAAGAGAAGCTAGCAACAGTGCGATCTGAGCTGATGAAGGAGATGGACCAGATGCAGCTGCAGGCCGGCCTGCAGCGCGAGGAACTGGAAGCAGAGGTGGACAAGATCAGGGAGGATGAATCTTTTCTCAGAGACCACCTCTCCATCTCTGTGAAGGTACCCTCTTTTTTTTTTTTTTTCTCGAATGTGTTCTTCTTTCGTTTCTTAACGCACAAAGCACTCGTGAACCTTGACGTGACTCAATATTTCTGTGTCTATATTTGTGTCTATTTTTATTTCAGGAAAACAGACGCCTTGAAATGGAGTTGCTAGACAGTACCGACACACTCGTGGAGGCACAAAGCCAAAATACAAAACTCCAGACAATTTTGGACAACGTTATGAAAGAAAAGGTACAGAGACATTTTATGGCGCACCATGATTTCAATACTGAGTTTCTCTGTTACTTGCACACATATCTATTATTATTTTGTTTGTAGTGTGTTTTTTTCTGCTTGCCTTTTTTGTTTACTTTTTTTTAATGCGTGTTCTTTCTCTTCTTCTTCTTGGTCTTTTTTTCATGTCTTTTTGTTTTTATTTTGTTTCTGAGCAAACAAACTATTAACTTGTAAATTATCACTATTGTCTTTAGTTTGGAGACCCTGGCAGTGCAGACTTCTTACTCCAAGAAGACCGTATTAAAGAACTACACAGCGGCTATGAAGCTCATTACAGGGTAATTGCATCTAAGTCACTAAAACTGCCCACCTTTTTATTGAATTCTTTTTTTTCCACATGCAGAGACATTCAAAAAGCGATGACAGTAATATTGTCTTCGCAGACTTGTAGACGTTTAACTCGTAATGCTCTCATTTTGAAGGAACTGCAGGATCGTATTGACGAGCTGCAGTCAGAGTTGCAGGAGTTCCACAGTCTTGGACGAGTTCATCCGCCCTGCCACAAGCCCCTCTCTGAAGAGCTGGAGAGTAAAAGCCCCGGCATGGAGTCTGATCCAGGTAACACATGTGCTGTACATTCCCTGGAGAGCTAATTACAGCACCCTAACTACATCTGTCCACGACAACAATCCCAACATAGTCTTTTTGCATAGAAACAAGGAAACCTTGTGTCAAATGTCACCAGCTTCACCAACCTGTAACTTGACTTTTTGAAGGTATTGGTTCAGAGGAGGTTCAGCCCTTCAGCATCAGCCTTGAGGCAGAGATGATGTTGGAGCAGCTGAAGGAGCAACACCTTCAGGAAATGGAGGATTTGCAAAACCAGCTGGAAAGCAAGGTTAGTGTGGTAAATATCTTTTTATATTTCAGTGTATTAGATGTGTGTTTTTGTAATAAGAAATAGAGCTGGGAAGAGCAGGGAGACATATTGATGTAATATCAAACTAGTGGATTGAGGCATTTTAGTCTTTACCTGGTCTTATTGGCTGCACCACAGTTCTTAACTTATGTGACAGTCTTCAAAGGATAAGTTTGACATCTTTAAAATCTTTTCCTTCTTCGCTAAGATCAACATCACTCTTGTGTCTGCTGTAAATCGGAAGATAATGCCAACAAATGATATGATCAGCTTAGCTTGGATAAAAGACTTGAAACACGGGTAAACGGCTATTAAACAACTGGTTGGCAGATTTTGATACCTTTTTGAACAGAGCCATAATAGCTGTTTTCCCCCCCCGTTTCCAGTATTTTGTAGGTAAGCTAAGCTAACCGGCTGCTGGCTGTAGCTTTTAGCGTACAAACATGTTGATTGATGATCATGTCTCGTGTTACTCTCGGCACACAAAGTAAAAAAAGTGTATTTATTAAAAGGCATACTGTTCAATTACTTCCTCTTCTTTTATCACAACAGATCAATGAATTTGATGAGATGGTAGATAAGCAGAGGGGGATGCATGAGGACCAGAAGGCTGCCATAGCCCTCCAGTGCCAGCAGGAGGTCCAGGCTTTGAGGGAGGAGATGGCCAGCGTTCAGAGCCACAGACAGGAGCTCCAGAGCCAGCTAGAGCAGGCGGAGCTGGAGCAGACTTGTCTGGAGCAGAAGCAGGCCGAGGAGAGGGAAGAGCTCGACAATCTGCAAGAGGAGCAAGTGGGAAATCTCAGACAACAACTGCTAGAGGCCCACACCTACGCTGCAGACCTGGAGGAGCAGCTGAAGACCCTCGAAGCCCAGCAGACAGAGATGGATGAAGATCTTGTAAAAGAGATGGACGAGCTGAGGAAACAACACGCCATTGAGATCAAGAAACTGGGGGAAGAGCAGGAAGAGCTTTTTAAAGCAAGACTGGAAGAGGAGGGAAAGAAAGCGCAGGAAGAACAGGCTGAGTTGGAGAAGAGATTGTTGGATGATTGCGAAAGGGAGAAAGAGCTTTTGCAACAAAGCCATGAGGAGGAACTGAAGGCCAGACTAGAGGAGGCAAAGGTGAGGTTTGAGGGAGAGCGTGAGGAGATTGTTCAGATGCTGACAGAGCAGTGGCAGAAAGAGAGGGCTCAGCTGGACAAGCAGAACAATGAGTCTCTGCAGGTGGTGCTGGAGGAAGAGATGTTGAGACTTGTCAGGGAACACGAAGAGAAGGAGGGCAAGCTCAGGGAGCAGTGCGAGAGTGAATGTGCCCAGCTTCAGGAGCGTCAGGAGGAGGCTCTGCTCGATGGAGTACTTCAAGAAAGGTTGCAGGTACAAGAGAAGTTTGAGCAGAGGGAGAAAAAGCTGAGGGAGGAGTGGGAGACAGAGAGGCTGCAACTGGAGGAGGATTACGTAGGGATGCTGCAGGAGAGGCTGAACGAAGAGAGGGAGAAGCTCGAGGCTGAGAAAGAGGAGGAGGAGAAGAGAGTAGAATGCTTAATGGCAGAGGAGAGGGCTCGTCTAGAGGAGAGCCGCTGTGAGGCCATGAGGGAGCTGACGGTCAAGCACACCGGAGAGAGGGACGCTCTCAGCAGCATGTTGGATAAACTACGAGATGACATCGCTCAGGAGAGGTGAGATATTTGGCTTTTGGAGATTTTTAATTGTGCTTTTATAATAGTAACTTCTTTATCTATAAAACTTGTAAATGATCTAATATGCTAAAAATGTATGTTTTGTTTTAACTTGTAATATAAAGAGTTCAAAACAGTTGCAGTAACATTCATTACATAACCGTGTACAGGAGGGAAATCGAGATCAGCTTCACCCAGAGAATCAAGAAGGTGGAGAGTCGTATCTCAGGTGATCAAGAGTCTGTTGCAGAGCGTTTTCAGGCTGATCTTTTGAAACTTGAACAGCACTACCAAAGTGAGCTGAAGGCTCTTTCTGAACGGCATGTCGAGCAGAAGCTCCACTGGGAGGCACAAATACAGGAGGTGCTGGAGAACGCAGAGGAAGAAAGAAGAATGATGCAGGAGGCCATGGAGCAAGAAAAAGAGAGAGTGGATCAAGAGTGGACAAAACGACTACATGAGATAGAAAGTCTTCATAAACAGGAAATGGAAGAAATTGTGATGAAAACACAGCAACTGCAAAATGAGCTGGATGAGTTTATCAGTTCGGCTCAGAGTAAAGAGATAGCGCTGAGCAGGCAACTGAATGACCTCCATAACCGGCTTCAAGGGAGCCTGGAAACCAAAGACGAGCATCTCGCTCAGTCTGAGAGGAAAGCGCTCGAGACTGAGCTCCTGCTCAATCAAACGGTGGAAGATTTTAAACAGGAGAGGGAAGAACTTCTCAGCAGTCAGTCAGAACTTCAGGCAAAATACAAGGAGTTGCTTTCTATCTCTGAGAGGCAGATTATTGAGAGGATTGAACTGTTAACTGAGCGCGATGATTTGAGGATGACGATCGAGGAGGTTGAGATGCTGCTCAAACAGGCAGCCGTGGACTTTGAGCTTGAGAGGAAAGCGCTAGAGGAACATACGTCCAACCTTGAGGAAAAGTTAGAAGATAATCGAGAGAATGACAGAGAAGAGCTGCTCACAGAAAGAGATGTGCTTAAAATCAGAATTAAAGAGCTAGAGTTGATATTCAATCAGGTTGTGTCTTCTACAGAAAAGGCTAAGGAAGAAGAAATCGAAGAATCAAATGAAATGCACACTTTAAAGGAGGAAGAATGTATTTCATTCTCTGGTAAAAAAAAGGAAACATGTTTGGCACCTTCTGTAATCCATCTCACAAATGATGCAATGATCAAAAAGGATAATGAATTAGATGAAAAAGTCTCTGATGCCAGTGATGATCAAGGAGACAACATGCCAGAAGTTAATCAAGCTGTTGCTGTTCCTGAAGATTTGCAAATTGGAGATTCAATTCCCAAGAAAGTTGAAGTAGACCCCGAAGTAGACTGTTGCTCTGCAGAAATCGGACATGAAGACTCTGAATCAATGTCATGTGATGGGCTCAGCCCAGATGTTCACATTGGAAATCATTCAACTGTTGAATCCAAAAATGAAGCCGTTTCCCCGGAGATGCCGTGTGAGTTGACCTCATCCCCTGAGGCGTCTGAAGGTGTCGATGCTGATGAAGACGGTGAGAATAAAGAATCATGTGAGAGGGAGAACAAACCTCCAGATGTACTGACTTTGGTCAGTGAAATCCCTTTCCGTGAAGATAAGCCATGTCATGAGACTGTGGTGGATCCCTCAGTGCTGGAGGAGACGGATGAACTGTCTCTAGCGGATGCTGAGGTTGGGTGTTTACCAAATAACTCTTATTACAGTACACAGGAAGCTGAACTTGTTTCAGACTGTGAACATTTAACCTCTAAAATACAGGAAGAATGCGCACATGATTGTCAGGATGAAGATGGTGATTGGGAGGACAGTCAATGTTCTCTCCTTAAGATACAGGCTTTGTATAACACTGCCACCGAGGAGAACATCCTCCTACATGACAAGATTTCTTTGCTTCAACATAAGACAGACATACTAGAGAATATTCTGGCTCATAACACAGAAAAGATCAAAACTGGCCACCAGATACTGGAGGAAAACTATAGCCTCAAAGTTAAGGTGCTATTTTTAATGGAGCATGTCAAAGAGCTGGAGGCAAAGGCCTTAAAGACGACAGATGTTCAGATTAGATATGAAGACTGCATTTGTGAAAATGCCAAACTGAAGGACCAAAACGGTGAACTCGAAAAGACAGTTTGGAGCCTTGAAAGTCAGATCAGTGTTTTCCATGATTTCCAAGATCAGCAGATTGCACTGGTGGATGAGATCAGCCGGCTGAGAGCAGAGAACAGTAAGCTTACCAAGTTGTTCAGTGAAATGGAGAGGCAGGGTGAGATTCTTTCAGCCGCTCACCCAGACGCTGAACAATCAGAGGAGTCTCTCCGGGATAAAGTTCAGACAGTGACTGACCTGGAGGACAGCTGTGAGGACTTTGAGAAGCAGAACACCAACCTTCGCAGAGCCATCACAGAGCTACAGGACAAGTCGCAGTCGTTAAATGCAACAACGCAGGCGCATAGGTAACGTGGAGGAAAAACTAGGATCCCGTCCCTCCGTGTCTCCTGTGGCTTCTCGTTGGCTCATCCCTGTGGTGCTTTGATTTTTAAGAGCGCTCCTCCTCTAGTTCTTGAGCTCAACGTCGTGCTGTCTGTCCATCCCGTGATTAGGTTCCTTTATGAGATGCAACAGATCTTTAGCTCTTGTGATCCCTGTAGATCACCAGTGGAGTAGCAAAAACAATTGCAAGTTCAATGTGTGTAGATGCCAGAATAAGATGCTTTAATCACTACGTAGCAAGTGACTCAGTATACATCTACCCACTGAATTATAAATGTGCATTCTGACATGTTCGGTTTTATTATAGTTGGAATCTAGTTTTTTTTAAAGTGGTTTTGTCTGTCTGTAGTTCTGAGGCCAGTCGTCTTGCTGAAGAAAACGTGGTCCTCAGAAAGAAGATTGCTGCGTTGAAGGAAGAGGACTTAAAAGAGGTCCAGGAGGAGCTGATGTAAGAAACGACACATTTAATTTAAACACGTATTTGATAATGATTATTGTTAATTTGTCATGTAAACTGAAATTGTCTTCTAATGTTTGATTTTAGACAAACACTTGAGCATCTGAAAAAAGGGAAGATTGCGGATCGAAAGGCGGCAGAGAAACGGGTACTGAAGTAACTTTTTAAGTGTCCAGTCATGCGATCAGATCCGTGAGGCTGTACGTAAGGCACAGTGGAGCTAAATGCTAATGTCTTGCTAAATGCTAATGTCGGCAAAGACCTGCTAACGTGCTTATTTGTACTGAGGGCGGCATCAATGTCTGTACCAAATTCATGACAATGCATCCAGTAGTTGTCGAGACATTTCTGTAAAAAACAACTGTCAACAACCTCATGGTGGTGCTAGAAGAACAGTCAGGGGATCACCAAAGTCTTTAGGATGCATCCTCTGGGAACCGTCAATGTCTTTACAAAATGTAATGGCAATCCATGCTTATTTTAGATATTTCAGTGGTGGATCAACTGACTGGCCAACATTGCCATCCATCGAAAAGTCATCAGAAACTATTTTGTCTCCACACAATTAATTCCTCTTTCATTCTGACGCAGCCAATAACATATATTATCTTCTCTGCAGATTTCAGAGCTGCATCTGCAGAGCCAGCAACTCGGGGATGAGAATGGGATGCTGTCGGAGAAAAATGCCCAAAGCATTTCTGACATGGAGAATCTACGGCAGCAGCTGGCAGAGCTGATAAAGGAGAACGAGAGGAGGGAGGCGTTCACCGCGGAAGAGAAAAACAAGGTAAACAGGGTTTTATGACTGACGATGGTCATCGTGGTGTCGTGCTGGTCGTAGCTGGTAGTTAATTGGTGGCTGTTTTGTGTTAGCTGGCAGCTTGTGTGTCTGCTCTGGAGGCAGAGCTGACCAAAGCTCTGGAGGACTCTGCACAAGCAGAGCAGAGGAACACCCAGCTGTCACAGCAGCTCTCTGGCCTCAGAGAGAAGGTGAGCACCAGGCCGTGACACGGGCACAAAAGTTATAAAGCATTAACACCTCCTACTCTTGCCAAGAAATAACTCGGACAATCTAATTGAATACAAGTATCAGAAAATCATTTATGTTCAAATTATTCAGAGATATCGTGGTGTGGTCTAGCTAGAGCATTGAAGGTGCACATAAAGGATGGTTTAATTACAACTGTAGTTGTCTTTTGGTTCTCAGGCTGTCAAAGTAGACTCGATGGAGACTCAGCTCTGCCACCTGGTAGAGGAGCGGATGAGTGTGGATAAGGAGACTCTGGGCCTCTGCAGCCAGCTAGCCAAAGCTCAAGAGAGGGTAAGAGTCTGCTGTAACCCACAGAATCATCTGTATCAATCAATTGATGTTAAGAATTGGTTTAACGTACTATTCGTAGTAATTAAACAGATTTGTAACCAACTGGGAACAAGTTAAACCCCCAAAAACGGTGTTATTCAGGATCTAATGCGTCCCTTTCTCTACTCTAGGTCAAGACAGTGGATGAAACTCTTCAGGCTGTGAACCATCAAAGTGCTCGTCTCAAGTCAGAGCTCCGTGTTTCGCAGAAGGAGAGGGATTCCCTTAAACATGAAGTTGCAGTGCTACACAAGAAGCTGCAAAATGTCAATGATAAAGTAATAATTTCTTTTTATGTATGCATAATTGGCAAAAAAAGGAAGACTTGAAAAAATAGACTTAATGGGATAGTTTGAGTGTTTTGAAGTGTGGTTGTGTGAGTGTCCTTCTCTATAGCCAGTGTATTACTTACAGTAGATGGCGGTCGGCACTCTCCCAGTTTTTAGAAACAGACAGGCGTACCAGCACAAGAGCAAAGCAATGTAGGAAAAACCTTTTAGCCACCTAAAAATATTGATTTAAGTTTATGCTATATTTAGAATATTTTCACTGCTTTACATTGCCATCAGACCGAACTAAATTCGTTATTTATGCTCTCTTCAAAAGCCACAAACTCCATTGACATGACCTTTTTACCATTTGTTCATCACAGAACCACGTTTTGGAGATGGCCTTGCACTCGAGTGGTCTCCAGAGTAAGAGCAAGAAGCTGTACAGAGAGGAGATGTCTCGGCTGGTGGGCCAGGAGCAGCAACTGCTGAGGCAGGACAACGAGAGGCTTCAGGCTGAAGTCCGCAACGTCAAAGGAGACCTCGTGCAGTCCAGAGACAAGGTGAGCCGAGTCCTACAGCAAACTGCGATGAACGTTAAAATATCTACAGTCGTATAAGTGCTCCAGTCTCTCATTCAGTCACTAATCTATAAGCCCTCTATCTTATGTGCGCAGGTCCGTCAGCTTGATGCTACCATCCTGTCCCTGAAGCAGCACAAACTGACTCAGTCCTCCCTGGTGAAGGCCTTGGAACAGGAGAACGCCTCTCTGAAGCAGGAGCTCGAGGCACAAAAGGAGCTCACCAAGGTAAACTGGATATATCTAACCAGATTTTTTTTATTTTTTTCTAAACACGCTGATTATGTGGCTTAAATTCTTATTACATGTGCTTTGGGTGTTTCAGGGCTGTGAAGCAGGACAAGGACACGCAGAGCTGGAAGACCTTCAACAAGAAAATGAAGCGCTCAGAGCCCAAATGGCTCGACTGACCACACAGCTGCTAGAGGTACCAACGTTTCTCCTCTTATTCTCGTGTTGTTGTTGTTTAAGACATTGGCTTATGGTTTTTTAAATTGAGTATATATTTTTTTTATATATAAAGAGAACTTGTGCTTTGATTTCTTTATGCTTGTGTTCTGGTTGTAACTTTTGCACTAGTTATTATAGTTTTGAAATTTGTATTCATTATTATTTTTATAAAGTCTTTCATTTTGGTTTTGATTTTAGTTTTGTTTTAAGAGTGCTTAAGTTGTTGCGTTTTTATTTAGAGGAATTTACTGGTTTTAGTTTCAGTTTTTCAAGTATTATAATAAAATCCACGATTTACGGTACAAAAAGGGTTTTATGGAAGCAGGTATCTGGAGCATGACCGCGTTACACTAGTTACTGTGTCATGAAGAAGTCAAATAGACAAAACAAAACAGATTACACTTATATTTTGTTATTTTGTTTTGCGTTGTTCACTGTAGTTTTTTTTATTTCCTTTTTATTCTTTAACTTCTAGTTTTAGTGTCAGTTTTCGTTAACCACAATAAACCTGTAAACATTCTGTTTTGCCAGATTCATATTGGAAAAATTTTATTAGTTATTAGATTATTGTTAAATAAAATGACCTCATACTGTACTGTGTATTTCTGTTCTGACTTTGTATGTTTCTACTTTGTTTAGACATTTCAGGCTCAGTTGGTGGGACTTCTGCCTCCATCACCTCACAGGATGCCTCGGGGACAGCATCGAGGTGAAGATCCGGACAACATGCAGGTACGTTACAACCTTAACCTTCCCTGATAGCAGACTCGGGCAAATACATGCATGAAAACAAAAAAACTGCTTTTATACATTCAACTCTTGTAGGCTTGCAAATTAAATGATCCCTTACAGGATAAACAGATGTATGTTTTCAAACTACATTTTCCCAGAATCTGCTTTGTGATCTTACAAAGAGCAAAAAACCTGAACGAGCAGTTTAGTACCTGAAGGTTTAGTGCCATTGCATCTTTGCACGGTTTGGTTTTACACTCTTCTCCTGCCATTTTTCTTTCACTGTCTTTTTTTGGTCACATTACAGCCATCTGTTGTTGCTTTTACCATGAATTCATCTTTAATAGCTGTAAGCTGGGAACCAAATGTCATGTTGGAGCTGTTTTGGGATATAATGGGAGTTAAATGTAAACACACCCATAGTATTTCTTTCACTCTCACTTTGGTGTAGAAACTGTGCCCACTCAAATAAGTCACTCAATTCAGGTGCTGAAAAATGCATTTTATGTGTTTTTTAAATATGCCAGGAAATTCAAAGAAAATTGATGCCTCACTAAAATGCTGAGCATTGAATATAAAGTGAATATTAATAATGAATTGCTTCAAAAGTGTATAATTTCACCTGAGCTGAGTCATTTGTTGTTATAATCCTCGTTTATTTTTATTTTCCATTACCTTTTTGTTTGAATGCGGAGTTTGCGTTGCTCTTTACTTTGATGCTTGTCACGGATCCATGTCAACACCCGTCTGTCTTCACCTCCTTATGTCGTGTGTGTGTGTGTGTGTGTGTGTAGTGTTTACTTTTTGGGTTTGGTGTTTAGTTTGCGGTGCCTGTGTGTTTCTGAACTCACTGTCTTTATTTAATTTTCCGTCTGGGGACTTCAGTAGCTGCAGTGGTGTGATCATCTGGGTGTGGTCCTGGTGGCTGTTTTCCATTTGTCACATTGCACAAGCCTTCGTCTCACCCCAACCACATAGATGTAGTTTCTTCCAGTTTATCTGTAAATGGTGTCATCCCACCGATAGTGTGTTTTAATAGCATCTGACTTTTTGTTGTCATTTTTATCTGCAGCATGACACTACTGGTTACCAGAAGGTTACCATGAATGTAGTGGATCCCATTTACTGTAATTGTGTATACTATACATTTATGATGTTAACATTCATGTCAGTTTATTAGTTTTATTGTGTTATCTGGTTTTATACATAATATAATAATATATATTAATCATATACTTACCAGAGCTAACATCACAACGTATTGACCTCATACAAATTTGAACAGTTTACATGATGTTCAACGCTGCCTCATAAACAAACGGAACCCAGACAAAACAAAACATTTTTGCTAATTTCATGTCCGTTAACACATTATGTCTGATTCAGTTCATTCTATTCTAAAACTGTAAAAACGGAAGAAGCCAGGATATCTTGACTTTTAGTCTATAGTATGTATTGTAAGCATTTCCCATAATGCAAATGATTAGCTTCTTTCAGCAGCCCCCTAAATGCCCACTTCTCTCAAAGCCCAGTTTGTACTGCACGCGTTGTTCTAAGTAAGTCTCAAATAGGGTTAGAGGAGAGGGTGGAGCCGTGGTGAAGTGTACCTGCCTTTTCTCTCCAGGGGCCGATGCCGGAGCAGCGGGCGGCTCACGCAGACAGCTACCGGCGGATCGGTGGATTGTAACACCAGCGTCTTTCTTTTTCACCTCAAAGACTGCTCCTCTTTTCTCATACCGGCTCCTCTTCCTCTGCTATGTTTGGAACCAAAATCTGACTGTGGCGCCTGATGCCACCATTTCTGCATCCTCATAGGAGATTTGTGAACAAATGTGGTGCCTGATTGAAAAGGCATGAATGTGTAATTGTATTTCTCTGCTGCTAGGTGGCAGGAAAACACAGAAGAGGCTCTTGAGATTTTTTTCATGCCATATCCAATGTAACATCAGCAAACACAGAGCGGTTTGTTGACCGTATTTGACTTTTCTAAGGGTCCATCCTTTTGTGCATTAAAAACATTTTGTAGTTTTAATACGGGGAATCTTTTTAACGCAGGGTGTATTTTCTGGGAATGTTCTGTTGTGCACTTGTACCATTTATCATTGTCTGAGACAGGGTGTATACATCCTCAGAGGCTAAATCTTGCCTTATGATCATCGAGGAGTGTTAAGTTGAGGTCAGATTAGTGCCTGACAGCCTTCTGAGCCTTTTCCAACAATCAAGAAACGTGTAATTGTCAGTTGACGTTACCGTCTGCGTCCAGTATGAGATTTCTTAATGAAGGTACTGCGTTTTCACTGTTTATCTTTTGCTGTTTATGCCTGTATTTCTTATCTGACACTACACATAGTGGAATGTTTCTTCAAGCTACCTGTTTGTGTTCTGGGACTGTGTGTCTGTGTTGCTGTTGCTGCTGCTGCACAACCAAAGTGAATCACGTGTGTCTGGGTTATGTTTTCTGTTCAAACACGTCACACAACTTTGAATGTTTTTCTGGTGTTTATTAGGATGAACCAAATCATTGTTTGTCCCCAGTAGTGATCAGTTAATGTCATGTGTGTTATGAGTCAGTTAGTGAGTCTTCCTTTTTTTTGCACCATGTATTGACTCAAATGTGTTTGTTTTATTGTTTTGTTATTTATTTTAATAGAAATCATGTTAAAATTTATTTTATTTATGCATTAAATTATTTTTGTAGTTATCTGGAATTTATGGCATCATTTTATACTTATTTATATTTTTGTAGTGTCCTCTCCTTTAGAAATGTACCAGAAATCATTCAATGCTGAATTTAAGATCTAATAAAGCTTCGAGCTCATTAGAATGTGGTCTACATGTTGTTTTGATTTTTCTCAGTTTACTTCAGCTCAGAGGGAAGAAAATTCAAATTTCCTCATCACATTTGCAGAAAATTGACATCCCTCACTGTCTTCTCACCAGGATGAAAGGGAGTGGAAGATGAAGAATATGGAGGAGCGTATGAGGGAAATAGAACTGTCGCTGCGTAACGTCAAACTGCTGCTCAAAGAGAAGGTTGCTCAGCTGAAAGACCAGGTTAGTTCAAAGAAGCTCAGAATCGTCAACTCAGTGTCTCTTAAAAGAAAAAAAGAATTGTTAAAAAAATAAATCATACTTATCATTTTAATTTTCAAGAGGGCCAAAATCATGCTTCTTGGAAATGTCTTTCATAAATGTTCACATAACTTTTTTTTTTTTTTTTTTTTTATTATTCCATTTCTTAAAGTGGATAGAAGCAGCATGGAGTTGTGTTTTCTAAGGGAAGTTGTGATTTACAGTTTAACAGTTGCAGTGCTGTATTCCTGAGGAAGATATTCATATTTGAGTTTTATGATCCGAAAAGATTTAGACCCAATATTAACTTTTTATGAAACTTCTCAAAACTAAAGTGTTTTTGAAAACCCACACACACTGTCATCGGAGTTTATTAAAGACGCAACGTTTCAGTCATGGACCTCCATCATGCATCAAATTCACTGTGTGAAGAAACGCTTCTTTGCACTAAAGCCACCGGTTGTAACAACCAATAAAAAAGGGAGAAAGTATCCAAAGACACCTGAAATAAATGTCACGTTAATGATTGATAAAATCATCCTTCTCAAACAAATAATGTCAAAATATCAAACCAAGAGAAATTATCCGAAATATTTAAAAAGTAAAACCTAAATCTAAAAGAATACAAAATTAGAAAAGACATATTTAGAAGAGGAAGCAAAATTGAAAATGGGGATCATCCCAACAAGATGTCAAAACATCACAAGAATGAGTTCTCAGAGTAAAGCGTGGATCTAGTAAGTTTCCCTTTTCTTGAGATGTGCGTCATTGTTGTCGTCTCGTATTCAAATAAGCTTCACTGACATGAGTTAAATTATTGCCAAAACTTAATTACATATTCATTAATAATTACACCAAAAAAACAAAATGGTAAATCCCAAGATAACAAATTCACATTAAACACTGCAACTTATTAGAACATATATACACAAACGTAAAACCATTCAGCAAAGCAATAATTTGCAGCCGAGAAAGCGGTTTTGTTGCTTTCTGTCGGGACTTTATCTTCCAGGAGGGAGATAAATTACTCATAGACACCAAAACAGAGAAGACTTTAAATGTGGTTAGTAAATAATTGTGATAAGATACTGTATGTTCTGAGAGGGACAACCAGCAATGTAATAGTGATTCTACATTACTGGGGACACATCTTTGGCCTTTTGTATTGCAATGTCTTTGCTACATACCGGCTAAGCTATGTGTCAATGGCCACACAGCTTTTCCTTCTGGCTGCATCAAATGAGATTCATTATGGAATAATCAAAGCCTTTATCGTGTATTTTCTCTTGACTTTTCTAGCTGCACAGGAATGGCAAAGCGGACGTGTTGATCAGAGACCTGTATGAGGAGAACACCGAGCTGCTGAAAGCTCTGGAGAGAACTGAGCAGCGGCAGAAAATCACAGAGAAGAAGAACTACCTGCTGGAAGAGAAGATCTCCAGCCTGAACAAGATAGTGCGTGACCTAAACCCCTCGCCGCTTCCATCACCGTACCACTATAAATGCCCATAGTATATCTCCTAAAACGCCGACAGGTACTCGGGACATTAACAGCAAAGCTGTCCAAAGTCAACCATACAGTGCACTGTTTGTTTACTCATACGTCTTTTAAAATATATGTGTCATTGCTTGAACCCTGGTGCAATAGATGCAGTCAAATGCACAAGAAAAGGTCTTTCCGTTGCATTTCCTCTGGCATGTTTTATGTCTTTTAAGCCTAAAATATTACTGTTTAAATATGCAATATTTTGTATTTGTTTTTTTCTAAGTTTATATTGTGTTGGACCTTTGAAGAACCAAATGTGAAGTTGGACTAAAGAAAATATTTGACAGTAATTTATCATTTTAAAATATCTTCTAAAGCAGTAACTGTTGTTGGTAAATAAGTAAATATTTTACTATGATACTATTTCTCTTTGGAGAAAAAGGAAAGCAACACTGAAGTGCACTTTTTATGTAAGGGTTCTTTTGTCTATGTTGGCAAAGAGATTAATTATGTTTATCCATCTTTCCTTTGCTTCTCGAGACCTTATGTAAAGAAGAAACAAACCTGTCGGTAGTAAAATCATGTGTACAGAACAGTCAAATAATCCGGTGACCTTTTCAGTGTTTGTCATGTAACACGACCTGACGTCACTCGAGTGAATGTCAAGTGGCAACACTTGCTTTTTAAATACATTTGATTAAAAGCCTATAAACTGTTGCAATATGTAAAGTTTCCTATAAGCTGTGCCATTATGAATGTTTTATATTCAAATGAAGTGTCTTTAAAGTGAAGCATGAGCACTAAAGCTGAAAACAGGGTCATCTTCTGTATTCCAGGTATAAATAAAATACATGGATCGTGTCTGGTTTGATTTCTTACTGGATTCATTTTTTGTGTGTGCTGCTGTTTGGAGTTTATCTTCTCAGTGCAGGTGTATCAGTCTATAGATGGTAATGGAAAAGTATATTAGTACTGTATTTATGTGCAATTTTAAGTCACTTGTACATTTCTAAAGTATGTTTTACTACACTGCATTTACTTAACAGATTATTTTTGTACATTCATATTTTACACATGTATAAAATATGATGCCCTGCTCCAACAGACAATAATTGTTGTTGCAATATTATATATACAGACAGAATGATTGTAGTATTGCACAGTGTATTTATAATGCACAGATGTTTAGTGTCATAGGGATGAATGTGAACATGGTTTGTGTAGCCGCTAGGTGGGCAGGACTACCAGGACTGTACAGTAACCATTCCCAGTGAGGACGAGCGGTGGGAGTGGAGCTCCGCTCAAAGGCGACTGGACCACCGGGAGGAAAGACTCGTCCAGTAGCTCAAGTTAGCTGGCTAACTTGCTGCTAGCTAATCTATTAAACCTTTTTTTTTTAAAAACATGTTTACTCTCCGGGATGGTTGCAGAGTCGACGGGTTGTGGCCATGACGTTCGCTGTTGATGTTTCCCAAAAGCCTTGAGTTATGCTCTCACGAAAGAAAAGTAAAAAAGAAGCGTCGAAACCAGCCGAGGTACACGGGAAATATGTGAAGAAGGAAACGTCGCCGCTCCTGAGAAGTAAGCGCAACAAGTTAGCCAGCTAGCTCAGAGTTAGCCTGCTAGCAGTTAGCGTTAGCATCAGTTCAGACAAACTTTACTGGCAGTAACTAGCAAGCTAATAATAGCCGACACGCACAAGTGTATGTGTGGACATACAGTGCCACATTAACATGGCTCGTTATCTTGTAAACAAACAGTTTAATCGCGTTTTTGTACGTAAATAAACAGCTAACCTGGTAGTTTAAGTGCTAGCTAACTAGCTAAACCATCATCTAGCTTCATTAACATCGGATGAAGTGTCAAAGGAAAGTTTAGAGAGAACAGTAACTACTCGTATTGATAGCGAGAATACAAAACTACTCAAATTAGAAGTATTTTACTTTTAATTTCCTTTATTTGTAACTGTGGTCTTCTGAAAAGTAAGATTTGTTGCTAATATTTGTCCATAGGTAGTAATTAAATTGAAGTTATCATGTGTCGTTGACTTGTTCTTTGATGTTAAATAGTCTGTTATTAGAGATAAAAAATTCCAGGTGCCATTTAATTGACATGTAATTTAGCTTTTATCATTAGTGGCTTAGCCATTAGTCTTATTACTTTGTACATATTATCAGTGGTGGAAGAAGTATACACATTTACTTAAAGTATGCACAGTAAAATACTTCATTGAAAGTAAAGGCTTTTTTTAATATTTTGGATAAGCAACTAAATGTATAAAAGTATATGTTAGTCGTCTATTACAAAGTAATGTGTTTTATTATTGATTCATTAAAGTGCAAGTAGCTTTAATATTGTTGTTCAAAGTAGAACTCATTTTACTCTACCGTATGTACTGTTGGGTAGTTAAATTTACACTATTACAATAAACTATTTAACATAATCGTTTATTTTGTATGTACCTATCGTAGTGGAGTAAAAGGTACAATATTTCACTCTGAAATGTAGTGGAGCAAAGAAGTACTCAAGTATATTGCGAATATCCTCAAACTGTACGTAAGCATAGTATTTGATTACTTCCTTACATAGTACTTTACATTCTCTCACTGCGTATTGATACTACTTCTGTGTTATTGTGTTGACTGATACTGACAGATGCTCTTGCCTTGTTTACCTGGTTGCAGATCTTATGCCATCATTCATCCGCCATGGACCCACTATTCCCAGACGCACAGAGGTCCCTCTGCCAGATATGGGGCCCTCTTCCTACCCTGTGCCACCCACCCGGGAGCCTGTTGTGTCCCGCAACAAGAGCTTTCTCCGTGCCCCTGTGCAGAGGCCTCCTCACGAGGTGGCCCGCAGAGAGAGCCACCGCATGTCTGCACCTCCGTACCTGCCTCGCAGTCTGGGAGACCTGCCTCACGAGTACGGAGGCTCCTCACAGTCTTTTCTCACAGACGTGATCCCCATGTCTGAGAACGGAGATGCTGCCCGGTATTACTACCCCTCTGAACCTTACTATGACAACCAACAGCACCAACAGCACCAACAGCAGCAGCAGCAGCAGCAGCAGCAGCAGCAGCAGCAGCGCCAGCCCATGAGGGTCCCGGACCGCTTTCCTGAGGACTATAGATACTATGAGCACAATGAACACAACTTCCAAAGACTTCCACGACAACACACCCCCCCAGCTCCAAGCAGACCCCCTTCAGGTAAACATGACATGTTTTTTGCATCTCACTTTTTACAGTATTCATTTCAATAGTTCCTCTTTATAGGAAAGTAAACAAGAGGCAGTGACAAGAAATTGGAAGCATATGCAGTTTTGGAAAGTTCATGGCAGGCAGTCGCAGTCTCTTGAGGGACAACAACTACACGGCTGTTTTCTGCAAATTCAGTCATTTTTGAGGATGAGCGTAATCACAACGGCAAGTCTACAATGTTTCAGATATGTCTGTTGGGGAAAACTTTAAGAAAATATTATCAACTTTAGCGTCCCAAGAAAATGTTAGTAGCTGTACTTCTGTACGACTTGTTTTGAAACATCAAAGTATTGCGGATTGGTTTTGGACCGTACAAAAGAATGCGAGCCGTTGCTTGTTACTGAAGAGCTCAAAAGAGCAATTTTATTTCAGTCTTCCTGAGGGATTAAATATTTCTAAATTGCTCCTCTACATTGTAAACATTAGTGATGATGTAAGTGTGTAATTTCCACAAGATTAAATGTTTATGGGGTCGCAGGAATTTTCCAACCCACTCCCAACGATAGAGAGCCTTTTATTATGTGGCTGCCTTGTCAGCGTCGTGTATATGCTTTCGTATTCTGTCGGGCCCGCCTATCGCATATCACAGAGCCTTGTTTGGAGGGAAGTTAAACACGCTTTAGGGGCTCTGCATTTTTCACCTTTCTGTTTGCTGATTCCTTCTGCCAACAAACTAGCAATTTGCAGACCGCCCCCATTCAAATGTCTCAGCTTCAGACGGCTCACTCCTATGAATCATCTGTGTACGTCAGTCTTGTTCTCTGTGTAGTTAAACTGCACACGTAAGGTTCGTGCGTGATGCACTGAGCAGTGAGCAGAGTTGTTTTGAAGGAGTCATCTACCATCAGCTGACGCCTCTTTACTAACAGGAATGGAATTATTTTGTACTGTAACACATTGTAATTTTTCACAGAAAATGACGAACAAAATACGATGCTTTTTGTATCGATTTTTCATTTAAAAAATCTGCCCATTTACTCGTGTTTATTTTGAGTAGAAATGGGCGAATACCATTTGACACCACATAGTTTTACCATTTGTTCTTTTATTGTTGATCATCATGAGCATTTGTGATCACTGAATATTTTTAGGAGTTTACTTCATTTCTTGAGTAAAACCTCGCCATCACCAGTTGTAAAAATAGTCTTCTCTCGACTGTATTCAGTGACATTCCTGTACTGCATTAAGCTGTAGGTCTGCAGTGAGTGTGGCTCTCTGCCATTATTCTGAGGAAAAGGGCAGAGATGATGATGATGATGATGATGATGAGGTGGTGGTGGTGGTGGTGGTGGTGGTGGTGGTGGAGGAGGAGGAGGAGTGCATTTCTGCGGAGCGCTCGCACATTCCGTCCCTTCACTCAGCAGCTGGCAAAGAGCTCCGGCTCTGTTGCCGTCACTCTTGTGCAGAATTTATCAGATTGTAGCCGCCATTTTGCTCCGATGCTTCATTCTGCTGTGTTTTCAACCCTTTCCAGTTCCCTCCAGGCTCATTTGGTTTTGAGTCACGGTAGCTCTCACTCAGTCTAACTCATCCACACACACAGCTGTTGGCTCAACATTCCTCACTGACATTATTCGCCAATTTGAAGGACCGGACCTGTTGAGTGAACCCACTCAGCTGTCTGCTCTTACTGAGAGTGTTTGGGAGTTCAATGGTTTCTTCTCTTGCGTATGTTTGGCCGTGCAGAGATCTCCGCCTTCCTGTCCAAACCGAACGACACTCCCATTTCCTACCATTCATCAAATGATGTCGGCCAGAACGAGATGCTCCGTCACAACAGAGTCAAAGCGATCTAGCACCCCCGTCCACAATCGCTGCAATACTTATTGAGTGCATCATGCTTTAAGTAGTGACTCATTGCATTGCTCCGTTGTCCCAATCAATGTTCAGTTTCCACATTTTAATGACCTTTTTAAATGCTTCACATCCCTCTCCCTTAAATGACATTTTCCCACACACGCTGTTTTTAAGAACTTTTCCCAGCGGTGCTGTTAGCTGTCCAGCTGCTCTGCTCTATCTGTTGGTCAGAAATCCCTCCCTCTCAGTTTCTAAAAAGAAATGTTTGTTTTCCTCAGGCATAGGTCGAATACAGGCCAAGTCTCTGGGGAACCTCTCCTGTCTAACGGGAGAGGACATCCCCCTTCCGGGCGGCTGGACCGTTGACTGGACCATCCGTGGCAGGAAGTACTACATCGACCACAACACGAACACTACACACTGGAGCCACCCTCTGGAGAGGGAAGGGCTCCCTCCGGGCTGGGAGAAGGTGGAGTCGGCTGAGTTTGGGGTCTACTACGTGGATCACATCAACAAGAGGGCCCAGTACCGACACCCCTGTGCTCCGAGGTATGTCGTCAGAGTGGAGAGAGAGAAAGATGTTGTGTGGCTCTTGTTCACCTGGGTCTTTTAGGATGACTAAATTGGTTTCACACAGATGAAATATGCCATAAATACAACATAACCTCTGTCTGTTCCAGTGTGCCTCGCTATGATCAGCCTCCACCGTTACCGCCTCCTGTGACCTATCAGCCACGTCCTGAGAGGAACCAGCCGGTGCTGGTGCCCGCCAACCCGTACCACACAGCAGAGATCCCAGACTGGCTGCAGGTGTACGCCCGGGCCCCTCTCAAGTGAGTACTGTTATTCTCTTCGCCAGGAGGATCATGCGATATGTCGCGTCCGTTTAATCCGTGAGTGACTGTGCACCTCTGTGTCTGTCAACGGCTCATCTCGACGCTAGTGATAACACGGCTAACAGAGCTACCAGTGCACACACTGCTGAGTACATCTGCTACGCGGGTAGACAGCTAGGTGAGTTTAATTTAGTTTTAGGCACCATTGTATGAAATATTAAGATAACTTCGAGCCAATTGCCTGCATACTTCATCGCTTGTTTTTGAGTTTGAATGAAGTGTGTTTTATGACGCCTAGAATTGAGGTTAGCAAATTGTGTGTTGTATTCATCCATGGGGTCTAGTTGGTAATATGAGAGGTACAAATGATATAGGGGGCCGTCCAACACTTCCCAAAGTACCTGTTGAAGTAGCATGAATATCTTCCCTTCTACATCAGGTATGACCACATCTTGAAGTGGGAGTTGTTCCAGCTGGCAGACCTGGACACGTATCAGGGCATGCTGAAGCTGCTCTTCATGAAGGAGCTGGAACACATCGTCAAATCCTACGAGGCGTACCGGCAGGCGCTGCTGTCGGAGGTGGAGGCTCGCAAACAGCGGCAGCAGTGGTATGCCCAGCAGCCCAACAAGAACTTCATTGGGAACATGTGATGTGTGCGTGTGTGTGTGTGTGTGTGTGTGTGTGTGTGCGCGTGTGTGTGCGTGTGTGTGTGTGCAGCGGGGGACGTTGTGCTGCCACTCCTCTCTGAGGTTGCCACAGTTTGGGAGCGGTCAGGGTTTCCTTTGAAATCACGATGGACTCTTAATTGCCTCTTTACCAAACACATCTGTGCCTTTGCTTGATCCAAATATATCAGCCAGGAACCCCCCTCCCCCTCCCCTCCATGTGACAGTCAATCTATGAATGACCTTGTGACTGAAAAACACTCCAATGAAGAAGAAGAATAACCTATAATGTGCTACATCTGGGGAGACTCGTGGTGCCGTTTACAGCCACTGCCCTGAGAACTGAGTTCTGGGTTTCTGCTTTTAAGACTGAGGAGAACAGAGTCTGAAAAGCTACGGATATTTGTTCAAAAACATCCTGAGATTGTGCCTTTTTTCTTTTTTTAAATAAAATAAAACGCAGCAATTTTAATACACCAGCTACTCCGTCATTATTTCCTGTTGGAGAAAATGGCCGGCAGCTTAATGTAATTTGTTTCTATATGAAATACTTCATGAATATTTCTTTCCTTTGCTTTGATACCTTCATAAAATGAAACCACACTTTTACATTAAATAAAAAGTGCATTTTTTTTTCTCTTTTTTTTTTTTATGACATATCCTTAATAAGACAATCCACCAAAACTTTCACAGATATTTAAGTTTTGATATGAAATGAGACGTTTTGTTGGATAACATTTGATGCAGTGGTTTGTGCATCTTGTGGCTCTCGGCATTACTGTAAGTCAGGAATATGTGTGTAAAATGAAACATAAATAAGCTACTGGAACTTTACAAAAACACATCAGAAGACACACCAAGTTTGCCAAACAAGTGCAATTCAGCTTCTCCTTGTTCTGTTCTTTTGGGATGTTTCCTGCCTCGGTAATGCCTTGTTTTTATGGACTCGCTCGTCTCTTCTGTGGAAGAAATGATCACTAATCAATCAGCCTAAGCCGTCTTAAGATACTCCGAATTTGTTTATGCTTTAGGGTTTGTCTAGTAGAAACTTATCTTCACAGTAAAAAAATATATAAACAGTTTTGATGGGGATCTGTTTACGACGGTGATTACAAATCCAAACATTTCTGAATGTCCTCGGATGGTTTCTGATAAGTCGGCAGTGGAGTAGGTTTGTAAGAACGAGTCCTTCACTATGCAAGAAGGTCTCAATCACTTCTTTTCACAAACAGTGGCATCACTTTGTACATTTCTGATTTTGTGGATTGCAAATACAGAACAAGCAATAAAGTCTGCAGTGAAGAAAACAACTTTTCTGGATGTACAGTTGTTGCCTCTAGTTCTCTGTTCGCCTTCACTTTGAGCCTTAAACTAAAATAAATATATATATGTATATATATCCTGTAACAAAACATCAGACACAAGTATTTTAAAAAGAAATGAGCCGTCTCCATGACATTAATTTGGTCCAACTTTATTTGTTATTTCCGTGTAACTGCGTGTGTGGAAACTTGTAGCAGTGTTGACTTTGAAGAGGTTGATTCCTTTTGACCTTTCAGTACACGGAGGCTCCCACGATATCCGGAGATGATGTAAGTGTCCATGGGGGCGGCTTCAGGAATGAATTGTTAAACCCCAAAATAACATGTTGTGATACATTTGCTTTTTTTTTTTCTTCTTCTTTTTAACAGATAAAATCTTCAATTTATTATTTAAGAGCGTGAACGCAACACAATGATGCTACTTTTCTGACTCATGAACGGACACGGCCAAGAGGAAATGGGCTTTTGTAACCTCACGAGTCTTAAACTGGACCTCGATGGCTCTTTGCGTGGAAGGCCTCACTGACGTTGATTATACATTGTGGAAGACTCAAGAAGCCACTCTGCTGCAGCGCCTTTACATTTCCAAACCTTGAGGTCAAACCTCAGCATAATCTTGCTAAATATGCATGACAGTGTTCCTGTACTGTTCGTGACCAGAAAAGAAGAAATAAAAAAACAAAAACATTTCAGTGCTGTAGCTGTATGTGATGCAGACGTGATGCAGACGTGTTACAGTGAGCTCCGTGATCCTGGGTTATTCAGTGAGCTAAAAACAATAACCACAGTTACACAAATGTACGGTAACCGTCTACGAAGCCCAACTTTTCAAACACCAAAAAAATGCTGTCACCATTACGAGCCTTTTGTTTTACAAATGCAAGCTGTTTCTGGAAACAAAAGAAAAACCTCTGGGCCTGGCTTCTTTCACTATGCAGCGTTTTCACAGATGAATCAACTTAAGCGTGTGAAGATGTGGAATGAGGATTCTTTCTTTTTTTCAAAGCAGGCCTGTCGCCCCGCCTAATAACATGTTTGATTCCTCAGTGGCCACAGAGTAGCTACATTCCTCGGATTTGCTCGAACATTCAGTGAGAAACACAACAATGCTTTTTCGCCCGCTGTCTCTACGTCACAATGAAAACCAAACACGCTCTTTCCCCTCAACCTAGAAGACCAAACGCACATATAGAGGACCACCGCGCAATCACAACACTGCAAGCAGACTACAAAGTCAGAGATAAATGTCAGCTATGTTGTGTGAACTTTGAATTATTCTGTTTTTCTCTTTCCACCCGGCGCTGTTCTTTGAAAGTAAATGCCAGCACGAACTCTCTGATGCAGAAATCTACCTCCAGAACAAACTATACAACTAATAAATGTGCCATTGAGTGTCTGCATGTCGCCAGGCTGCAGTAGATGTGAAATAATGTTTACATGTTATTATGGCACAATACCACTTTGTCACAACTATTAAAACTTCTTCTTTTTTTTTTTTTTTTACAAAGTATACCTGGTCTAAGAGCTTAAAGATGACAGACATTAACCACTTACCATGCTGATGATGCTTGTAACGCTTCATTATTTAACATACACGTACATATTTTGGCTTTCAAACATCGCAGATCATAGATATTGTTTCTTATAAACAGCACTAAACTTCAAAGAACGGAACAATCGTCACAAATGGGGATTTCACAGATTTGGCTATACTTTGAGAATCAATGTCGGTGACAAATGATGGAGAGGAAAAAAAGAAAAAAAACGTCTGAAATGAAATCAGCAGCTGACTGAAGGTTGGATATGCCGAGCCTGCAGTATCTGTACAGGTGATATTTCATCACAGACAGAAAGTGAGAGACAACGCTAAATGGCATCCATCGCTTGAAGACAGGCACCCACTGAGAAAATGCTCTGACACTGGCTATACATGAACATTATAGAGTCCCTTATTACATTTAATAGTAGTGGATGTATTGGTGGGCAGCACCAGCCAATAACAGAATAAAAGAGTGCCTGATGGGTGAGGATGTCCCTCCTCCTCCTGTCCATCACCAGGAAGTCCCTGCTGTACTCTTGTCTTATCTAATCAGTCTCTCTTATTGTCCTGCTCCTCTGGCACCTCCTCCTCCGCCCGAGGCCCGCCGGGGAAGGCGTGGTGGTACAGGTGCCTGTGATTGGCCGCTACATTGTACAGCTTGTAGAGAGCCTGTGGAGCAGAGACGAAAGAAATATCAGGATTAAACTCGACCGGGTTTATCTTGAGGTACACGGCCATAGTCGGTGTATTATCCAGAGTTTAAAGAAGTAGGCCGAGGCAGCATGGAGGGTAAGCGATGTACTGCTGTGGCAAAACGTAAGCTATTTTAGCCACCTAGTGGAGATACAGTTGAGCACACTTGCGAGCAAAGTGGATGGATAATGGTGACAAAAATAGCGAAGAAAGGGACATAAAAACATTTCAATGTTTACCATTGTGTTTATTTGCATATGTTACTGTGAGTATCTAAATAGATGATCCACACATTTGAGAAAAATGAAGCCTGACAATATGCTCCCGCTAGTTTTTGTAAATATTACCACTTTGATTGCTCCACTTACCTCATTTGTGCTCCCCTGCAGAGGCATGAAAAAGACAAAAAGTAAAGTGAGCACATATATGCATTTGTCACATAAAGCATGTTCACTAACATTTATTATTGCTGTAGATGGCTCTGGCCTTATTGTCTTAAAGGCGATCGTTGCCCTCTGGTGGTTTGAAGATACTGTATCACCTAATTTACTGATGAATATGCGTACAGTATTAGTCTGCTGTAACATAGGGCCTTCTGGTTTATAGTTCTAGTTCAATAATTGATGAGTCAAGTAACAAAATATTAATTAAAAAGTTAAGATTTTTTTCAGAAAAACTTGCAACGGTTCATTGTTCTGAGCCGCTAAAATGTAATATTTATTATTTTGTTTAATCTTCTATAACTGTGCGTACTGCAATATGTTTTTGTTTTGGAATCCTGGTTGGACAAAACAAATTATCTGAATAAGTCAAGTTGGACTTTGGGAAATTGTGAATTAAACTTAATTAAAAGCTCCATTATTTAATTTTCAAGTAGGACAATTTACAATTTGTTGACAGTATTTGATTCCTCTTCATCCATTAAATAAATGGAGTAAATCTGATTTCTTCCATCGATGATAAACAGGCAGGATTCATCAATAAGGAAAATAATTGTTAGTTACAGCCGTATATATCCAGAACAGACAATTGTTTCCTTTTATGACAACTTGAAACTTCGCTTTACTTTTTATTTGGTTCAAAATGCAGCCGCCAGCCTCTTGACCAGATGTTTGACCAATTAAGATAAATGGGTTTTTTAAGCTCCCAAAAAAAAGTGATTTTAAAGATCTCAATCTGAACTACAAAACCCTCACTGTTGTTTATACAGTACCTGATATTAAATCATATATACCGGCTTCATTGCTCTGTGAGTAGAGTAAACATACAGTATTTCTGTAAACTTCTTTTTAATGTCAGGCAGCTGACCAGTTTCACTTATTCACTCATTTCTGTTCATTTCCATGTTTTTGTGTCTGAGGAACCTCTTGAAAACAAGTTTGTTTTTTCATCATTCTGTATTGTGTGCAAAGACTCCTGCTGGTGATTTTGCATTATTAATAAAGTGAACTTGAACTTGGTGACTATTGATTGAGATATTGATTAAGTTAGGCAGCCAGATTTATTATGAACTTCATTAAAGGTTGAATTACCTGGTCCCACAGTGCACCGGCCACCTGGTCGATGACGGCGCCGAGTTCCCGGTATTCCCCGGAGTAGCGGATGTAGGCCCAGGTGCAGAGAGTGATCAGAGCCAGACCCAGGATCATGTTACACAAGCTGGCAATGACGTCCACGCCCACAAAGCCTGTGATGCCCGCGGCCACGTACATGACAAAGATGACCACGAACAGGGTGGCCGGCGTCCGGGCCGCGTGGAAAATGTTCTTGGAGTCATTGTGCTTGATGTACTGGACAAACACCTCGTCAATCTCTCCCTCCAGCTGCTGCAGGTAGCGCCGGCTGAACTCCTCGCCCCCCATCTTCTTCACGCCCCGGAACACCTGCAGGGCCTCCTCTCTGATGGCGCCGTGTCGGGCCTGCAGCTCACCGGGAGCCAGAAAAGGCCGGTCACCCCCGCAGACCTGGGGAACAGTATGGAGATGCTCAAAGATGAGGGATTAGCACGTTTGGGATCCACTTGAAAATCCTAATTTCACCTACCCCTTCCATTTTCTTGTTGTACAGATCCTTTGCGGCTGCCACTGCTGCCAAATTATTCGCCTCTGCTGTGGCCTGAGAGGAAACAGATGAGAATATAGAGATAATTTAATTTAAGATAAAATAAGACAAGATGATCTTTATTGATCCCACGCAGGGAAACATTGTACACTAACGTTACATAGTTCTGAATATCATATTCCATTACATAATCCTACATACTACACACTGGCCCTTTAGGACGATGGAGGAAATGTACCTGCAGCATGGACTTTGGATGCGGAAGCTCCTCACCTTGGTAAATTTTGATGTATGCCTAAAATAAATGACAAAAAGCATTAACAGTAACAGAACTGGTGGAATTAAGTGAAATAAATATGTTGGATTTACAAACATGCTCAGTTTAATAGTTACTGACACACATAATAACAGTAAATATGACTTTATGTCCAGTGAACGGGGATAGCACAAACTGTTTGAAAGTACAGTTTTAGCTATAATAGTTAAAAACAAAATAGAAAGTACAGGTTTGGTTGGTTTGTGCGTTTCACATGAACACGTCTCTTCGTTCTGACCTTGAAGTACTCCACCAGGCCTCTGCAGGTGATTTTGCTGCCGTTGATCTCCTTCACGTCGATGTTACGAGGACTGAGGAGCCACGGGACCAGAACCTTCAGGTTGTTTATGAACTCGCCGTCAATCTCTAGACAGGGGAAGGAGAGAGAGTTCACAGTATGTGCTGAAATTCAACATTGTTTGCTCTGTTATATTCAGTTTCTGGCGGCATGTGTGGTAAGATTCAACAATTCAGAGCAGCAAACAGCTTTCTTCTCCCAGAGCGCTGTTTCTCAAAAACTCCAGTGCACCACCTGCTCCTGCACAACAAGTAAATACTCTGCACCTCGTTTCACCTCGAGAATCTCTTTGTACAGATGCCTTGTATATTTTGCAGTCTGTCAGGTCCTGTCTCAGAGCCATGCTGGATTTATGGAATTCTCACATTATTCAGAAATTTAAGAAAGTCATATAATCAAGTAGTATAACAAGTTATTACATTTATGTACCATCTACAGTCACCTACGACCTAATTTATTTAATGTATACATATTAACAGCCATGCTAACATGCTAATATCGTCATAAACCAAAGTAGTGGACAATTTAAAATTTAGATCTAATAGATGAAATATTATGTCGAAAAGTCAAGTTATTACATTTGATACTAGGAGGATCATTCTTCTGCAATCCTTCCAAGACATTTCCTTGAGACATTTCACAACAAAAGTCAGAGGATCATCAAAGTCAGCAGAATTCATCCTTTGGGAAACACGGATGTCTGTATAAAGTTTCACAGCAATCCATCCAAAAGTTGTCAAGATATTTCATTGTGAACCAAAGCGGTGAACCGACCGATCGACAGACTACCGTGACTAAAATAATTCTATGTTGTTTATGTCTAGTTATCATGGGAGTTGTAAATGTCTCCATGTCAAACATGACAGATCGCTGAAAGTCAGAAACCCTTTGACAAGAGCCGCTACGATCCTGAAACACTGAATGAAATAGTCGCATGTTACAAGACAGAGGAGGTGTACCTAATATTCTTCCATCAAAGAGTGGGTTGGTGGCCACTTTGAGGCCGGGGTGAGGCATCAGGAAACAGGAGATGTTGGTGAAGCAGGAGTGGATGTGTTTGCGTACGTTCTGCAGCTCTTCGTGTTGGTTCTCTGAGATCTGTACCATAAAACACGACCACGTGTGTCAGATTTTAGACGTGCATTAGTTTGGTTTAATTAGCCTCACGTGGATCTGTACGGTGATTGTTTGAATTAGTCGCAACTGACCTTCAGTCTCTTCTCAAGGAACTTCATGCCTCCTTCTTGTCCGTAGGGAAACTCATATGGAAAGCTCCAGTCTCGGACGAGGAAAATCATGGACTAAGACAAAATAAACAACTCTTGTCAGTGATATCTTGCACTTGTACATTATATTCAAATAGTATTTTTAGGAGCAGACAGTCCTTTTCACCAAACACCAATAATAATTTGTCAATGTCATTTCCTGACATTTGGACGCAGTCATCTTACCGTGGCAAATCTATCCAGCGAGTGAAATTAATTTACTTAGAAACTTGAATGAATGAAATTGGACCTCTGCATCTAACCCATCCTGAGCATTAAGGAGCTGTGGGCTGCTGTAAAGTTGACCTTACCTGGAATGGTTTGAGGAAAGTCTCCTCCATAGCTAGTCTGCCGTACTCAGTGAAAAGCTGGAAGAAAAGGGCAGATAAGACAAAATGAGTGAGGATGTAGTCATTTTTATAAAAGACGAACAGGAATATTTGGACCACTGGGATGCTTCACACATTCAATTCAAGTGTTTTTCTTTCACAGGTTTATGTTTTTCGGCAGTAAGAAAAGGCGCCGAAACAGATACTGACATGCATCATGTCTGACTGGCAACAGGTTTCAAATCTGGACTCTCTCTTTCCGCTCTTATTTGTGTCGACACTTGACGGTGTTACCTGCAAGTGCTGAAGGTCGTCCTCTTGTACGTTCTGTGAGATGTTGTAAACCTGAAAAAGATCATTCATTTATAGAATCATTTCTTTCACATTTTTAATAAAATCATTTTGTGAAACCAAAGGAACGAAACAGTCAAAGAACAACAAATACTTAAGAGTCTGTGAGGCTGTACTTTGGCACAAGGGTGTTTTGCGCTAAATGCTAACATCAGCGTGCTAAGTTAACTGTGCAGCACTGGTACCTAATTCCATGGAAATGAATCTATTCGTTGTTAAGACAGTTCACTTAAAGCTACAAATGTCAGCCTTATGGTGACATTGAGATTCACTGTCTGGGAAACATGAATGAATGTTGTGGCGATCCATCCAACAGTTGCAGAGATACTTCACTCTGGACCAAAGGGGTGTTCAGACCAATCACCACTAGAACCACGCTGCTAGTTTGGCTAAATAAACAAACCTGCTTTCATCCATTCACATCCATATGCACAGTCTTTACTGAAGCGAAGCGGCGTACCTGCATGGAGCTGATCATGGTGCTCAGTGCAAACACAGTGGCCGAGTCCCTCAGCGTCGACTGGCTGTCAAACGTGCCTTGTGTGTCCATTAACAATACAGCCACCTGTGAAGTGAAGCAGACGAAGACACTGACCTGTGCTGCAAGAAAAATGAGTGAGGAGCCAGCTGGTCGGACTGGTTTTGAATGGAAATTAAAATGGAGAAAAGATCTCGAAAAGGCCAAATCTACTCTAATTTAAAAAGATATATAAATTAAGATGCCATTTAAAGCTGACAACCAGTAGCACTCTGGCTTTTGCTGCTTGTGCAAACTAAAGATGGGAGACGTTTGGCCGATGCAGGTGTAAAAGAAGCTATTTATGTAAAAATGTCTTCCTTCAAGTGTTGTTTTACTGGGCAGCTTTAAGTGTGAATGTGTGTTACTGTAAAAGTGAGGAGCAGACCTGTTGCCTTTTTTAAAAAGGTTAAAGTATCCATGTCATATTAAATTATGTCTCATAATACATTGTTGCATTGTAATAATCATTGTAATAATAATAAAGACTGGTATACAGTCACAGGACTTCACCTTTCTTCCGTCTGGCTTGTCCACCAGGAAGACCTCACTCCAGATCTGGATCCCGGTGGTCTCCCTCTCGGAGCCCCCCCTCCAGGAGAAGCCGGTCAGAGGCTCGTCTGCATCTCCGAGCCAGCCTTCAGATGCCTGAGCACAGTGGGATCAGAAGTGAGAGGTCAATGGTTTATATAACGGTTACTGTTCGTTTTATTTACTGTTTTATCTACCTTGTTTATGTTGCATTTCTGTCTTTATTTCCTAACTATATTTGTGCTTTTTTAAAAATTGATTTACTTATTCTTTTATTGATAAAGTCACACTCCAGAATCAAAGGCTCAGCTCCATCACCTGCACAGACCCAGACACTTACGTGGTTGTACATGTAACGCAGCATGAAGTCCATGAGGAAGGACTTGCCCTTGCGGAAAGCTCCGGCCACAGAGATGGCCACCACCTCTCGGTCTCTGACCTCCTCCGCCAGCAGGATGCGGCTCAGCGCCGCCTCGTCCAGCTCGAAGGTGTGGTCGTCTTTGACCAGCAGCACCTGTATGGGCCGGGCTCGTCCATCCGGCTCCTCCTCCTCTGAGCTCCAGTCGTAGACATTTTTGTCACTGAGGGACCCTGGAGGACGACACAGAGGGGGGAAAGATGCCGATAATGGAGTAGTGCTCTGAAGAATGACCCTATAAGAGGGAAACATGAACCTTAACTAAACATATTTTCATCTTTGAATGTGGTTGCATGCAGAAAAATGATAATGTTGCTGCTGCTGCAATTTTGTCCCACATGATTACTTGTTATAAGCTCTGTAGAGTCAAATAAATGTTATTATATGAGCGAGTGATCAGCCAGAACTTATTCACAGTGGTGAGAAGCAAATTTAGTGGTCCATTAAGGCGAGGAAACTTCCTGTTAGCACCAGATCAATAGCCTGCAAGCTTGATAATACTAATAATGAATCGTGCCATGCTATCCATCCCATCTGCTTGCGTCCAATGAGATCATGTGCATCGAGAGCTGTTTCTGGCGCTTTCCTGGCAGTGACTCAGTGTGTTTCCAATCTCTGCAGCCTCATGTAGAGTGTGCAAGCTGCATGACCGTCCTGATGCACAGATTTGGGCTTCCAAATCCCATTCATGTAATGTAGGCTGCTTTACGCTACAGCAAACTTGTGTCTGACCGTGTAGCACAAAAGGATTTCTAATGTAAAGAAGAAAATCCACACACAAGTCACCCAATGCAATGTGTGTGGCTGTGATGTTTTGAGGATGTAATTGCAAATTAAACAAGAGCACTGTGAAAGATTAAGGCATAGCAGGCAAAATTTGGGAGCGTGCTAAAAGATTAATGCAGGGTGCCAAGAATGCACGGTGAATAATTTAAGGAAGAATCAGCCAAGACCTGAGGAAGACTGTCAGTTTGACTTCACGTCTCCTGCAAAGGCCTCACTCGGGCCCGGCACGAGCCTTTGCCTGGTTAACCCGATCTTGTTACTGCTGCTCTTAAAACAAACCGAAGACGTCAGAAGCACCGTCTGCTTAAAGTGGGTCAAACCAGATAAACTCTCCAATGACAAACAGCAGCATTTCCTCCCCTTTTCCTCACCCCTATAACAGTCATGCAGTCCCCTTTTCTCTCCCCTTGCAGGCCTGTATTAAAGTTAACATGAGCCGTAGAGGGATGTGACAATTAGGGTGCTGGTTACCATCATAATCATGGTGGTGAAAACGATAATGATGACAGCAATAATGATTAGTACAAAGATGATTGTGATAGTGGCGACAAGCTATGTACTGATGCAAAATTACATCATTTGATGCCAGATGCCTCACAGTGTGACAAACACAATAAAATCATAAGGTTATTTTCAGGTCTTTTCGGGGCCTTGACCGCCCCAACAGAATATTTCCTCTATGCTGATTAGTGAAAAAAATGAATGGATTCACCACAGGATTTAATGGTAAAAATGTATGTTCGCTTATGCTTTATTGACCGACATCGATGCAGTGACAAATAGAACAAAACGTATATTTCGCACCACCATCAGTAACATTCGATATTATCAGGAATAAAATAATTACACAATGGTCACAACATTGTCGATACAAGAACAAGCCCTTCGTGATGGAGTCTGAAATAAACATCTAATTGGCTGCATTGCTTACACCCTCGCCTCGGCAAGGAATAAGAAAAATATGTATGTGCGTCAAGGAAAGCATGAAATATCAAATAGTGTACGTACACTCACCCCAGCTGTCTCTGTCTTTACGGTGTTTCGCCATAATACTGCCCTTATATCCCTCTGTTTGTCCGTTAATGAGCGACCCTAGTCGGTAGTCATGAGTGTCGAAGGGTTGGGTGGATGCCCTATCTCCACCAAAAGCGATGCTCGCATCGCAGGAGGATGATGGAGCTTTTATTCCCAGCGTGATGCTCGAACGTGCAGCCAGGGGGCGCTGTTGTCTGTTGTTTCTACTCAGTGTAATGTAGCAGCTTAATAACGCGGAAAGAATGAATGTGGTTCAGCGGACATTGTGTGAGTGCAACCATTGAGTATGTTATGTATGGCTTTTGCAATTAAATTCAAGTTTCTTTCATTGAGCCTGCTATGAAAACGCATTCACAGCTTCCGTCGGTAGGTGGCGCTATTTACACAGAGAATGGAACACATGCTGCCTTCGCGTACTGTCGTAAATATCTCTACAGAAATGACCCTACACAGGATGACGAGCAGTGGTGGTCGAAGGATCCTTTACTCAGATACAAAATGTTACTTAAGCAAAAGTATAAAAGTATTATGAGCAAAATGTACTCAAAGTATTAAAAGTAAAAGTACTCCATAAAGTACTGGAATGATATTCTGTTTTTATCACTAACAAATACATTTAAGAGCATTTTAATGTTGTCGTTCTGGAACCAATTTTAGATACTTTGCATACTAGGTAGATTAGTAGTACAATATCATTAAACAACTTGCCCAACCAGGGACACAGTCTGCAAATTAGCCATGGCTAGAAGTCTTATATACACTGAATCAGTTCGCAGTTTATTTTAATATGAAAATTCCTACGTGCCCTGTCAAAAACATACCAATGAAAGAGAATAATTATAAGCATATCACGTGTTTGTTTGTTTTTTAATGCAATTTATCTAGTAACTAGAAATGTCAGATAAATGCAGAGTAAAAAGTATAGCTTTACAAGTAAAATCCCTGCATTCAAAATGTTTACTTAGACAACAATAGAAGTACCCACTATGCAGGCAAGATAGGTCAAAGTTATATTATACTTAATACTACTAACAATCAGCAGAACCTTGATATTGTAGCTGCCATAGTGGACCTGATTGGGGCGATTATATATGTGTTTGGGTGGTTTAATTTATTGTATAACAATGTACTACATTTTATATGGCCATTCTAGTTTTTTATTATGTAAAGTAATTAAAGTGGACAAAAAGGCCGATAGTATACCTTTTAAAATGTAGTGTAGTCAAAGTATAATGTAGCAGAAAATCAAAAACACTCGAGTCATGTACCAGTACCTAAGACTTGATACTTAATAGATAGATAGATAGATAGATAGATAGATAGATAGATAGATAGATACTTTATTAATCCTGCAAGGGGAAATTTGTTCGCTACAGCAGCATTATGATACACTACAGGTAAGCAATCAAAGTAGCAGAGTAAAAATATTAAATGTAAAAAATGCAAAATATATACAATGGAATAGAATAATATTAAATTAACTAACTAAACAGTAGTGCAACGACTTTTTTAACCAACAACAAACAAACAGTGTAAGAGAGTTACAGTCTTGTGAATGATTTGGCCAGAGGTGATTTATTGTACAGTCTTATTAATCATAGTACTTGGAGAGTAATTTATTTTGATAACTTCCTTTGTAATGTGCTCCGTGTTGTAATTATTTCACTGTTTTTATACTTCATTGTTATTTTGCCACCAGACATTTTTTTATTGTGTTGTTTATTTTTTTCTGTTGAGGGTTAGATTTTCCGAGGCAGCTCATGAACGCAGCATCAGGATTCCGTATAACTGCGACTCCTCAGAGCTTAGCAACAGACTGTTGCTTTTTCGGTTGATTTTTTAAATAAATGTAAAAGTAATACTTGACATTATTAATGTAGTTTTCCTACATTAATAACTTACTTAAACTGTCAGCAGAGGGAAGTGACATGTCAACGGCTAATTAAACTCATTGCTGTAGAACTGGACTCGGCTATAACAGTGAAGGAGACAGAGCGAAGGAGACAGAGCGAACAGCGACAGCCAGCTGAAGTTTATTACTGGTCCCCTCGATAACAAAGGGGGACGCTTTTCCTCTTCTTCTTTGGTGCTGTTATTCGACGCCATCGTGCGGGTTAAAGGCCTCGAAAAGATTTGCAATGCAAGATGTATTCGTCCACGGTGTTTGCATTGTAAAAGGTAAGTTTAGGCATAGTTGAAGTTAGCTAGAACCAGTAGCGAAGCTAAGCTAACGTGTGCTAGTTAGCATTAGATGTTAGCTGCCTGGATGCAACGTTAGACCTGGCTCTGGCTATTTGCTGGAATCACCACAGTGTCCCTGCTAACCGTTAAACACGCGCCGATGTTATTTTAGTGGTCAGAACGAGCTCTGACTTTAATTTTCAATGGAAGTTTAAGAGAAATTAAACACATAACATGAGGTTATATTGGTGTTTGGTGACAGATGTCACGGTATGTGACACAATATCGACTACTCTTTTCTGTGGCTATTGCCGCACATAACTTGGATGAAATGTCAACTTTGGTGTCGTTTTAACGCTTTCCTTCCAATACTTTTCTTGTGTCTCTCGATCAGGACATGGAGCACAGAGGAGGACCGTCTGAGTAACAGGGATTGACTTCAATATACATTCAGGACCTGTGCTTCATCAAACCTCCGCCACTAGATTTGATCTACTAAATGTAAAAGGATCGTTTGGTGCAAGCTACCATGGACATCTATCCCCGGCCAAGCGGTGAAATCCAGAGGAGGAACCCTCAGCATGACTTTGAGCTCATCCAGAGGGTGGGAAGTGGCACATATGGAGACGTGTACAAGGTATAGTGAAGCTACTGGTTCCCACAGCCTGTCATTAGTGCTGCTCATATCTGGCTTTACCATCATCACATGACTTATTAATTCAAGTAGAGCCAGAGTGTTGTTTGTTTTGTGAGTCACAATAACATGTGGCCAACACATTTGGCAGTAGCTGTTGAATAAGGGCCAAGTTTGGCATCCCTTCATATAGTCTTCTTCTGCTACTAAAATACACTTTATTGGCAATAATAACTGATAACAGTACTGTCACATGAAAACAATCTACATCATGTATTCATTGTGAAATGCAAGACCATGATCAGTTGATTAATCAACTAGTAGATCAAAAGAAAATTAATCTGCAAAAAGACGTTTACTGCATCCTGCGTCTCAAATGTGAGGATTTGCTAAATGTTTCTGGTCGTATATGAATTAAATATCTTAGAGTTTTGGACTGTTGGTCATTCAAAACAAGCAATTTGAAGAAGCTATGATTAGCATTTTTCTCCTTTTTTTTTCCTGCAGATTAATCGGTAATAAAAATGGTAGTTGCAGCCCGAGTGTCGTTTTCCTGGTTGTGCAAGTTAACTGAAACAATTTCCTGAACCCGTTTGACTGACTGAGTGAGATGAACAGTGAAAGCTTGTACCTGCTTGTCTAATTTATCCACATCCCTTTTTCTTTTTATGATGGAGCACATGTTACCCATCCCTAGTCCAAAGCAGCAGCAGTAGTATTTCCTCAAAATGGATACCATCAGTTATCGATTTACTTTTATTAAACTTAAATAATCTGTAGATCTGCTGTCAGCTACAACATCTATGTGGTTTATGGTACTAGAGAGGAAAAAGAAGGAACTGTTGATGGACTCTATTTGCTGCCTTTAGAAGCTTTACTGCTTTCACCAAATTATTTTCTGTTAACTTGTATGAAACTGAACACATGATCAATCATTCATGAGTCAAACAAACAGAGTCACTGCACTGCCAGAAACAGTCCCACATTAAAAACGGTTAAGTTTTAAAGGAAGGACAGAAAGAAAATTCATATCACCAGATTATTAGAAGAGTTTTACTGCATAGAATCCAAAGAAAATATTTCTTTATGGTTATATTGGTATATAGTGGATGCAGTTTTGGAAAGTTACTGTAGGAATGATTGTATGTATTGGAGAAATGGATCACACCGTGCTCCTGCAATGAACCAAAGAAATGCGATGTGAGAAAATGTCCTGCGACACAAGATGATTTATCCACATTTCCCCACTCTCTGTTGGCTGTGGGGAGGTGTGTGTTTTTCTGGATCTGTTCTTGTTTATCAGCCACAGATAAACAGACGACCCATCTGATCCAGAGAGTGATAGTTCAGGCCGCCTGTCGTCCACACACAGCCTCTCTAGCCAGCCACCCCCACACCCCCACACCCCCCACCCCCACCCCCAGACAGGCCACCGGTGGAATGCTGCGCCTGGTATTCTCCCGCAGCTCTTAGGCTGAGCACTGCAGCGCGCTGAAATATGATCGGGCCCCTGTCTAAACACGCGTTCTGCTGGGTGTGTTCTGGGCGGCACTGACGGCAGAAACACCTCAAATTGTGAAAAGGCCTCCCTCGGTCCGCCGTGCTCGGCTGACTTTTAATGCGCACAGAAATCCTGGCCTTGGATGAATTATTACATGTTTGTATTCATTTGAGAGCCACATATTGCTCTCTTTGTTATTGCTGGTGATAATGATTAATTTATCTTCTTTATAATGTCATACACCTAGCTGTGTATTTTGTTTTTATAATATTCCTTTAAATGCCCGAATTATGTCTAGAATCAGTACTTCTTAAAGGTTCACTCAACATTATGTACCAAAATCTTACTGCACAGAAAAAGATACGCACGTTTTGTTTTTTGAGTTGATGAAAGGCAGTAACAGTATCTACGACAGGTCAATAATGTAGGTCAGTGCATTGATACTAGCTCTGTCTCTGTCGGTGCTCGTTTTCAAGGTTTGATGACAAAGAAGGAACCAATGAATCCTGCACACTGCCGGTCACTTGTTTATTTGTTCGTCAGCGTCAACATTCTCACTTCAGTTCGCTGAACCAGAGATCTGTGTAGACATCAGGCACAGCTGGCCAGTCCCTGGACACGGGGGTTGATCTTGTTTCTTGTTACATGCCAGACTGCTTCTTCCTCCAGTCAAAGGTTGTTTAAGGATGTTCAAGCTTGTGTTGTCTGCTGCATCACCTATTTAAACGGTCAGTAACCAACTTCCCCTTTCTGGGTTTAGTGCTCAGGTGGACTTTAGCTTCTTCTTGAAATGTGAAGATGGACTCGCAGGTTGTTAACAAGTATTTAATCATTACTTAAACGGGCTTTAAAGCAGCAGAGCCCCACGTGAACAAGTTTTTGTTGAATAGTTTTTGGATATTTGTAAGTGTGTGATACACTTGCCTTATCAGCTGCAGAAGAAGTACAGTAGATTAGTGTGGTCTTGTAAGCATGCGTGTGTGTGTGTGTGTGTGTGTGTGTGTGTGTGTGTGTGTGTGAATCAGCAGCACAGTCCCTGTGTTGAAAGGTGGCCATGCTGGAGGGTTTCATGGTTTACGGGTGATTTAGCTGCACGTCCTGTCACTTGCACTCCCACGGATTAGGTAGAAACCCGTCTCGACCTGGATTTTGAAGTCCGTGCAACCTACTTTAAGATTTCCTACAAATAGATGTGTTTTTAAATCTAATGCCATTGAGATGTAGCCGTGGGTAAAATACGATATTAAACTGTGAAGATGGTACTGCACAGACATGTAGAAGAAAAGGTTGACCCTGTCCAGCGTGAGCTCTGGGGATGGTGCGTGTTTAAGTAGACTCTCGGTCTGATTGTGCTCCAGTGTGTAGTGATGCTGACTGGTGGGGGTGGGGGTCATACAAATGGCATTTATTGGTTTGATGCTTATGTGGGCCAAACCTGTGTCTGATTTCCCAACAGAATACAGTCCCATGTTATGTAATGTTCAAGGTTGCAACAGACTTATTTTCATTTTTGACTAAGCAAAAATTTCTTTTTTTTTTTTTTTTTTTTTTCCCCAAATCACATGTATATCTTAAATGGTGAGAAACACAAGATGGTCTCAAGTTCTAAGAGCTCATCAGCAAATTGCTTGTTTTGTCCAAACGGTCCCAGCTGATTATTTTCCTCTATCGACTCATCATTTTGACTATAAAGTGTCAGAAAACTGACAGTCCAAAAACTCAAAATATTCAATTTACTATCAAAGAAGACAAACGAAAAGTGACAGAAATTAAGTAGTTGGAACTAGGGAATGTTCAGCATTCTTGATGGAAACTTGTTTTGTAGGTTGAAGAATCGAACCTCTAGTTTAGTCCTAAACCGTTATAACACGAGTTGTGATTACAGCAGTAGTAATAACTGCGTTGTGATATTTGTAGCCGTGCTGACCGTTGTGCTTTTGTGTCTTTCAGGCTCGAAACATCCGAACCGGGGAGCTCGCTGCTGTGAAGATCATAAAGTTGGAACCAGGTAAGAGTGATGTTCACAATAATAATAATAAAGTCTGGAAGATAAGTCTGGTATTTTCCAGGGGTTTGAATGGAATGTACAAAATGCACAAATCAAAATGTTGTAGTACAGTGCCAATACTCATGACCCATTGATGTTTTGCATATTTTAATATAAATCATGATCATTGGTCAATATCCAAAATAACATTATGTAGAGTGCAGAACCACAAACCGACTTCTGGCTTAAGCGTGGGATAGTATAATTTATTTATGCAGGAGGGCATATGATTTATGAATGAAATATTCATTATTATTATTTGCTTTTTGTCCCATGCCTCGTCTGGTGTGCAGCATTCGTCAAATAAAACCGTTTTGAAGCGATATGGAGAGCGGGGTGATGCGAGCTGTTTGCTGTGAAGCAGAAGAGCACATTTGTGTCCCAGCTCTGCTGTCTGTGCTGCTGATGACCTAGTGACAGAGTCGGTGCGATCCAGATTAGTGGGATTATAATGAGGGCTTTGTACCACCAGCAACCAGACTGAGCTCAGATGATTACCAGTCGGTAGAGGAGGAGGACATTCACTCCTGTTTTTTTTTTTTTTTTTTTTTCTCTTTCATTCATCATGTCGCTGTTAGTCTGTGATTGAGAGGATGAGGGGATGTTTTTATCTCAAGTTTACAGGCGTCGACTTCTTCAGGTGTCATATTGTCCTCTCTCTGAGACTTCATTTCAAAATTATGGCTCTGAGGTTTTTTCTAACAACCTGATAAACTCTTATTTAAGGCATAGATATCTTCTGCTGGGAGATGGGAGGAGGGGGGATTAGTGTGTGTGTGTGTGTGTGTGTGTGTGTGTGGGGGGGGGGGCAGAAGATCAGGGGCTTAGCTGTAACCTGAGTCAGAAGAGGGAAAGGGGAGCATTCTTTATTGCCGTCATGACTTTTGACTTTTAAGAATATAAATAAATCTTTTATTTTTAATATAAATACATTTGAAGTAAATCTTCACTCTGAGGCTGCAAATTACCGTCATTTTCATTCTCCATGAATCTGCCCATTATTTTAATAATAATGGGCAGATTGGTCTTTAAAATGTCCAAAAATAAGAAGAATGCCCTTTATAATCCCCTATATGACTTACGATTTAAGTCATGTTAGAATGGTTGAGAGCAGTGTTGCAGCTTAACGCAGAGGATTTTAGAGGTTACATTTATCCATTGCATAGCCCTGCACAGGCTGTCCTATAAGCATCTGTAAGCACCCTTCATATTTGCTCTATTCATACTTGCTTTATCTCTTTTTTAAGATGAAACCAGGATTAACCCAGCTCAGGTCGTCCTGTTTAAGCAGGACTCTCTTTTCTTTGCTGGAGTCACTCCTCTCTGTGCTTCAGGTAAACGGCTTTGGGCGGAGTGCAGACTCAAACAGGTTTGACCAGGAGGAGTGACGCCGCTATTAAGTAAGGGGCCGAGAGAGAGGGAGAGATGGGAGTGGTGAAGCCCTCTGTTGGCCACAGAGCAGGTTAATCTGATTAGTTCGTGGTAAACAACTATTTAAGACAAAGTTAGTTTGGGCCGTCAACACGGAGTGAGGAGAGATTTATTCTTCTCTTTTTTTTCAATTTCCCCTCCTGTGTACAAGCATTAACTCGTCAGTTATTTTTTAACACCATCACTACATCCCTCACTGTTCCTCTTTCCCTCTTATGACACTTAATTTTGACGTATTTTGTTGTTAATTGTCCCTGAGAAGTTTCCATTAGAAATCCAGCTGTGGTGGGATTAAATTTAAAGATAAACTTCTTTTCTTCAAACATGTCATCTTGTGCAGGACTTGACATTGAATAAGTCCAACCTGCTGAATAGAAACTTGAAGCATTACGCAAGGTTGCGTATATTCAGAGGGAAGCGCTCGGTCTGAGAGGAAGTGGCTATACTCTTACACCTCAAGTCACCAAGAAGAGGAGACTGCGTGTGAAGTTCGTTATGTTGGACTGAGCTCACAGTCCTGTCACTGATATGACCGTTAATCAAACTTTTGTGGCTCCTTCAACCAGTTTCTCTCTGTCAACAAATGTTAAGTGATTGTGATTTAACACCAGTTATTCCTGTGAAATGACTGGATTAAAGAACACAGTAATTACAAATGCAGTTATATGTCACTGTAACCTAATTAATGAGTTCCCAAAAGTAACATTTCTCTTGCATTATGTGGCAAACGACGAAGAATGTGGAAAATGATTTTCATGTTGGTCATCATTAAAGCTGAGACGTTCGTTACTGTTCGTCCTTATTATGCTACAAAAAGACAAAGAGGAGGAAACGCAACTTTAATTTTACAGATGGAAGGAAAGAGTTCAGTTTGTGGGATTGACCCTTTAACGTGGCCTCTGTTGACATTCCTGAGCGGACTTTATTCTTGGCAAGCAAGAATAATAAATCCTGTTTTTAAAAGGTTTTTTTTTTCCCCACTGCATTAAGAACTCAAACACACACTGGTGACGTTCCCTTCCCTTTGCACAATCGACGTCTCGGCTGTGCAAAAAGAAATGTGGGACATGTCTCCTTCCCTTGATTTAAGGTTATTTACATTCTTTTTTTGTTTTTGTTGTTGGGGTTTAGACCAAAATCATCCATCAGTAACTCTGTCTCTGAATATTTTCTGACTTTCCTACTCAACCTTAAGCCCGTTGGGTCATACCAAAGACATCAATCTTGTATAGTTACGGTAAGAAGAGGCTCCGTACTTTATTAAAACAGCTCAACACTATTACTTGTAAACGTTACTCAGACGGTAGTAAACAGTGTATTTGTTAGATAAACAACATATCCCAACGATGGACCATGATGAAGCTCTATTGAAATGAGAAAAGTTCATCAGGTTTTGTTTGGTTTAAAGTAAAATACTTCGTCGGAACAAGTTCATTACTAATGATGGTCTCTGCACATGATTTGTTGTCTTTGTGAGAGTGTGAAGAGATTAATCTGAGTCTGTTTCATGTGATGTTTGTATTAAACTCTTCACAGACTTGTTGTTCTTTTATGTACTTCAGACAGCTAATAGTCGTATTATCTCGACCCTTCTGATGGAACTAAATACCCAAATTAGTAGCCGTGGGTAAGTTCAAAGATGATGGAACGTAACTGGTTTGTTGTCTATCAGCGGGATGGTTCTGCACGTGTTTGCTTTCCAGCCTCTTTAATTCAGACACTCCCGTGAGAGGGCCTGACCTCCCAGACAGACTAAAAACAAGACTGCTCTTTACTCTGGGTTAAAAACATTGTTTGTGTGCTCATGAAATGCCTCTGTGGTCCCGGTACGGTGTCTGGAGCAACTTCTCTCTGTCTCCAGGGATGGAGCTGGTGGTACTCACCAAAGCTTGGACGCAATTTTTGAGACGGCTGATTTTTATAACCGAATTTAGACATCAAAACACCTTTTTGTTGACATGCATTTTGTTGAGTTTAAACACTTGACCATATGCAGAAAACAAATGGTTTGTTGACAGTAATTTCCACTACAAGTAATGTGCGATTTTCTTTTTTTGGGGGGGCTGAGATTGTATCCATTAAATGAGCTTAATCTGGACTGATGCCTTTGGTGACAGTCTGTTGATAGAGCGCTGAAGCTGGCAAAGTCTGGCAGAGCTTAACCTCCCGTTGATGTATTCCAGGACCATGTCTCTGCACAATTGGGAGCAGCTGGACGTACATATTTTATTCTTCCTACTAGTCGGATGTGTTGGAGTGCTTTTGCTGAACTGGACAGCAGCCTGGATATCGGCTCATACCACAAAAACTTTAAAAGTACAAGGTGTTCCTTCTATTGGTATTGGCTGTTTAATAATGTGCTGTTCTTATACAGAGATAAAAGATTGATTAATATAGTCGGAGTGAAATATGGGAAGATTTTGTTCTGTGGCTTTTGAGGTTGGCAAACTGGGTGTGGAAAGTGTTTTCTGAAACACAATGTTTATGGTGTGCACAACCTTTTGTATCATCTGAAAAATACTTCCAATTCAAGTTATTTTCTTGTGTTAAAAAAAAAACTAAAAAAAAACATGACTTTGTAGATGATTCATAAACCAAACAAATTTAAATGTCATGTCCACAATCATTAAAATGAAACGGTTCTTTGAGCAGAAAATGAAAACCCAGACTTTTTGTCCATGTGTGATTTCTCCCTCTGTTTCCAGGGGATGACTTTTCCATCATCCAGCAGGAAATCTTCATGGTGAAGGAATGCATGCACCACAATATTGTGGCCTACTTTGGGAGCTACCTCTGGTAAGAGCCGGCTTAAAATACTCCTGCTTTGTCATTTTTCCCTCGGTATTTCGTCCTCTCTCGCAGCCAGTCCCGACGTATAACATTTGTGAAATTCATAACTGTCAAACGGATTTAACGAGCCGCTGCCTGAAAGTCACCTGACGTATTTAAAGACTTAGTCACGCCTGTGTGTGAAAGTGTGACTCAAACCTTTCGACTGGTGCTGACTCTTCTGTTCTAACGGAGCCTGTGTTCTGTGGCTGTTTTTCTGAGAGGAAGTCGGGGCTGGTCCGCCCGCCGCTGCCTCTGACTTCCAGCAGGTTTAACTGGAATATGAGCCTCTGATCTGTTTTTATGTGGCTGTTAGTGCAGAGAGATGCACGTCTCATCACAGCATGCACGGCTTGTACAGTCTCACCACATAGAGCACAAATGGTTACTGTGAAATGTTAATGAGCAACCCACCATGCCTTGATTATTATGGAACTAGATTAATTGCATTAGAAGAACCACAATTGTAAGTTTCCGCTCAGACCGGTTTCCTGGCCTAAAATCATTTCCATGTAGAGTATCCTCGTCTCCTGTGGCCGAGTTTGATCACACTGGTGGTATTTTTAGCTTCTTATCAAAGGCTTGACATCATTTCTCTACTCGCTGCTCTCTTGGAGCTCCAGTTCACCAACAGAAGCACTAATCGGTGTTTATTCTTTCACCTTTCTGCATAACGTTTATTAACATGTTGGTTAAGTTGTTTCAGGAAGGTTTGCTGATTTGTACAGCTTAACTTGTTCAACAAGACACCTTTGCTGCTTAATTATGTTTAACCAGTTATTATCTAACTAGCAGAGCAGCAGTCCCTAAATTCCTATTTCCCTCTTTCATCAGTCGAGAGAAACTTTGGATATGTATGGAGTACTGTGGTGGAGGATCTATGCAGGACATTTATCATGGTGAGCTTTTGTCTTATTCATAACAAGTACGATGAACTCAAAGTGGTTTTAAATACTGTACGCACATTGTGAAATCCTTAACCTGCAAAAATGGAATGAATTTGTGTTGTAATAGTGACGGGACCTCTCTCGGAGCTTCAGATAGCGTACGTCTGCAGAGAGACTATACAGGTAATTGTACTTTTACGTATTTAAAAAAAGAAAATGCATGCGTTTTTAAATTTTAGTTGAACTTGTTACTGAATACATTCTTTCCCTTCACAGGGTTTGGGATATCTGCACGACAAGGGCAAGATGCACCGTGACATTAAGGTATCTTTTCTGCTTTGTTTTGTTCTCTTCTAGCTTTAGAATTATCCGGGTCAGGCCCATTCTTCTGTCGTATACAGACACCTTACCTCATGCAAACAAACAAAACACGAGAGGAGAGGTGTGAGGTTGACAAAAATAGGTTGCGCAGCCTGAAAACACTTAATGTCACTGTAACTGCATCTGTTGGCCCTCAAGTAACCCAAAGGTCTGACTGCCCTCTGATGCTGCAGAGGTGTGAACTGAAGCCACAGGAAAAGTGTAGTCGGGGATGTGCTCACTCGAAAGCATGTGATCAGTTGATCAAGCACACAGACTGCAGCCTCAGTTTCATGTGTTCTCACAGAAGGTCAGGGTTGGACCTATTATCTTTACTCTGCTCTACGCAGCGAGCACTTCCTGTTTCCTCTCCTCTCACCCCAGGATGCCACCAGAGAGACTGTCAGTCACGGCCAACAGGAACAGTCAGTGGGACCGTCAGAAAGCGGTGATACTGGTGCACCTTTACTGGCAGCCTGATCAGTAGCAGACCAGCAGTTAATGTTTCAACTCCACCAGATGTTTCTGACGATGTGTAACACATGATTGGCACTTTTATTATGAACCAGTTTGGCAACCACAGCAGCCTCAGTCTCATGATGCTAAAATATTATTATGATCTCTTGAATGTATTTTCTTTCAAGTAAAATAAATGTTTATGGGATCTTTTTTTCTTTTTTTTAACAGGGTGCCAACATACTTCTTACAGACAACGGAGATGTGAAGTTAGGTAAGTCGCTCTTCAGCGTCTTAATTCTCAAGGACTTGACCGCCTCTGTAGCTTTCAGTCGTATGTGGATTACGTAATCTGAAAGAAAACCCTGTCAATCCTCGTTACAGCTGACTTTGGAGTTGCAGCCAAAATAACAGCCACCATTGCCAAAAGGAAGTCCTTTATCGGAACACCTTATTGGTGAGTGTGTCGCCGTCATTAAATGAGCCAGTGGGCCTTTGACTTTGCTGAATTGTTTGAAGAACGATGGGGGAAGTTTTTATATTCCGAGAACCGTTTTAATCAGATACTAGAACATTTTCTCGTCAACTGTCTGTGTTTGTATTTTATCTAACAGAATCTAGTTTGTGGCGACAACATGTACAAGTGGTTAGACAGACGCTTCCCTTAAAATATACTGCTGTGAGAAGTACAAATTCTCACAGCAGCAGAAGTGTTTTTGAGTAAGACCATGAATCCTCACCACTGAGCTCTAAACACACTGTCACAGGGGGAAAAGTAAACAGTTTTCCCACACAGATCACCAGTATCTCATTATTGGTGCCAGCGTAGTTTTCCACTTCAAAGTGGAACTCCCGACCCAACTGTTCATCCTTCTTTTTGGAGAGTCATCACTGAATTCTTGTCCTGAATCTGTGTAGGATGGCTCCAGAGGTAGCAGCAGTGGAGAAGAACGGCGGCTACAACCAGCTGTGTGATATCTGGGCCGTTGGCATCACGTCCATCGAGCTGGCCGAGCTGCAGCCTCCAATGTTTGACCTCCACCCGATGAGGCACGTCTCAAAGAATGATCAGTCAGAGCTTCCTCAGACCATTCTTAAGCCGCTTTTCTCCTTTTGTCTCCCTGTCATGTTTCATCACTTAAATGGTCATACTGTTTAATTCAGAATACGTTAAGTCTGTTATTAAAATAGGATGCAGGCCTACTTCAGTATGTTTCCCTCTTTAAGTCTGTCAAAACCACTCTCAATTCAAGTTTTTCATTCATTCATTAGGGCCTTGTTTTTGATGTCGAAGAGCAGCTTCCAGCCTCCGAAGCTAAAAGACAAAAACAAATGGTGATTGCCCAGAAGATTCAGTGTGCTTTATGAAACCTTACACTTTGGTCTCAGAAGGAGAACAGTGACGAACATTGCATTAAAACAAAATCGTCTTGTTCCCCAGGTCCACCGCCTTCCATAACTTTGTCAAAGTGTCTCTGACAAAGAACCCAAAGAAGAGGCCCACTGCAGAAAAACTTCTATCGGTAATGTTCCCTACTGGGCGCGTCGGCATGCTGTATGGTAGACATACAGTAGGAGATTGAAATGTTTGCAACAAAGGATGTATTGCAGTTCTTTTAGCCTGAACCTATTCACAATGGAAATGTAGCATGTTAGCCAAAAGGATCTCAGTCGTCCCAATGAGCTTCTATGTGGTTCGGCTGAATTTCATAGCTTTGTGGGCCAGAGCCAGATCATGGCCCGTAGGGCTTAAGTTATTAACAATTACATTCTTAAATAACGTCAACAAGAAGGCTGGTGCTCCGGCCTGTATGCATATTCCAAGACAAACTATCTTTTAAGAAGCCCGCAGTCCTGCTGCTTCTTAAAATACATCATTCACTCTGAGGAAAGGTGGCCAGGAATCTGATGATTAACGCAGGTGGTTTAATTACTTTATAACAGCGAAACTTGGACTTAAATATCCATTTCATTAGGGACTCTGGTGTCCCTGTTAGCATGGACCTTGTGTGTGAGATTAAGGATGTCGGACCACAAGTATTTAAACTATTATTCTCAAATGATGCACCGGTTCATAATAACTGGCAATCTTGTCCTTTTTTTCCTGCAGCATGTGTATGTAGCCCAGACGGGTTTGACGAGGAGGCTCGCTGTTGATCTCCTAGATAAGATGAACAACCCAGACAACCACCAGCATTACAGTGAGGTGGACGATGATGACCTCGAGGTAACAACTGAAATAGCACCAACACTGTGAGACATTTGCAAATGCTTTGAAAAACTAAGAAGGGAATTTAAAGTCTACAGAGAAGTGAAGAAGAAAGATATAAACTTTTTCAACAGTATATACTGTTGATAAAGTATAAAAGAAATGTGCCCCAGTTGTTGTTTTTGACTGTCTCTTTGTCCAATTTCCCCAGACCTTGTTGTAAAACAGACTTTCATGCAAACACTGTAGGAGTCTCTATCAGCGGGGAATGTAAATATTAGCACACCGTGTTTTTTCAGCAACTTAGTAAAAAAGGTGATCTCCGCTGAAGTCTGTTTTCATGTTCCCCTAAAGCGCCCTTCCCCCTCTTCTTGATTCTCTCCACCGACATTATTATTCCAACTGGAATCAACATCACATCTACGTGGCAGCCAAAGAGGTGGTACGAGTGCCTTTTTAAAGGACCATTGTGCTGCTCTCCCCCTGACAGCAGGAGCACTGTCTTGGCCACCATGAATGAAAAAAACCCTGAAGGCTATTGACTGCAAGCAATGGAGCTTGTTGCAAACAACCAGTCTCTGGGATGCATAATAATGTGACGATGCTCTCAGTTCTCCTTAAGCTTCACATGCAAGTTTCAGGTTTTGTTTTTCTGCAGAATCTTTAAAAAGATAAACGTCGTCATTGTTCTAAATGACTCCAGGCTATGCAGCGTTGGTGTTGTATGATTTGACAGCACTTTACCCTACTTTCTGCACTTGTCTTGTCAAGTGCGGCTCCCACTGTCGAAACCTATTTTCTTATCTTCAAATCTTTGTCGCCCTCCCTGCCTCAGCCCCTCTCTGCAGTCAGACACACCATCCGCTCCACCAACAAACAAGCCAGAGCTGAGAGGACGCGCTCAGAGATAGACTGTAAGTAACAAAAAGCCCAAACCCAGCACCAAGATAAAGGCCAACCCCCTGCTGTGCATCTGTCCTGTCATTGGTCAGCATGTCAGTCGGCCCGGCTGTGTAGGTTGATGGAGGTCCGTCGGCTCTTCAGAGGGTCATCCCACTAATCCTGCAGAACTGGCTGGCCCTCTTCCAGACCACAGCATGTGGTAGTGTGTCTAAAAATAGCCTGGGCATTGACGGCAGAGAGAGTGGATGTAGTACAGTCCATTACGTTAACTGTCCCTCATCTTTATTCCAATGAATAATGTGAAATGGCTTGTCTGAAGGGGGTCATACAAAATGTGCTTCTCAGTCAACATGTGTTGGTACTGGATTCGGCAGAGGATCCAGATTAATATTCTGTAAATGTATTATTTTGCAACCCTCCAGGGAAGTTGTTGTGCGTCTGTGTTGTCGTCAGTAGTTGTAGATAAAGGTGAACGCTGTGTTGTGCCCGTCATGAAGTGTGACTGTTTCTCATTTCATCATTTTGGGTCGATGTAGTAACAGTTCAGTGGTGAGATGTCTGTCTTTGTTGGTTGCTTGTTTCATTTATCTGTAGCGATACGTGCTGTGCTTCACTGTGATTGTACCAGATGCACTTCCTGTTTAGTTGTGTCTATATTTCTCACAATTACGTCTGACTTTCCCTCCTACATGAAGCAAACAATGGGAAAGACCAAGGAGGGCCGTACTCAAGTCCTAGCTTCACTGAGGGCCACGGGGGGGATGCAGGTCAGTGACAGTGTAGTGAGACGGTGTGTGTGTGTTTGCTCACTCCCAAAACCTCCTGAGAATTAGGATAATGTAGCACACAACAGAACATTGTGTGTGAGATTTAAGTGGCACCAATAAGGCGAGTTGCTCTGCATGTGGTGGCTACTTGCAGTTTCAATAAAGTTTGGACGTTGTGATGTCTTGGTTGCTGTCAAATGAAATGACATTGTAGATGACTAATCCGATCCTAACATGGAAGTTAGGTTTGACTCATACGCCTCACCTGATCCCTGTGTTAGTGACTCACCACCTCGCTGTTATGTGTTTTAAATGCTGCAGCACCTCCACATTATCGCCATACCTCGAGCAGAAAAACACATTAGGAAAGATCTCTGTGGTCTGAATTCTTGAATACAAAGTTTCTTTGTTAATGAGAAGCTGATTATGTGGGAGTATTTATTGGCAGGTTAGGTTGATTCCTATCACCTTCATACCTACAGCAGGATCACTCCTGTTTATACTCTCCTCCACGGGATCAACTGCTCAGATCTAAACTAAGAGGAATCTGTTCCATGAGCTAATTGTATTTCGTGCTCTCTCACCAGTTTGTCCCTAAAGTCAACAGATCTGGTGAAGTGTAATGCGTGTTTGTCTCTGGTGACCGACGAGTCTTCGGGCTCCAGAGCAAATATTCACATCGTATCATAATAAATCAGAGAAGGAGCTCTGTGGTGTTTTGGCCGGTTCATTGTAACGGAAGCAGTTGATCTGCTGTTGGTTCCTTCTTTCTTACACGTGTGTTCTAAGGCTCCTGCTACTAATGCACATCAGTACTACGCCCAAGGCTTTGTGTGTCTTGAAGTGTTAGGCACTGATGCCCTCTAGTGCTGTGTGTGTGTGTGTGTGTGTGTGTGTGTGTGTGTGTGTGTGTGTGTGTGTGTGTGTGTGTGTGTGTGTGTGTGTGTGTGTGTGTGTGTGTGTGTGTGTGTGTGTGTGTGTGTGTGTGTGTGAAAACCACACAAAACTGAACAAGTCTTTCTTGTCATTTACAGTTGACAAGCTCCAGTTTGAACCACCTCTCCGGAAGGAGACTGAAGCTCGTTCTGAAATGGTGATAATCATATTGACTTTAGTCAATCAGTATTCAAGTGCTACCTTCTGTTTGTAAACAATAATTTTTTTTAAGTGTATGTAGAAAAACAACATCTACAAATGAAGTAAATGCAGTTTTTAGAAGTTGTATTTGTGTGCGTGTGCGTCTTTCCACAGGATGGGAGTAAAGATAATGACTTCCCTTCCCCCTGGAGTCCCTTTACAGAGGGAGGAATAACCAGGTAATCCATGGAAACTGTTGTCCCAGGAGCTGCTCCTGTTTACCCCCCCCCCATGACCTGGCTTATTTATTGGATGGATGCATCCCTAGATTCATTCAGAGAAAGGAAAATTTTGTGTCTTAGGAGTTTGTTCAAACTGAAAACAAAATGCAGGGATACAACATGTTAGTGGCAGTGAACGTATAGTTCAAGAAAGCAAGACGTCTGATGAAAAGACTGACTACAGCATCTAAGTTATGCTCTGTAACCTCCTCGCTGCCTCCCACGTTGACCTGCTTATTGACCAGAGCTAACCTGTGTCTGTCCATGAACTCACTCCCCCCTTCCGCACTTTGAAATGTTGCTTTGGCCTCTTAAGCTCCTTCTCACTTGTTCAATGTGCTTTGACTGTTTTTCTCCCTCCACTTCTCTCTGTCCTCTTTTGGCTGTCGGGCTCTCTCTCTCTCTCTCTCTCGTCTTGTCCCACGAAGGAGCCTTCTCAAAAGCGTTGAGGACGAATTGTTCCAACGGTAACCCTAACACTGTGTGTGCTGTCGTACCCTAAACCACGTCATCCACTCCACCCCTCGCTTGGTCCCGATCCTTTTTGCAGTGACACCCCTCCATTCACCATCCGTGGTGTGATAATAGCTGTAGATCCAAACTGTGCATACGTTAATCTGAGACAACCACGCGGGTAGAACAGTGTGATGTACAAAGAGACAAATACTGCAGCATTCAAATAGACAGACTTGTTTGCTCAGACTTAACCCTGCATGGACGGGGCTGTAGAATAAAGTCCATTGCTGGTTTAACACCTTTACTTCTGCTATCCAAAGAACTTTGTTAAAGTTGCATCACTTGTTTTTGTCTCTAGTTTTATGGATAATAAAGAGACTGCATAGATTTTTTTTAAACTCACGCTGTAGCAAACATAATAAGTGAGAGATTTTTGAATTGAAGCTCTCTCGGGTTAGAACGAATACACCCCACTTCATTTCCTCAGAGTCCTACTCTCTTTATCTCTGAGGGGTTTTACGTAAACATTTGCACCACTGACACCTCTCCTGAGCTCCCGAGTCCTGTTTTCCACACTGATCGCTGTTTGTTTCCTGCAGGGGACACATCGCCCATCTCGAAGATGCCTTTGAAGGAGTGGAGCTGTGAGTGATTTACACAAAAACATTGACACTTTCTATGACGCCCGTGTCTATGATGCATTACAGACATTATGCTTAAAGCACTGTATAATTGTAGTTATACGCAGTCATGAATATTCATAAGGCCTTTTTACAATAATCATAACACACAAAGGATGTTATGATGACTTGTAAGGTATCCTATCTTTTTTTGGAAGTATCATAATGTTGTAATGGTTGTAATACATTATAATCATTGAACACATAAGTATGTTTGTAATGCATTATAGACATGGCCGTCATAGAGAGTCCTACCCAAACATTCGTTGCTGTAGTTTATATTTATAACCTCCATTTCAGGTCAACTCTCAAGCCCGGCATTCCTCCTCCTCCTCTTCCTCCGAAGGTGAGTCCCAAAGTTATAACCACCGTTTTACTGTGGGGATTGTATGCCATTAGAATCTTATGTAGTGCTTTGCATTCACATCAAACTGTTTTCACTCTTTTTACCCGGCAGCCACGATTAAACAGCTCGTCGGAGGAGCTCGGCCTTAACGATGAGCGCTCTGTGACGGTCCGGAGGTTCCCCAACTCTGAGAACGGACCGGGCCAGGTGGTTCGCATCCAGAGCACACCTGAGCACCTGGGCAACAAGGTGGAGCACTCGCCTCCGGATTTCCTCTCTGTCAGCGTCAGCAGCCCCGGCCTTTTGTCTCACGCCTCTGATCCTGGTGAGTCTTAGTCTGAATTTACACTTTATTTATGTGCAATAACCTGTTCATGCGTCTTCAATCAAGCGGGTGTCTAAATGAGAACTTGTTTTATTTTTACAAGCTCTCAGTAAATCTGAATGGAAAGGTAAGCGAGCCTGATGTGAATGCGTCTTATCGTTGGATTTAGATTCTGGGTGTTTGCCGGTATGATTAATAACTTCATAACAAATGTCATTTTCATCTGCTTGCTCTCTCGTGACAGATAATGATTCGGATGACAGTGTGAATGGAGGCAGTCCCAAGATGCCACCCAACCGACAGCACCGGAAGGAGAAGAAGGATTTCCCCGTGAGTCTGGAGATACTGAACAACATATTACGCTACAACATGTATTCCAGTCATGATCAGCCACACTCCTCGTCGTCAGTTTCAGGAGTAAAATGTCATCTGTGGTTTCAGAGCCTATATTTTATCTGTGGAGTGTCTCCAACTAGCTGGCTGGCCTCGCACTCAAACCTCAAATATGATGTTTTTCCCTTCGTCCGATCCAAACACAAACCGTTAAAGAGGGAATTTTGGCATCCACTCATGTCGAACATTAATTCACTTTGACAGAAGACGCACAAAAGAAAACACTCCGTGTTGTTTGTTCGGCTCATTGTTGAGGCTGAAGCTAAATTAAGCCGCTAAATTGAACGTAATTGTTGCCGTGTTGTCAGTATGTTATTTTTGTTTCCTCTGCTCCTCGTTAGAAACCAGCCATCAACGGTCTTCCTCCCACTCCTAAAGTACTGGTGAGTGAATCCTCTGCATTGTTCCCTCGCAGCCTTCACTTTTCCCCGCTGGCCTGGTTTCATGGGCATTGTCATTAAACTGTTGTCTGAGCTGCTGCTGCTGCTCTACATTCTGTAGATATTTTGTGTCCACAGAGCTTTCTGCTTTGTGGTTGCTTCAGCTTCAGCTCATTAAACCCTGGCTGACGTTTCAGCGCTTCACTGAGCCAGCGGCTGCCTGTTCTGAGCCATGTTGCTTTTTTTTTTTTTTTTTCATTTCAGATGGGAGCCTGTTTCTCTAAAGTGTTTGATGGCTGTCCACTGAATATCAACTGTGCCACATCATGGATTCATCCAGACACCAAAGGTACTGCTCCCTTTAACAAGCGTGTTACACAAACCTCTTTTATTTAGGCCAAAGCTTAATTAAAAACAAATGTTTGTCTTCTAGATCAGTACCTAATCTTTGGGACGGTGGATGGCATCTATACGCTGAACCTTAACGAGCTGCATGAAGCCACAATGGAGCAGGTAACAGCAGCTCAAAACACTGACGATAACCCGGATTAGTTAAGTCTTACTTACTTTGTATGGGAGGTTTATATTGCTTTTAAATAAATGTACTAGTTGTTGATGGGGCTTTTTTTTTTAAAACGTGTAGCTCCATAAAATAACCTAGTTGGTAAATGATGCGTTCCTTGGCCTTTTTTAAGAACTTGTTACTAGTAGTAAACCAGATAGCTAATGTCCAACTATTTGTTGATTGTACCACTTTTGTTTAATTCCTTATTTAGCTGTTCCCGAGGAAGTGCACATGGCTGTACGTTATCAACAACATCCTGATGTCTTTGTCTGGTAGGTGATGGACTTCTCACAGCCTCCTGCTTCACTGACCACTGTCATAACCTGCTGCCTCTTTGTCCTGTGGTACCTAGCTGCCTCCACATCTGCAGCCCTACAATAACTGTGTCTTATGTTTGTCATCAGAGCCTCTATGAACTTTGTCTTTGTGGCGCAGTGACTCATCTGGCTTTACAGCCTGTTCCTCTGAGACATGTTGGTCTCTGTAGGTTACAATGTAGGATAGTTTGTTTCATATATTTAAACGGATGTCCTAGTCGCTGTTGTTTTTTCAGCGAAACAGTTGAGGATGGGATTAGAAAGTTTGGGTTTCACCCTCAGCTGTTTGCTTCTTGGTATACCTGACCTCTGTTCTCTTCTCCTCTTCCTTTGGACACTGTCCATCCTCCTCCTCCTCCTCTCGCCTGGCTTGATTTGATATTCTATTAACTGGCTTCATCAGAAGGTAATCATGCTTCACATCATCGTCACACTGCTGTTGTTACCCTCTGCTCACATCTAACCTTTCTACATGTGAAAGCTGCTTTATGGGTCCAGAATGTGTAAAGGAAAATCAGAAAGTGTGTTTTAAAATAAATGACAAGTAGAAAAGTTTACCCTGTCACGTCATAACATATGACGCATAATATTCTGCTGCAGGGAAAACCTTCCAGCTGTACTCTCACAATCTCATCGGGCTGTTTGAGCAGCTGAAGAAGCCCGGCCTGGCTGCTCAGTTCCAGACTCATCGCTTCCCAGACAAAATGTTACCCAGGTGAGAACATGTGTCCGAGTTTTCGGTCTCGTATATAACATTCTCTCACCACACGTTCCTGACGCTTTTGTGATAAGGTCACAACTCAGGGTTTTTTTTTTTTCTGTGTTGTTTTTTTTGGGTTTTTTTTAAACTTTAAACATGTTGCCCAGCATGAGTGTGGCAGTCTTTTTGTTCCTTACCGTCTTCCATCATGAATAACTACTGCAGTGGTAGACGCACTGGCCGACTTCACTGATTCTAGACGTCATCGGCTCTTTTAAGTCACAACAACGTGACTGTTTTCTCTCCTCAGGAGGTTCGCCCTGACAACTAAGATCCCCGACACAAAGGGCTGTCACAAGTGCTGCATTGGTGAGTGGCCTTTGCCTCCCAACCCCTCTGTTTTATTTACTCTTCCATCATATTATACTGTGTCAATACATGATTAACATCTCCGTTCTGGGCATGTCGCCCTTAGCTTTGTTGCAATGTTTGTGTTCTCTAAGCCCTCGTGACTATTCACATTGTGCACTAATCTGAGTGCGGTTTGAATAAATTGACATTTTCATTGTTATGAGTTTTCCTAGACAGTTTTATTTTAAACCACATACTCTAGTGTAAATTGTGCAACGTAGGTTTATAACAATCAAGCTACACTTTGTGACAGTCTTCTGTATTTCACAGTGAGAAATCCATATACAGGCCACAAGTACTTGTGTGGAGCGCTGCAGTCTGGGATTGTCTTGTTGCAGTGGTATGAGCCCATGCAGAGGTTCATGCTTATCAAGGTAAATTGGCTATTTTTATCTTATCTAATTTATCAATTTAATTTAATTCATTTTTTTTCTATTTTATCAATTTTATTTTTTCCAATTTATCATTACACATCAGAACGCCATTGACTCAAACCCCTCTGTGTTGGTGCTCTCTTTCTGCTGCAGCACTTTGACTTCCCTCTTCCCAGCCCACTGAAAGTGTTTGAGATGCTGGTGGTCCCGGAGCACGAGTATCCTCTGGTGTGTGTGGCCATCAGCCTGGGCAGCGAGCCGGACCAGGTGGTCCGCTTTGAGACCATCAACCTTAACTCCTGCTCCTCCTGGTTCACAGAGATTGGAACAAGTAGGTCAAACATGTACTCTGTTGCGGAGACGAACACCATGAAAACAATACAAAGACGAGCTGTCTATTGGCCGTCACCTCCCCAGAATGCAATGCAGCCTCACGTCTTTGTGGATTTATTGTTAGTGAAGAGCTTTTGGGCAGTTTGAACAACCAGGCACATAACATGTGATGACGTGGCTTTTTGTTAACTTTCTAAAGCATGCTTCTTCTGCCTCATAAATTAGCAAAGAACCCCTAAGGAGAGTAAAAAGTAGTTGTACTAAACTTTTAATTACTTGTAATGAATACATTGATTATGGTGTGATGATGATTGTTAATGTTGTACATTTCCTTCCCACAGCTCATCAGCAGGTGGATGCAATCCATGTCACCCAGCTGGAGAGAGACACCGTGTTGGTGTGTTTAGACAGTAAGTACAATCTCTTTTCATCAGCTCGGACCAGCAGCTCGTGTACGGTGTGGATGTATCTACGTTCTGCCACATCATTGTTACAACCTTTTTCATTGTTTCGCTCCCCAGAAAATCTGAAGATTGTTAATCTCCAGGGCAGACTGAAGTCCAACAAGAAGCTGGCGTCTGAGCTCAGCTTTGATTTCTGTATCGAATCTGTTGGTAAGCTTTTAGACAGGGATTTTACACTCTGTGTAAAGAAATAGAGCTACAAATGATTCAGTGTAATACCTTACAACAAAATGTCCTTACCTTAAAGGGAGTTATACAAAAACCTCCCAGCATGACAGGCTGGCAGGTACAGAAAAAGGCTGCTTTTATATGCAGCAAATATTACATTTACAATAGAGCGTTTTGTAAACTCTTGATGACGATGGCAGTGTTTCAGTGACACGTGGCCTCTTACCTTTTTGTTTTCTGACAGTGTGCCTTCAGGACAGCGTCCTGGCCTTCTGGAAACATGGCATGCAAGGAAAGAACTTCAAGTCTAATGAGGTAAAAAAAAAAACATCTCACCATATACGACGGCTGGGTGGCGACTATATTGAAATACAAATTCACAAGAACGTTTTGATACTGTACCATTTTTATTGTGTGTCGGTAGTCGAGTATATTTCACCTCTAAGCTTTTCAGTCTTCAGGGGAGGAACCTCAGGTGGATAGGGTCAAATATTTTAACTGACTTCCGCAGTCGATTACTTTAATGAGTATAATTTGTTTTTATGGAATTTTATGTTTGCTTATGCAAATGAGGCATATCTAATAACTTTTGGTGAATTTAGGAGAACTCTACAGAGTCAAATGGACACGGTAGTAAAATAAAAACCTAAATGTGTGTTTTGGACGTTTTCTTTCCACTGGTCTGAAAGAAGACAAAATGGCCCAAAATTTCAAAATTGGCCAGTGCATGACAGACATTTTTTACTGAAATATCCGACTCCATTTTCATGGGTTGCCAGTGACTAAAGAGGAGAAACTGTTCCTGAATACGAGCCTGTTTGTTCTCCACATGAGAACACCTCTGGCTCTTGTCCACAAAGACCCTGAGTGCCGGCCGTTTATACGGGTGGCGACGCCCCGCAGATGATCCCGGGAGATTAGACCTCAGGTGAAGCCAGACAACGTGTCTTTGTGTCAGGCCGAGGTAATGAATTTGTCCTCCTTTCACGGAGGGATTCCGTGTTCACCTGATCACGAGTGGCGCTCGGCAGCAGAGTTAAAAGTTCAAGAGATCACAGGGAGGTGAAGCATTCTGTTTTTATGAAAAGCGATACGGGGAGAGGGGCCAGCCTTTAGAAAGCTCGCCGTGTCAGACGTGGTCCTCTGACACTCGGATGAAACAGAACGTCTGATCCCAGCCCAGCTTCACGGTTCTGCCACAGCAAGGATTTTTTTGAAATGTCAGCTGCCATGCAAAATTCATGCTCAATCATAAACGAAACCCGCCGCACGACAGCAGCAGCACTAAATAATTCAGCCTTTGTCTCGTTATGATTCCTCTCAAGAGCGAAGGCATTCAAGGAGGGGGGGGCCTGTTAATCCGCTCCGGTGGGTGCTTCTCTGAACACCCGAGACCTTGTTCTCGTTTAGACCTCAACGGATCAGATCTCTCCCGAGGCCAAGGACTTACACCTAGCAGGTGTCACACGCCGACTATCTCGCGTCTGTCGACAACTTTTCGTGACATGTCAACACGTGAGAGTGTGTGTTTGAAGGGGCCCCTTGTTCTTCACGCTGCACAGTGTCGGGCTACATCTTGAGACTCAGACTAGTGAGCTCCAGCATTGTACACAATAACAGAGAGTCCCCAGAGACGGCACTCATGTACCTGCAGTCTGTTCAAAAACATAGACGTTGTGTACCTGAAGACACAATAAGTGATCCCAATGTGTAAACGGTCAACGAACCGCCAACACTCAAAACACAGTCGCTCTGACATTGATTGACAGGTCTTTCAACATACAGACTGACAACAACTAGATCATAGTAATGTTTTGTGAGGCTGCTAAAGTAATAAGTTTAGTGTCGGTGAACATGACGTGTAAGATTGGTAACAAACGTAGTGCTTGCTAAGGCAGGAGCCTCTCAGAAGTCTGCTCTTGTGGAGGTCTGTCTGGTGAAAACGGGCTTCAGTATAACGATACTTGTTGATTCATGCGTTTTAACTCCCCCTCTGCACCAGCAGTACGTCAGATACACAGAAAACCAGTTGTCAGTGTTTTGGTTTTTTTTCCCTTCCCCAGGTGACTCAGGAGATCTGTGATCGAAGCCGAGTCTTCCGCCTCCTCGGATCTGACAGGTTGGTACAGAGAGATTTCCCTCTTGAGCTACATCAGTGCAGACGAGTGATCAAAACGAGTCTCAAAGGACTTCTACGACACGTCACCTCACAAGCAAACAGGACTACAGACGGTGTCTCACTCTACCTCCTCACCCTATCGATCTGTCTTCTCATCAATACCCCTGTTGGTATAGTTTATCAGGCACTCGTGTTGTGGCTGTCCTCCCTCAGGTCTGATTACCTGGAAACCACCAAACGGCTCGCTCACCTGCTGTGTTGTGAGCCCACAGCTCTCTACCGGTCTCTCCTCGCTCTATTTATTCTTTTCATCTGTTCTTGTTCTTAGATTTTACTTTCAGACGACTCTAAACCCAACTGTTCCTGAATGCACCACGACATCATCCTTGAATTCTGTCTGTCTGTCTGTCCCCTCTCTCTCTCTCTCTGTCTCTGTGTCTGTCTCTCGTTCTCATTAGAAGATAGTGAAACATTATTATAGTTTCCTGAAGTCCAAATAGATGTCATCAAATTAGTTTCGTCTGACCAATAGTCCAAAACCCAAAGTTAATCAGTTAACCGTCACGTGAGATGAAGCAAAACCGCAAGTCTTCAGCTCACAGAAGCTGAAACTTTACTCCTGCAGGGCTGCAACTGATGAGTCCTTTCTCCTAATTAATACGTTCATGGTGTGAATCCGACAAAAGCAGTAATTCCTCACGTTTTAGAAACCAGGACCAACTGTAACAACACTCAAAATAGTTGCAGATTAGTTTTCTGTTAATCGACTCATTGATCGAGGTCTCGACTGATGTCATGACAGTCGGTTTGAGCTGCAGACACAGTTAGGATGTGATTTAGCTCTCACACACACACACACACACACACACAGAGCGTGCTCTCCCAGCCCAGTCAGTGATGACTCCTGATGAAGCCGTCCTGCCTGTGGCACCGGAGCAAGGCCCCCCCCCCCCCCCCCAAATGTTTTATTCACCGCTGCCCGGGCACTGCCAGCCTGGTTTGAGTGTCTCTCCATGCCTCTGTAATTTCATCTGATGGAACGGACAGTATGGACTGTAGCTTCCCTGCTCGGCTGTCAGGACCACATGGCGTCTGACGATGCTGACGTCCTGATCTGACTGTGCCGGTCGGATCAGGACGGTTTACAGTTGTGGTTTTAAATTGCTGGTAGAACATTGCTAGCTGTTTCCACCTGTTTCCAGTCTTTATGCTAAGCTAAGACCATGTATGGGTTGTATCAATCTTCTCATCGAACGCACAGCAAGAATGCAATTAAGTTAAATTCCCAACAAGTATTCCTTTTAATGTACATGTGATGTATAGTTTAACGCTCCACCAGGTACCACGACCGCCGTCGTTTAGTATTTCTGTGATGTTCTAACCGTGGTGTCTGTGTTTTTTCTAGGGTGGTGGTTTTGCAGAGCCGGCCCACAGTCAACCCCACGGCCCACAGCAACCTCTACATTTTAGCAGGTCATGAGAACAGTTACTGAGCCTCCCCCAGAGGAAAGTGGAGGAGATGCCTCAGGTTTTATTGGGAGAAAACTCCAGACCTTCACCTCAGGTTCTGTGTCGAGGGAAACGTCTGGTTTCACAGTTATTGGGAGCTTTTGTTACTGATCACGGGATTGACGGGTCAGTAGAGAGAGAGAGAGAGAGGAGCCTCTTCAGTCTGGATTCATGAGTAGCCTTACACCAGCAACACGCTCGTAACAAGCAACACGGAAACCATCACGAGCAGAAAGCAGAGCGCCGATAAAAGCTGCAGTGGACCGAGTTACAAACGAGTTATCTAGAGGTGTTATTAAGTGCCATTAAGATTCACAAGAATTTGTGATTGTATTAGCGAAACTGTGGGAGATTTATTGTGTTATTGTCTGTAACATGTCACTCATAATCACGTTCGAAGGCTTGAGGAGATTTCACAAGCTATGTAGTCAAACTAAAAGCTCCGTTTAAACAGAAACCCCCGAGCATTGTGGGTTATTTAAGCAATATTTATTAACCTCGTGCTAAGTGATGTTGGATTAACAGACAGTGGCAGTGCAGTCCTGCTGTGAGGATTAACTACCTAGTGAACAGCAGCTTTGGGTTATTTTCTACTGCTATGTAATATAGTCGCATCTCTCCTGCTCTGCTGCGTTTTTAGAAGTCGGATATAATGTACCTTTTTTTTTTTTTTTTTTTTGTCTTTACCTTCCTCTTTTATGGACCTTTTACTTCTCATTATTTGCACCATGTAAGCACTTTTGTACCTTTTTTTTTTTTTTTTATTTAAAATGACAAAATGAGGGACAATGCTAGGTTTTGCTAACATCTTTGCATTCCCTTCGCAAAATGTTTAATGTATGCTGTTTTTTTTGTAATAAAAAAAGCTGTTAACACGATAACGTGAGTGGACTTTATGTGTTTTGTGAGGTTGGATTAATGCAACAGAGCAGATGACGAGGGTCTGAAGGGAGGAACGGAGGAACACGGGTGAGTATTAGTTTCCATCATTTCACCGTTTAGTCTGCCGGTCCTCTGACTTCACCAACCTGAACTAATTAGTCCCACTGCGACAGGACAACATGCTAAGTTTACATTTTACTCATTTCATGAGGTCGGGCAGATTTGGTTTGTCGTGATCATCACCAAAAACATAATGATGGACTCAGAAGTGTAAGAAAAGACATCCTTGAATGATAAAACTGCAGCACAAAGTCATCTACTACCAGCTATTAGTGATGTCAGGTTTTGTAAGGATGGGAGCATCAGGGAGTTCCACCTCTGAGAGTCGAGGGTTGTTTACCTGTGTGGGTGTTTTTCCTGACCAACTGACTGGAGGAGGCTGACGTTTACCTGCCTCTGTATTTAAAAACATCTCTGATACTCTGAAGATCTATAAACAACAAGATTTTCCCATTTAGTTAATAAAGGTGGACTCAGGCAGCTGTTCCTATGGGAACTGAGGTGGAAAAGATAAAAATGCGTCAAGTTGAGTCAGTGGATAGACCGGATGTCAAAATAAAATCAAGAAACAAACCTGCCATGTTTGCTCTGATGGAGCTGATTCACTAAAACATGATCAAATAGTTTCACTATTTCTACTAACTTCTTTCTTTATCTTTTGGCTATGTTCCTTTGTTTCGTCTCTGAACTGTATTCTGTGATATTTTGTGTACTTTTACATTTCATTTTGATATAACATGCTTTAAAAGCAGTTTACTAATTTGGGGATTTTAAAGCTTCTGAACTTCTCCTGTTATGTGCTGAATTATACATACTCCATTTAAAATAATGACGAATCAACAGTGGTGGAAAATAAAGTACATTTACTCAAGTAATGTTCGTAAATACAATTGTGAGGTTCTTGTACTTGAGTATATTATTTTCTGCTACTTTATTCTCTTCTCATACTCTATATCAGATGAAAGTATTTCCCTCTTCACCCTAAAGAAAATATTTGATAACTGGTTACTTTGCAGATTTGAGATTAATTATTTGAGATATATTCAAATAAATATGGTAATATAAAATTAAAACTAGTTTCGCGTTTACCGGCAGCTGCACATTAATGCAGCCAATGCTCGACTCTTACTTAAATTGAGATTTTTGAAAGCAGGATTTGCTCATTTTGCGTTTTATTTTGAAGGCTTGGCCGGATGTGCTGGTTTATTCTATTTGCCTTGACTCTTTCTAAACCTGACGCTTCTCGTGTCCTTACGGACAGTCGAGCTGTGATCGTCCACCTCGTCGTGTTTGGAAGAAGCAGCAGCTCCTCTGACTGAACATCTGCGAACATTTTCACTCAAAGTAAGTTTGTACATTTGCATTTGAAGACGAACAGGAAGTGATTCTGCAGACTTATGTCTCGTATAAATAATGAAATGTGACCACTGTTATGATCAGCTTGTTTAACGGGGAGACTTTGCTCATGCTGCAAGATGATTGTAACTATTTTTTTCATCACAAACACATTTCCAGTGTGTTACAAACATGCAGCAAAGAAATATGATTTAATGTGCAAATAAGTGCAGCACTTTGATTTTATTCCCCTGGCTGTTCACTTTCTCTGTTTGTTTTCGCTCCATATCCCCCTTTAGGGAAATTACCTAATATACTTTGCATTGCAAATGTTTTCGTTACGCAGTCTAGCTGTTGCAGGTGTAGTGTTGCCTCTAAACACTCAAATCTATCTGTTGCAGCAGTTTCAGAGATTAATCTTAACATTTTTGGATATCTTAAACACCGAGTTTATTTGTTTTGAGAAAATTAGTAAATGTCTTTGTGCTTTCCAGTATATTCAGATAATTATGCATGGCATGTTTCTGTGCCATCAGCTCTGTTTTTCATTATAATGATGCAGAGATTAATCCAAATGTCTGATATCACGACATGAAAAGCCGCCAAAGTAGACCAAAATCTATTTTATCTTTTCCAGAAAATGCCCATCCCTCATTTGACCCAATTTGGATGCTTATTATGGATTTATTCCAGCTTTAATTGAGTGAACTAGACATAAAAGCACCAGGTGGTCACTCTTCTTCTCTGCATCCCTGCTGAGGAACCTTCCTGTGTCCCTTTAGAGGCTGCAGAGACCGTCCTTGCCTCCTGGGACCCTCCTGGAAAAGTGTCCTCACCTTCGGATGTCTGCCGCTCCAGCCTGAGGATGGAGAAGTACGAGAAGATTGGAAAGATCGGAGAGGGCTCCTACGGCGTCGTCTTCAAGTGCAGAAACAAAGACAACGGGCAGATCGTCGCCATCAAGAAGTTTGTGGAGTCGGAGGACGATCCGATTATCAAAAAGATTGCACTGAGGGAGATCAGGATGCTCAAGGTGACGGCACATTAATATCCATAACATCCTCTTGTTGTACCTTCACAGGTTTACCGGTCAATGGAAGCACATTTCTGCCTGGAAAGGTTTCATAAAGATAAAATGTTCAATGTATGTTACAATTATGACATAAAAGAAGTCAAAGATTTTGACTTGGTAAGTTAAATTTGGAGATAAACTAAAAATATTGACATACTAAGTAAAACATAATGAAATGGTGAGAAAAACTATGATATAATAATTCTGAATTATGGGATTGAAAGTAAAAGCGATGAAATATAAATAGTAAAAGTCTAATCTAAAAGTCGCGACTAGCTTTTCCTTAATTCTTTTTCCTTTTTCTTGCTTCCAGCCCAGTTTCTAATCATACTTTAGATTAATGCAAACTAGTCCAAATATAAACTGTAACACAAATATTTTATGACACTAAATCACATCATGTCTGTATTTATTAAGGAAGCTGACCTTTAACCTTTCAAGCTTTTATTCTTTGTTGCTGTCAGAGTTCGGTCTGTTATCATTTTTATTGCCTTCTACGGTATATTCTACTCTGGACATTCAATACAATGACGAACAGCCAAACAAAAACCTGCAATACTTTATTTTGACATGTTATATATTTGACCTTTTTAAAGATGCAAATCCTGTTTTTAGTGTCGTCCCTCTCTGCCAGCGGCCAGCAGGAGGGACGGCACGCAGTTCATTCTGCAGACAGAGGGGAAGCATTTTTGTAGCTGCTGCACAGAGAGAAGAGCAGCGGTCTAAAGAAGTTTACAGGGTTGTAATCAAATGAAGCAAAAGCCCTGCAGGGTCCGGACCGGCTGAAGTACCTAAATTAGGAAGTGAAATGTCTGTAAAATTTAACAGGAAATGAGAAAAAAGACTGAAACACCAGGTTAATTGTTCGGGTTTGTCAAAGTGTGTTTTTAGCTGTTTGGCTATAAAATGCTGGTTTAGACTTTGGATGCAAGATAAATATTCATGTTGGTGAATTAATCTTAAATAATTAAGTGATTAGAGTCTTAATCAACTTAGAAATAAACAACAGAAACATCAGCGACAGTCGGTTCTTGGTCTCCTTTTCATTTTGATTAAAGTAAAGGCTAAAGCCTGTTTCTTTTATGTTGCCTAATGATTATCAAAGATGCACTTGTACAATTGTTGGTGGTTTAATTAGTCATGCGCTGGGTGGGAGTGTTAGTGGCCCGCTGGACACCAGGAGCTCTTAAATAGGACAGGATGGGGACAGGTTGTCAGGGGCAGCAGCATGTTTATTACCATCTGTTAAGAGTTTAGTGTTTGATAAGAGCAAACCACAGATGGGGCAGCTCTCCAACCAGCAGGCTTCGCTGGTTTAATAGTTTGTATGGATGTGATTGTAATTCTCTGAAATGCTTCTTCTTCTATGTTTTGTTTCTCTGCAGCAACTGAAACACGCCAACCTGGTGAATCTGATCGAGGTGTTTCGGCGTAAACGTAAGCTTCACCTCGTGTTCGAGTACTGCGACCACACGGTGCTCAACGAGCTGGACCGGCATCCCCGAGGGTGGGTGTGGCTTCTTTTACTAGTACCGCGTTGTACAAATACTTTGTTACAAGTAAAAATCATGCATTCAAAAGTTGGCCCATTTCAGAATAATAACACTGGATTATAATAATCGATGCATTAATGATAAAAGTAGAAATTGTCTCAAATAGTGTGAAACACCGTCACAATTACCCAGAACCCAAAGAAACCCCTTCACAATGTTTGATACGTCCAAACCTCAAAATGATTAAAAGTAAATTTAAATCAGCAAACCTTCACATTTGGGAAGCTGGAACTATGAAATGTTTTTGCATGAAAAATAACTTAACTGATCAAAATTGTTGAAGTACTAAAAAAGTAATTTCTTTCCAGTAGATTAATCGATTAATCATTTTAGGTGTATTTGTTTTGTGCACAAATATCTTAGATTGTAAAGTAATTAATGCTGTGAAATAAATAGATTGGAGTAAAAAGTACAATATGAAGAAGAACATGCATGAGAAGACAATAAATATACTTAGTTACATTCCACTCCAGAAATAAGTTAATATTGATATTTGGAAAAAGAAATTCAGTAGCTCCCATGTCTGATGACTCCCATGTCTATACATTCATTTAAAATGCATCACAATCCCTGTCTAATGCATTATAATGGGATTATTCTAGGTGGTCATTGGGTGCACACGTGAAGTAATGAAATTTCTGAGGTACAGACATATTTAATACATTACAAGCTGGTTATAAGTCTATAAGTGGTCATTATTTGCTTTAAGTAAAGTGAAAGAACATTATTAAATCACGCAACAACACAAAACGATGTAAAAGTGAGTGACCAGCAATTATAACGTATCATGATACTTGATAAGTCATTTAATGACGATTATACATAATGTTTGTAATGCATTATAGACACGGACGTCATAGAAGTGTTAACAAATATTCCTACTAATATAGAATTAATGATTTCAACCGCTCAGCAGTAAAAGCTTTAGAAACGTGTATTACTAATGCAATAAAAACATCTTTTGCTATTTAAGGACTTTTTCTTCTATGAAATGAGCACACAGCTCCGTTTACTGTACAGACATAAACTCTGAGATAAGGGGAGCATAAATCTGAGTACGGTGGCTTTTGATTAAACAAAGCGCTGTGTACTTTCTATTATCTCTACATTATATCTATACCACACCGTGCTCTGACGGGCACAACGCTCGTCTCTCGGGAAGCTGACCTGCTCGCTGTGGAATGTTTACAGTGATGCTCTCCCAGAATGCATTGCCGGCAGGGACTCTTTAGGCTCGGCCACATTTTATACGGAGTGTTTTCGCTGTCTGGTTTCCACCTTCTGGTCCTGGCCTGTAGCCTCCTGGACACAGAGGGTTCAAAAGAAGAGACAACAAAGTGGGGAGAAGGGGCGGAGGTTGTCATTAATTGCCCGTCACAAGGCTCGATTTAGCCATTTCCCCAGCAACACGGATGGATGACGGTCCCTGAGCCAACAAAGCCTCAGTGTTGAGCAGTGGAAACAGGACCGCTCACTGTTCTCCACAGAGCCGTCTGAGGGAGAACAGATGTCTGAAAAACTAGACATGACAGCAAAAGTCGTCTGAGAAGTTATCTTTCCATCCATGCTTCTGTTATTAGATGGATTCATTTGTCATGGTTCCTCGAAACCCAAACAAACATCATTTTTTAGATCTAAGGACGGTAACGTTGTTGGGGTTAAGTGATGATTGAGAGATTATTTTGGTCTATACATTGTTTTTTTTTTTTTTAGGATAATCCGACTCATTCTGCCTTTAAATCTTAGTTTGATAAAAAACAAAAATCTTATCACAAGATTCTCTAACTGGACATTTTCTGGAGCTTTCAGCCACCTTTCATGGCCTTCATCAATAGAGAGCATCTGCTGAGTTGTCAGTTGAGGAGAATAATCCGTTGGAAAGGTTCCAGGCGGTGGATCTTTTTGTCAAGCTACTATTTCCAAAGTCAATACTGAGTTTGAAACCTGTATTTTCTATTGATCAGCTAAGTGGTTAATTAAATGTCAACTTCCTTCTTGTCTTCCAGAGTCCCGGAGCACCTTGTAAAAAGTATAACCTGGCAGACACTTCAAGCTGTCAACTTCTTTCACAAACAAAATGTAAGTAACTTGACTCGTTCCCGTCTATTTCTACTCGTACCCGTCTCTTCATGAAGCTTAGTGTGCGTTTCAGTTGTCAAAGCTTCCCTTCAGCTTGTTTTTGTAATTCCTCCGGTGTCCTCCCACCGAGCCCTCTGCTTTATGGCTCTTTTTATCACAAGAATTCCTTCCCCTTGGCTGAGCAGCAGTTAATGTATCACCTAGACACAACAAATGCTACAAAGGGCCCCCCGTTTAACAGCACTGTCCCTCTCTGCTTTTACTGTTCCTCACACGGCCCCCTGTTATTCTCCGCATCTCACAACCACAAGTGTCTCAGCGCTCAGTTTATTTAATTTGACCATTTCTGTGCCTGCAGTGCATTCACAGAGACGTCAAGCCGGAAAATATTCTCATCACCAAACACCAAGTCATCAAACTCTGTGACTTTGGCTTTGCAAGGATTCTCAGTAAGTTTACAGACTCGCTAAGCTTTTGCAAACGGCGCCACCTGGTGGACACTTGCATGTCGCATTCAGTGGTGCTGGCTGTGTAGTATTTAAAGCCTCAATCATTAAACGCTGTGTTTCAGGTGCAAAGGTTTTACTCTACTAGAGTTAATAAGACACGAGAGTTAATAAGAAATAGTTTCTTGTTTGGTTAGAAATGCCTGTCTGGACACATGTTGTTCACTGTATGCAGATGGAGTCTCATAGTGATATATTGGTTTATTAAATACATTTTCTAAAAGAAAAAAGTTAATAGATTGATATTTGTGTATCATGACGAGCTTCATGCTTCAAAAGAGAATAGAAAAGTGGATCAAACTCAAAGTCTCGTTACAATTTAATAACTCTGATGAAAGAAATAAGAATAACTTAGAGCAGTTGTTTCTCCCCAAGATAAATGAGGGGTCACAAGATGATTCAAAACATAGAAAGAAAAAAAAACAAGATATTTAAACGAAAATGTCGTTTTTTGTTTTAGTTTTTTTACTGTCCTTTCTTTTTCTAAGAATATAGTTTAACTTCTCCAAGCCAGAGAGAAATATTCAAACGTAACAATGTGCAAAGGTAAAATCGCTCGTAGGTTTAACTGCTTAGTCGTATGTACCCTGATACAAGGAGTCCTGAGTACATGATGGTTTTCCTTTAAGAGACATTTAAAGTACAAGTAAAGTATACTACTGAACAAATACTACCCCGCATATTAGACTAATCTTTGTATCTTCAACGCAAAAGTAAACAGAGTACTTATGTCAAAGGTAAATAGTTTGTCAGGTCATTACACACACACACACACACACACACATATGACATTAGTTGTGTGTGTGTCTGTTTCCTGCCTCCAGCCGGCCCATGTGACTACTACACGGACTACGTGGCGACTCGTTGGTACCGGGCTCCCGAGCTGCTGGTGGGAGACACTCAGTACGGCCCTCCGGTGGACGTTTGGGCGATCGGCTGCGTGTTCGCCGAGCTGCTGTCGGGGATGCCACTGTGGCCCGGGAAGTCTGACATGGATCAGCTGTACCTGATCAGAAAGACTCTCGGTAAACCAGTCAGTCCGCTTACTGTATATACACAATGCACTTTTATGCAATCGATCAATCACAAAACATAAAGCATGCAATTTTATCACTGAGCAAATGTTAACAGATACATAAGATATGTCAATTTTGAAGTAATTAATACGGATTATCGGGACATAAATTGACACGTATGTGAGAATAAAACATGACAAAGAAAGAAAAACATCTTTCCACTGTCATGACATTCTTGTGAAGTTTATGGTGGAGGTTGGAAATGTTTCCCAGGAAATTGTAAAATATCGAACAAACTCTTTGTCAAATGATAATACCGAGCTTGAATACATCCACGGGAGTAATTTGAGACACAGTGTGTTCATCTTTGTCGTCCTCTGCAGGAGATCTGATCCCTCGACACCAGCAGGTCTTCAGCAACAACCAGTTCTTCTGTGGAGTTTCCATCCCAGAGCCACAAGAGAAGGTGAGACACACAGATGTGCCCCATCTGCCGACATACATTAGCTGTATTCTGATGGTTCTTTATGTAAATTTGGTTTTTAGGGCGTTTTCTCCAATGTTAGCTCAGCACACAAATGTTAAATAATAAAAGTCAGTTAAGGGATTACAAGAAAAGTGAACATAAACATAAAAGCAGCAAAATCACAAAACAAAGTCTTTTTTTCTTTCTGTAGGAACCTCTGGAGCAGAAATATCCAAATCTCTCACATCAAGCTCTGAGTCTCATGAAGGTAACGATGTCACGACTGCAGTATTATAATCTATTTCCTGTTTTTTGCCTAAATCTTTACACAAATTACAAGCTTCGTAGATTAAATTTTGGATTTTAATCCACTGAAATGTGCATTTTTTTTTTTTTTTTTTTTTTTTTTTTAAACTAGATTTCTTTTATCGTTCTAAAAATGTCAGAAAAAGTATGATTTTTAGAATACATTTTGGGACAACAAATCAGAAACTATGTGCAAAGTTGTTCCCAAATAACCAAAGTAAATACTCCATTATGCTTCGTTACTTGCATAATTCTAACTATAACCAGACTTGTATTTCACAAAACCTTCATGACAGCCGCTGGTCATTGAGAAAATGAGGTCTCACGACGTCCTCTCTCCTGTTGATGGTTTAGGGCTGTCTGAGGATGGACCCGTCCGAGCGGCTGACCTGTGAGCAGCTCCTCCAGCAGCCGTACTTCGACAGCCTGCGAGAGAAGAGCTCCAGTACCTCTCGAGAGCAAGACCGCTCCAGCAACAGGAGGACACGTTTACCTCGCAAACACCTTCCTCCCGGGGTAATACATTTAAGAGTCTCTGAGAACATTGGTGAAAACATAATCTCATAGAAAAGGACTGAGGCAGGTGGGAAAGCAGTAATACTTATCGATTGTGTATTTCCTCCCTGCAGTATTTGCCACAGCTGACCAGCAGCAGCATCTTCCCAGTTTTGGACAATAAGAAGTACTACAACAACCTCCGCAAATTCAACTATCACCTCCCCAACATCTAAACTGGAGCTGGATCGAACCCTCCCAACACCAGCAACAAGCAGCGTTCCCTGAGAACTGCACATTCTCGTAGCACCTTGGGTTTTTTTTTTTTTAAGGAGGATTCAACCACTTTTTAAAAAGTTTTAGTTTATCCCGTGGGTGGTGTCGGGTGTCTCTTGATACTGATGTCAGTCTATGCACTATGTCCCAACACGTGGACTCTACACATGTTGGTTTATGTATGTTGCCTGCGTTTCAAGCTGATTTTATAAAGACAAGGAGCGATGTGCTGCTCTGCTCGTAGTCGCCAAGTAGACTGACGGTAAAACTACGACGTACTGCTTGGTTTGCCAAATGTATTTTTTATATAACGAACTATTTAAAGAGTGCGACATGTTTTTGGTAGTGAGTTTTATGTCTCGAGTAAGTTACAATGTAGGACACGAACTTTGACTCGTGAGCATTTTGGAAACTATTTATTGACGTCAGGAGTGAATATTCCTTTAACCACATTTACTAGCATAACTCGGTAACAATACACACATTGTACTCTTACCTCTGGAACTTTGGTGCTAATGGTGTTCACAGCCATCTGTCTGTCCTCAGATATTGTATAAATGCCAAATTAATCTAAAGAGAAATGTTTTAAAAGGCTCAGTCCTTTGCATTTTCACAAATAGTTTCTCTTTGAACCCACATACGAAGTAACTTTAATACCTTGAATGTTGAAAATATAATAAACTAAAGAATAGTTCAAGTTAGAGAAAAACTGCTGTCAACAATATAAAGTGCTTTAACTTTCCTATTTGCCGGACTCTTCCTTCAGTAAAGCTTGATTATCTCAAGCTGAACGACTTAATGATTCATGAAATAAACACATGCTGGACAATACAAGCCCTCCAGACCCTCGGCCCTTTGAAAAAGGTGTCCATATTTTACGATTATGACTAACGGGGGGACTCAGTCCAGGTCAAGTGATAGGTCCAGACGTGGGAGTGCCGTCTGTAGTCTGTCAACTGTCGTCTGTCTGTCTTTGATCCCCGGAAGATCGCTGAGAAACAGACGCTCCAGATTCCTGTGTGGAATTAAAGCATTCGTTACTAAACCAACAAAATAGATTCCATTTAAAAACATTTTGCTACAGAGAAACAGAACATGTTTAATTGGCCTCTTTTTAGATGGTAAAGACTCACCGGAGTTTGTGCAGGGCGACGAGGCCCTTGTCGGTCACATTTCCACACGAGACCACCTCCATCATGTGCAAACTCTCCTGCAGATTCTCTACCGAGCTCAGCCTCTCTAGGCAGGTGTCCTCGATGTAGATGCACTTGTTGAACTTTATTTCCTCCACGTGTTTCAAACCATCTAGAGGAAAAAAAAAAAAAAACCGCAAGATCAGCACACTCTTGACTGATAACATTAACAGAGGCAGAGAGAGAAGAGACTTCACTAAAATAACTCTGCGTGGACTCTGGCACCAAAGTGAGTGTCGTCAGCGACGGTGTAGAACAATCCCTTGCGTCACTTGGATAATCAGTCTCTGAGAGATGCACTTTCCTTTCGCCTTTCCTTTCTTGTTATCAAAGAGGGGAACCACTTTCAGGTCAAGCTCATGTTAACGTACTTAATGCAACATTTACACTTTCTGAGCCCGGCTTTAACCTTTGATTTGAGCAGGCTCTTTAGTCTGGTAATCCAACACTGATCGGCCCGGGTATTGAAATTTAATACCGTTTTGGTTCTGACCAAAGAAAGAATTGAAAGGCCTCAAATGTTTGGTGAGATGGTTGGTTGCTTATTCTTTGATCAAATAGTTTAAGAGTCAAATCATGATTTTGTAGATAAATATTCTGATACTATATCTTAAAATAAGGTGTCATATCGAAACTCGGGTAAAGCCACTGTTAGGCACGAGTATAAAAAAATTATTCTTAATTTTAAACCATAAATGACAGAATCTGACAGCCAGCTCTATTTTTAAAGGGTAACAAAGTGTTAGCATAGATGCTAAAGTTAGCATGTTATACTGAATTGGTAAATGTAAACAAGTTACTGCAACCTGCCTGTATGCTAGCTGATAGCATGCTAATTCACAAAATATGACATGCTAACAGTCAGTCCCCTCTAATCTCTTACGTATATTTTGTCAAACAGGCTCTTAAATACTTATTAGGTTAAAATCTTTTAGTTTGTTAATGGTTTCATGTTAAGATGCTGACTAGGCTAAATGCACAGACCAGCCCGGGTAAAGTATCTGACGCCAAACCGCTTAAAGTTGATCTAAATCTGACAATGTAACTTTAAGATGAGCCTGAAAAGTTGACTCTGTGTGACATCAACAGTAAAGATGATAAACCCTTTGTATTTAGTTAAGAATATGGCCCTTTTTTGTCCTATTAGTGGTGAGGATCTAAGAATAGCAAAGTTCTCCTCATTTTTCATCTTTCCATTCATTTCTCTTGTTAAATCTATGACTATGTGGAGGGAAATGGAAACAATTCACAAGGACAGGAAGACAATATTCTGCACACTGTAACACTGACCCAGGTGGTCAAACCCTCTGTACATGATGCAGGATTCAGTGGCGTCTATCGCCTGGATCTTGTATCTGCCCAGAGGCCCAGTTGGCAGTCCGTTGTAGTCGTGTTGCCAGCGATCGAAACCTTGAAACCTCACTTTGGCGCCACATCTCAGCAGCCACTCCGCTGCGGCTCGGTCCGGACCAACAGCTTTGATCCTTTCGTAGTCCACCCTGAATGTGAAGAACATCACTAACACTCAAAGTACGAAAGAAGTTCATGACACGTAAAGTGATGGATCACAAGAGAGGACTAGAGGGTTGCACTGTTAAAAAAAAATAAGCAAATCGTCCACTATTTGTTCATTTATCAAGTAAAATACCATCATGGCTGGTTGTAACTTCGTCAATGTGAGGATTTGCTTGTTTTTTGACCAGAATACTTAAAAGTATAAAAATACATAGAAATGGCATTATAGTTTATAATAATGTATTATAACCTGAATGTCATTTGCTGGTTGTAAAGGCAACACACAGTGGTATGGTTGTACATTTATTCCTGACCATTTTGCAGAGTCAAATGATTAATGTATTGACTACTGTATCACACCCATATAATTAATGGCTATTTAGCAAAACAAAATGCCTGTAAAGCATCTATCAATATTGAGATAATCTTGATTTTCAAAGTATTTTGTAATTTGAATACATACAAAATACAGTCAAAATGAAATATTCTCCTAATTACGAACAAAACAAACAAAACGTCTGCACCCTTATTGATATAGATGGGTTGTACAACAGATCAAAATTCATTAAAACAGTTTTAATGAATTAAAAAGCCTCCAAATGATCAATGAGTTCAACAAACTGAACATTACAACCTTCATGAAGGCAGATGTATTACAGGACTGTTTAGACTTTAGCTACGTGTGCATAATATACTGGCAACTGACTGCAACGCGTATATTGCATATAAACATATGTATAAAGAAATGTGACCCGGTTTATATATGTGTGTTTGTGTTAGATGAGGTGTGTGTGGAGTGCTTTGTCAATGTATAGATTGTTATTAACATGCCTGTCCATGCATTGCTGTGCAGCCATTAGCAGCACACGTAGCTAACTTATACCGTTATCCATTAACAATGTTGTCTCACTTGTTGAAGACCGCATTGAGCCAGCCCCAGAAGTGTCTGCGGCTCCACTCCCTCTGACCCACAGCAGACTGCACTGCCCTCGATAGAAGCCTCATATCTGAAAATACATGACACCATCATACTACTGTTATATTACTTTAAACTGCTGTTTGAGTCGGTTAAAAAAAACAACTGCAAAAACTGCGCCGCAGCGGAATCAGATATAAAACAATCTCACCTGCCCTCCAACGAGCTGGTCTGTTTACATGTGAGACGCGTCCATCGCTGTAGCCTTTAACCTGGTGACGTAAGGGAAGACGCGCCCTCTCATTGGCTGGACCGGAGCGTCACAGGGGGGCGCGGTCACGTCTCGGTTAATTTTATATTTTATACGATGGAGCAGCAGGATGGGAGGTTAGCAGTAGCAACAGGGAGGGGGAAACACAGCTCAAGGAAGTATTTCTGACATTGTGAGTGTGCGAGTGTGAGGTTTCTTTTAAACGCGGCGACAATGATCCGGACACTCGGCGGGGCGACTTTGAAGGCTGCACAGCCGATAAAGGACATTATTACCACGAGACGGCTGCACAGGTAAGTCTCACATTACAGAGAAAATGAAAGCATGCTACTGCTCACACTGTGTGTGGTGTTTCAGACACACGAGAGGAGTTAAAGTGAATAGACCTACATGTTAACTGGGGTTAATTTCACTCACTAGCAGGTCGATAAGTTAAGCAAAAGGGGCGGGCAAGCCGCTACCGGCTTGGGTAACTAACTTTGAGTTGATCCCAGTCATTGCCAAGGACGTTCTGCACGGAGAACCAGATTACATAGTGTTCTCTGCAGAACCTCTGACATCCACACCACCCGCAACCACATTGTTTATGCACACATAACATGTTTTGTCTGCACTGTACCCCCCCCACCACCATTGCAGCTCCATCCACATTTGCATGCCTTTTTAAACTTTTGTCAAAGCACCTGTAGTCTGACCTTTTATCTTCAGAATTCCAGCTGTCAGTCACTAGTTTTGTGTGAGCTGTTCTTTTAGACAGGCCTGTGTTTCCTATTAGACACTGACTGCTACAGGAGGAGTGGCCCCTGTCTTATGTAACCCCTCTCCAGTGTGCTTCAAGTAAACTGTGAATTTGAGATGTTTCGTAACAATTGGCTGACTTGTCCTCGAGGTTAAATGACTCCAGCAAGATATCACAGATTACATTCACAGACACGGAGACGCTGACAAATATGTTTTCTTCTTCACTTTTATTGGTTCCTCTCCCTTGTGAAGCGTTAAAACGTTTTTGCCTGGCTCCAGTTTACAGAAATGAAAACAAGATGTTCCCTTCTCCCAGTGTGGATATTCATAATGTTCTAGCAAACTTGAACATTGTGTTCTTCCAACTCTTTTTTTTTGGCAAATGCTTCCTTATTTGACATCTTGTGGTGAACTGTGGACATGTTTGATATCCACAAACTGCTGTTTACACTCTAAACTCCCCCACGAGACAGACGTTTGTGGTATTTAGGTTTGTGAAGAGATTTGCTTGATGTGACAGAGGTGGATATTGACTTTATAGATACAAATAGTCTGTGAACTGCAACACTATGGTGATCAGTCTCAAAGGTCCATCGGCTCCTAATACAGTCATGCACACTTGGAGTTGGACGTTGTACGTTGAACCAGTGACCTAAATATTCTGTTGTGGTTTCTACATTTTGCAACCTCTAAAGCTGGCTTCTTTATCGGTAACCATTTAAAATTGGAACTGTGAGTGACCTCCGCTGTCGTCTGTATTTCAGCACCTATGATATGGCCGTGGTGGGGGCCGGCATCGTCGGCCTCGCAACAGTCAGAGAGCTAATTCTGCGACACCCGTCCCTCAGCTTCGTCCTGCTGGAGAAAGAAAAAGAGCTCGGTGGGTGGAGAGTCTTGAAAGTTGTTGTGAAGGAAGACATCTTTGTAAAGAGCAAAAATGTTTTGCGGTGATTTTAAACCCGTGAAGTCGGTGAGTATTTGGAAAGTGACACAGTTTGTGTTGCATTGATCTGAAACCGAAGAATGAATGTGAGGAAAAATGTGAGTTGTAAACTGAGAACTTTAGTCCAAAATAATGTTAGTTTCTCTTGAAACAGGAACAAAGCACATATCTAGTCTAAGCTTCCTTGAATATATTGAATATTGAGGTTGATGAAACACAGTGGAAAAGCCTGTTGATATTTCTGTCTTTCTTCTTCTTCTTCTTCTTCTTCTTCTTCTTCTTCTTCTTCTTCTTCTTCTTCTTCTTCTTCTTGTTCCTATTCCTCTTATTTTTTCGGTCACTTTCTGTCTCCCAGCTGTGCACCAGAGTGGGCACAACAGTGGAGTCATTCACAGCGGGATCTACTACACGCCGGGGTCGCTGAAGGCCCGTCTGTGTGTGCGAGGAGCCACTTTAGCCTACGAGTACTGCGACAAGAAAGGACTCCCTTACAAGAAATGTGGAAAGGTCCATCTTAGCATTTTAACCAGATGAAACTCCGACCACATAACATTACAATACGCATGTAATACACACCCTGTTGGTAGGAGCTGCTGTTTGTTGTGTCTATCTCGGTATTGATCTGTGTGTTTCTGCAGCTTATCGTGGCTTTGGAGCAGGAGGAGATACCAAGACTGCAAGCTCTATATGAGCGCGGCATGAAGAACAACGTGCGTGACCTCGCTATTGTCGACGCCAAGGGAATCCGAGAGCGGGAGCCGTTCTGCAGGGTAAGAGTCTCAGAGACGCTGTCGTGGTTCCTACGAAATAAAAGATGGCTGCGACGGTCTATAGTCTGTCTATACGTCGTCCTTGCAGGGCATAATGGCCTTGGACTCGCCCTACACTGGCATTGTGGACTGGAGGATGGTGGCTCTCCGGTACGGGCAAGACTTTGAGGAGGCAGGCGGCACGGTGGTTACTGAATCTGAGGTCAATGACATTTCCATGGTCACGGAGAGCCCAGCTGGGAGTACTGAAGGTAATAAATGTGGCAACACAGTCACGATTAAACAAGAGCTGTGGAGTTATTTAAAGTTCAACTCAATATGCATCTTTTTTGTTGTTGTTGTTTATTTGCAGGAATGAAATATCCAATTGCAATCCGAGACAAAAAGGTAAACACAAGCAGATAGAAGCGTCACAACGTTTTAGATTGTGTTCTATTGATGCCATCGTTTGCATGGTGGTGTTTCTGCAGGGTAACGAGGTGCGGTGCCGTTACGTCCTGACCTGTGGCGGCCTGTACTCTGACCGTCTGTCTCAGATATCAGGATGCAGTCGGGAGCCTCGGATCGTCCCCTTCAGAGGAGATTATTTGGTGTTGAAGCCAGAGAAACACTATCTGGTCAAGGGGAATATCTATCCTGTAAGTCTGTTGAAGAACCACATGCCCAACTCTTTATGTAATCCACAGGAGTCCTGTGAGCTGCAGATGTTTCTCAACACATTCCAGTACTGTGTAATATCTCTGCTCCCTCACAGCTGTGCTATGTGACTTCAAACTGTAGCGACCCCAAGTGGCAGAAAGTAATGGTTCTTTGAGTTCTTCTTGAGAAGTTTGTCGGAATTCACAACCGAGGAATCGTGTAACTTGAGATCCGAAAGCAGCAGCCTTTCTATTTCATTTTTTTTTTTTTTCTTCATTATTGGTACGTTGAGTTCAGCTTTGTCTGGAATTGGCATCCATTCTCTGCCAGTTATAACGTTGGGATTCCCCCTAATGTGTGTTAAAGATTTGTAAGGTCATCCCAAACCTGAGGCTGCAGATAAAATCCCTTCAAAGTTCAAGAACTCAACAAATCCAGACCTCAGGCGTCACAGCAAGCTTCAGCAAATAGAACTTCACCTACAGAGATTTATAAAATATTAGATAATACTGCTCTTATAAGAGTAGAGTTACTAAAAACATTCAAGCTTTTACTTTAAGATCATCATCAGAAGCAGGGAGAGGTAACAAAGAACTGAAGTTGTTTACATGACGTTGAGAGCATTGCGTGTTTATGTGTCCATGTAAAATTTGACAGACAGACTAATTGAAGCAACTGAGCAATCAGCTGGCACATCTGCTGTTTGTTAGATGTTAGTTTCCTATCACCTCGATCTGCTCCTGATGAGGGTTTTAATGTTCATTTTGTTTCTGTAAATTATTTACGTTTAGGTCCCCGACCCTCGTTTCCCCTTCCTTGGAGTTCACTTCACCCCGAGGATGGATGGAAGTGTTTGGCTCGGCCCCAACGCAGTCCTCGCCTTCAAAAGGGAGGGCTACAAGGTGTACGACTTCAATGTTCGAGACTTTGCAGATTCACTCTTATTCAGGTACCACAGAGAACTTTATCTGATCTTATTTCAGTCTTTGTGTTGTGTCCTGGAGCTGTATTTTGAAAAGAGACACAGATTCTGAAATCATCTAATTGAAGTGCTGCATAGTGGGTGATAACTGAGTGTTTAATCTTTGTATTTTTATCCTACAGGGGCCTTCAGAGGCTGGTAATGAAGAACTTAAGTTACGGGATTGGAGAAATGTATAGAGGGATTTTCATTGGTGCGCAGGTTAAAATCCTGCAGAAGTACATCCCTGAACTCTCGCTGAGCGACGTGCTCAGGTAGAGCAATAATACAAGACCTAAAAAATATGTATCGGTTGTTTGTTACCAGGTGCACGTAATGTAAAATTAGTCAGGGATGGTTTACCAGCACAAGTAAGAGGATGAATGATATGATTACAATGTGTTTTTCTGTAACCCTGGTTGTTTGCTCTGCAGGGGTCCTGCAGGAGTTCGAGCTCAGGCTCTCGACCGAGACGGAAACCTTGTGGACGACTTTGTGTTTGACGGCGGCGTCGGGGACGTGGGCAGCCGGGTGCTCCATGTGCGTAACGCTCCCTCGCCGGCGGCCACCTCCTCCCTCGCCATCGCCGAAATGGTTGCAGACGAGGTGGAGAGTCGCTTCGCGCTGTAGAGCAACACGGCGATCGCAGAAGGAAAAATGAGAAACTGTCCTGTATCAAGCTGCCACTGCCTCAGCTTCACTGTCATCATGGAGACATTTTATTTCAGGTCAAGCCTTAAGAAGTAACATAACTTTGGCTTGATTACATTTTTAAGTTATATTTTACTTAGTGCTGTTTTTAAGTTGCATTCTTATTTTCATGCCACCACATTTTAAGTAATAAAATCATTTTTTCTGCATACGTTACTGTTTAAAGAAATGCATAGTAAAATATTTTTTATGCAAAAAATAATCAGTTACAATTATATTTTCAACATACTGTTTGTAATGTGAACATAACCCTTTTTACAGATTGTAAATTTTAAATGTGTTCCCAAAAATTTAATATTTTATCAACAACTAAAAAGATGAGGATCTTTGATAGTTCAGTCTCAGAAAGTTGAATCTCTGAGCACGTAATTTATGAAGGAATCTGTTATTTTTTTGGACTTCGGACAGTTTTGTCTGCCAAATAATTTAAACATTTAAAAACAATTTGAAATCAAATCGACAGCAAATACTTCAGTCTTGTGTCCCATTTACATTGATGTAAACTGAGAAAACGTAGATGTTGTACAGGTTGTTTGTGCGAGTGGGTGCTGATTTCTGGGTGCTGCTCTTTATTTTATAGCTTCACATATTGCTCAAATATGTCCAGATTATGAGGCTATAAAACAGCTGTTATTACATGGCTTTTATTAACAAATGAATGTTAAAGTATTTTTGTTTATCATGAATACATATTTTTGAATAGCAAACGTACCAATGTTTGTGCTTTGTACCATTTGACTTTCAAATATTGCCAAAGAGGGGATTATTAGCACAGTTTCTTATTCCAATGTAAAAGGTGAAATAGTGAATAGAAAACTTTAATGAGATTTTTGTTGTCCTGAATACTCCAAGGTTGTACCTTTTTGGTACTGTTTGATTAAAGAAGTGCCATTAATTCCTGATAAGAAGCACTTATTCAATTTGTCCACAAGGAGGCGGAATCACAGCAACAAACATTCTGTAAGAGCCACAATGTAAACTCAAAACATGTATTAAATTCATGGTATTGCTAAAGCTAATTGTTTTTATTGAAATTATAGTGAAATGGTGGAAATAAAGTATATTTTTTGCATCTAAATGAATTTGTTTCAACTGTGTTTTTTGTAAACTGTGACGCCAGGAAAGCCTTGGTTGATTATATAATATATCTTTATTCTTAACACTATTAATCTTCTGTCTACACTGTGGGACTCTCACTATGTAATGAGACAGAAGTCCGGCCTCGATTTTTTTTTCTCCTGTCCAATAAAATGTGAAATTACGCAGCGTGCGTGCGTGCATGACAGCGGACGCGCGGCGCAGAGAGCAGCAGACAGACGGACAGACAGACAGGCAGGCAGGCAGGCAGCGGAGTTGGTACGAACATCTTCGACTTCTCAAAACCAAAAACACCTCGACTGCTCTTCAGCTACGCTGCTCCACAAGAAATGCCTCGGACTCATCGCTGTTTTTTGGGGGGGGATTCACGTTGGATTTAGCGTCTAAATCACTCCGGACAAAGATGCCTAAACGTGAAGTAAACAGCGTAGGAGAAAGTGTGCCTTGTTTGGAGCCGAACGGGTCGTGGTGCCACAACATAAAACTCGGAGCGCATCAAGGCCAGTAGCAGCCTGTAGCACTAGTTAGCTCGTCGGCTAACGCTAGCCTGCTAACGTTACAGGTGTTTAGGCAGCAAATAACCAAACGTAACTTGTAGCTGTAGTTAGCTGGCAACAAGCTGAGCTCACGTGTCGTGACTCAACACTGAACTCAATGTGCATATTAAAGGCTTTTTAGCAAACGCCGAGTAGCAAGTATGACACTTGGCGACATTGTTGTTAGCCGTTAGCTTCTTAGTTAGCCGCTGTCCCGTGTTTACAGCCGCAGCAGGGCTAGCCTCACTAGCTCACCGAGCTAGCGAGTTAACTTTACAGCTACATGTGCTTATTTTACGGTGTAGCTAACTAGTTTAACCCGACTCGACTCCGGACCTGCAGTGTGGTTTAGTGTCACTCTTCATATTTGCAAAGCGAGACAGTTTTGACTCTTTTTTTCTCCGCCGTGCCTTGCCTTGGACTGACCCACCCAAAAGGACTCTCTCTCCGGGGCCGATGCTGACAGCTCAGTCCGGAGCACGGCAACGCCAGGAGCCGCTACAGCGATGCAGCCCCAGCAGATATACGACTTTTCAAGTGACGAGAACAGTCACAAATGGAGAGGCCTCTTCGTGCAAGCTTTGCGGAAGGTAACAGATACGATTACTACACTTACTGCTCCTCACAAAGTCACGAACACTGCATTTCAAAATACGTATCCCTCCATACATTCACTTGTGTGGGACATGGAGGCAACGTTACTGTAATGGTTTCCTTACTAACACAAACTTTTGTCACAAGTTGCCAACTTGGTGTTGGTATACATTTTCATATTATTATAATATTATGATGAGTATTTCTACCTACTAAATGTGGAAACTGCTGTTGACGTGTCTACAGTATGTTCATGTATTAATCCTCTCACCCAAGTTCCCCATATTGACTTTAAGCCACAGTGTTTTTGAAAGAAGTTGTTAAATTTTGACCAGTTTGCACAGTGTCTTGATCTGTTCATAGTGTTCCATAGTTTTGAGGGTAAACAGCCTTCACTAATAACTTGCAGGAGGCTGATGTTACCTCTAAGTTAAATACAGCTGAAGCTGCCCTCAAACCCTTGTAACTGGAAGTCTCTTTTTATTTGTTCCTCATTTCTTCTAACAGCAACGATGTCTCATCCTCGCAGAGTAGAGACCTAAGGCAGCTTTTTATGTCAAATGACCCTCCCTTTCTCCTTTTTCCAAAGAAATGTGACTTAATTCTCATAAAACTAATTGAAACTTCCAACACAGGAAACATTTTAATTTTAATGTCCTTGGTCAGCAGGACTAAGTCGTATCGGTTCCTTTTTGGCTGTCCCTCTCTTTCTCTTTTCTTGCATCATCTTGGCTTCTCCCTGTCATGACCAGGTTTATTCTCTGTATTCTGACACCCCCCCCCCCCCCCCAGCCTGTTTTCTGCATACTCATGAAAGTGAAAACACAAAGTTATCACAGCTCTTTTTGTTTCATTGTCATGTTATTTGACTTGCTGTTCTATATGTTACATGCAGAGAGCCACACTGTTTAGATACTGGAAGACGCTAGAAGCTCAGCAAACTGCTTTCGCTTTGAAATCGGCCTGTGTGTGGAAACCCACAAGGTCCTGTCCAGATTCCTTCATATGTTTGTTTCCTGATGTGTTTGGAGCTCAAAAGAGTACCCTAATGGGTTAAAAGAGGAACATGGACTGTTGTGACAGTGCTGTGTTGTTGTGCAAAGTAGAGACGGGACATCTTTTGCTCAGTTTGCATACTGTAATGCAATGGTACGTTGGGATGGCACAGTAAAAAGTGCTGCTCGGTGACCTGACGGAGGGTTGAGTTCAGCAAAACAGCAGCAAGCACTTAAGACCTGCAGCACGTAATCCAACCAGTTCACTGTTCATGTTTCTTCATCTATGATGCATCCCTTAATGCCCAAAACTTATCCTCTGACACACAAAAAAACACTAGAAAACGCACATTTATCACTGTTGATCAATGTCTCTTTAACACGGTTTTACCTGTCAGTTGTTGAACTTGAGACAAGGCTCCATGTGTTATGCTTTTAAAATACAGTACTATAGTAGGAACTTCTCAGCATGTTTGGCAAGATATGCAGTTGAATATGCTGCAATATTTGAGTTCCCTGAAATAGATGTAGAAGTACTGCCAAACCAAGTTTATTTTCAAAGCAAGAAAGATGTCTGTACTCCAAAATAGATTTCTCAGTGTCTCTAACTTCTTGAACTGCACTTTGATGAAGTTGTTTAACTGCCCTCTTTGTTTTAAGTGCAGCTAATCAAGCGCCCACTTTAGACTTCTGCTCCGAGATCAGTTATTGGCTCAAGCGATGTGCTCTTCCTTCCCCCTTTTTGTAGACAGTTATGACATAGACTTTTAATTCATGAATATTAAAACCACAAAGTGTCTACAGAGACCTGTCGTGGCTTTAGCCGTGTAGCAACAGCGCGTTTTATAAATAACACACACCCTCGGTTATCCATTACACGGTAGATATGGGCCGATGAATCAGGTGAAACTCAGCGAGCAGGTGGTGGGTTTCATTGTCTCAACTTGTTACACAACTGCCGGAGGGAAAGCCTGTCAGAGATTGACGCAAGAGAGGTTTGTTATGGTTTTGACGGACTGTGACTCGCTGTTTTTCACAGCTGTCCAATGGGGGGGTGGGGGGGGGGGTTTCCTTGTCAGAAGGAGCCGTAGTGGATGACTCCCCGAGAATGATCTGGATTATTGTTTAGAGGAAAGATTAAAGAACCTGTTGATAGGTAGACACTCCTCAGAGGAGGGAAGTAACTTTGTGATCAACCAGGAAGGTAGTTTAAGAAGTGTCACCTTCAGCTCAGGGGTGGTCACTTGAAGAATCGCGTCATAAATGAGACGGACTTACCCAGCTACAATCTATATTTAATGATATTTTACAGATCGCTGTGAAATCAGACTGTAGGAATAAAACAATTACTCGATTGGCAGAAAATGAATCGCCAACTATATCGATGATCAGTTGGTCGTTTATGTAATTTAACAAGCAGAAATGTCAGAGACAAATTCTCAAATTTGAGGCAGCAGCATTTCATCATAAATGGGGTGTTTTTGGATTTAGGACTGTAGGACAGAAAATGCAATTTGAAGACGTCACCGTTGCCTCTGTGAGTTTACAGTCTTAATGATTAGTTACGGGCCTGGATGATATTACTTAAACACTGTTATTTCTTTACTTTTAAGAAAGGTAAGCTTAACTGCACATCTGTAATGATGAACTGCCTATTAAAGGTGGGAACATAGAAATAGAGTAGGAGTAGAACGGACATTTCCATTCAAATCAATGCAGCAGAATGGTCAGAGTGGCGGCCATGTTTATGTGCACCGTAGCCATTGTACCAGATGACCGCGGCCTCTTCTATTTTTATGGATGTGAAGCACCTGAGACTTGAAGTCGTAGTCGGCTAATACATCGACCGTTGACCACAACGTCCCAGTTTGGCTGTTTCCTGTCATAACTCTGTCAAATGAAGATACTGCAGAGATACGTTTGCATTTATAACATCAACATGACATTTCAACGGTTGTCTCTGCGTGTCCCTGCTATTTTTGATCACTGCGGCTTGTGCCCGGTGATATGCAAGAGCGTCATCTAGCCCCCTCCCGACATGCCGGTGTTGATAATAACTGAGCATTCCCCTGCTCTGCTGTTTCGCTGGCATCAGGAGGAAGGCCAGAGCTTTGCTGGCTACGGTTTCATTCCATCGCCATGTTGAGTTAGCGCAGCGCTGAGTTCACAGGGCTTCACGGGCCAACATTTAAAGCCGAGATTGGTTGGGTTACAAGCATGCTTTGTTGTTGTTGTGCTGTGTGTGTGTGTGTGTTGCCTCTTTAATCTTCTCAGTAGTTGCTTAAAATTCTGACTGGGTGACTTCACAACCGGCCAAAACTTACAGCTGAGGTCTTTTTTTTTATTTGAGTCAGTGGGTCTTGCCTCCACTTTCATCCAGGCTACACTGAGCTGTTGTCACTTCAGAATTAGACTTATTATAAGCCTCTACTGCGGCACTCTGCTGTATGAGTGTCTGGTATCAGAAACCGGTCTTGTCTTAATTTTTATTACTTCATATCTATCTTATCGTTGATCTGTTGTCAAGCTGGATAAAGGAACTTTCACTTAAAGGAGCGACTGACCCGGTGACCTGAAGCGACTCTGCAGTGTTTCTCACTAAATTAGATTACGTTTTACTGCTGCCACAAACAAATGGCAGTATTGTCTCTGTACTTCATATAGTCGTTAAGTTGGATCCTTGTAAGATAAAAGATAAAGTCCACTACAGCATTGCAAGGTACAGAAAGTAAATGCATAGTTATTCTAACTAATGTGACTTCATACATGCTCTCTGCAACTATTAGCTCACTTTTTCTGAATGTATTTTTTGAGCAGATTTGTATTTTATTTTCTATATTTTCTATGTTCTAATGCTTTTATGACAAAGTTCAGAGGTGAAAGGAAATGAGAGGATGAAGAGATCAGGTCTGATAGAATTCAACAACGGTCCCTCGGCTGGACTCTAACCGGAGATGTTGCCTTTCATGGTCTGTGCCTTAACTCGTAGGGAATGTGTATATATAATATATTTTAAATTCATAGGACGGTTACCAGGACGCTCCTGCTAACAGGTTGCACATCCTGTGCACCGCGCTGTCGACTGAGTCGGGACGATTTAATACACACGTTCTCCACCTTCCTAGATTATTGAATCAAGTCTGCGAATGTCAGCCCGTCCTTAGGCGGAGGATGGGTGGATGAAGGCAGGCAGGGGTCACTGGGTCGGGTCAGACTGGGGTCATGGCTGTCGACGGCACGTCCACCAGCCATTGTCTTCATGGTGCGAGTGTGAGGAGGTCTGCTGAAGTGTGTCTGTGTTCTGAATTTTTATTTCCTTGGTGTGTGTGTGTGTGTGTGTGTGTGTGTGTGTGTGTGTGTGTGTGTG